TCGGCCGGCGGGTGCCGGCGGGATCTCGAAGCTCGTCTCAACGTTCGAGATCCATGCTGCACACTCACAGCCTGTGCCACTGATCGGGGCATATCAGTTGCTCTGGGACCGCATGCTCAGCACGCGTGGCAAACGTGGTGAGTCATTGCTGATATGATCACTCCGATTGGTGGTGTTGTTGGTGTGCGTAGGTCGTTCGTAGGAGCGAAGCTCAAAGGAGACACAGGGAGCTCAGGGGGAGGGGTAAAAGAAGGTACGCTCGGTACGAGGGATTTATGGCGGTGTGACGCTGCCCCTCTGCCCAGCGAGCGGCCGTAGAGCCCAAGCTTAAGGCCAACTGCAAGTTCAGCCGGCCGGTGGACGAGGTCGGAATCCGGACGGAAGCTCGAAGGCACTGAGCTACAGCAGCAAGCTCGATGGGCAGCCACAGCCATTCAGAGGCAAGCAGCCGGGAGAGTTTCCAGCAGAGCACTTGAGAACTGGAGACGGCAGGCGATGCGGGCGCCAACGCCGAAAGCCTCACCGCCGTCAACGTCACAGCGATGAACGCATGCTGCCATACCAAACCCAGTACTGGCTTTCTCGTAAGATCCAGGAAAGGCCGGCCCAGCAGGTCCCAGGCTCTTGTTCCAGGTCCCCAGGTCCGTCCGTTCTTCCTGTCCAGAGGTAAAGGGTGCAAGAGAACACAGACGGAAGTGCGCAGAGCAGCAGGTACAGCCATGCGTCGTCTTCGTGTTCCAGAAATCAACTACGCACTCCTTAAGTGAGCGGCTGGGCAATTGAAATTCGATGACTTCGGACCGCCTGACTATCGTCAGAGGCATGTGTCCTTGTGTGCAGCTGGTACGCACATCCCACCGCTCCGATAGACTCTCCTCCGGAATGTCTACATACGCCTTCCCTTTCATTCTGAGTCTTCAGCCGGTGACCGATGTGCGTAGGTGCAGCGTGTACAAAGAGTCCTGAGCAGGGACCATCAGTGCGGAAGAATGAGTGAGCACAAGGACCATGCAAGCAAGCCCTGCACCTAGCTCTTTGACGCGTGGGAGATCCATTACGTTTCCGCTAACGAACGCTAACAAAGCGCAGCAGCATGGCAGCACATGCCTTCCCCTGCTCCAATCAGGCAGATCACCAGCTGCTCGTTTAACTTGTTCACTCTCGTACTAGTTCACTCATCGTGGAGACGATAGTCACGAGGTCACTGTCGACTGCCGTTGCCGGACATCCATTCGCGGTCGCGGACAGAGCACAGTCGCAAGAACGAGAACGGGGACGCAAACAATCGTCGTACTCCCAATATTACAAAATCTCGCACAACAGGGCCAGGGCCACAACCCTCGACTGCACGCACGACACACGGCCCAGCGGACCGAGGCGAGCCGAGCCTGTTCAGCCTGCTTCCCCAGTTCCAACTGAACTATGCGAATTCCAGCCATGCACCCCAGTGTTCGTGGGCCTCTCGTGCTAGCCGCGTGTCGCCGCCCTTAGTCCATCGGATGGGGGTCACTGGAGTCCACAGGCTTGCATCCCCGGAAGGCGAACAGTCCAACGCCGCGCCGGAGTATCGTGCCCCACGGTTCCTCGCTGTGGCATGTACGGCGGGCACCTCGCGGCACCCGTCCGCGAGGTCCGGGGGTTGGCGGTGATGCGGCCTGCCCACCGGCATCGCCGCTCGTGACCTCGAGCTCGGAGGCTGCTCGGTCGAGCCGCAAGTCACGAGTCTGCATCTAGATCCACGCTCATCTCGCCACATGATGTCTCATTGTTTCGGCCTCGTGTCGGGGCCACCGTACCGCCGAGATGCTGTAAACAAACTGCCAAAAGCAGTCCTTTCCCTCTCAGTAGCACAGCAACGATGTATCCATGATGCCACTTTTGCTGGAATCGCTGAGCCGAGCAAGCGGCCGAGCGCACAGTCCGTTCACGTTCGCACAGGATTCGCATGGCTCGAGACGAGGAGAATCGTGCCACGCACGGGGACGGGTGGAGCGGTGTGGCACGCTACGGGATGAACAAGCACGCACGCCTGAATGTCTGGATTCCGGTGGCCATCTGCGAGGGATGGCTGGTTTGCAGCAATACTCAAGTCATGCCGGCTGGCGGCCGCTTACAGCTCTGCGCGTCCCGGATTTTCACCCGGTCCCGAGCAGGGGTTTAAGGCAAGAGGGTGGACCGCCATCAGCGCGCCTCAAAGTCTTCAGTGAGCAGCAAGCGAGGGTGGCAGATTGGACCGTGTGGAGCAGCATGTTGCCCGCCACAATGGACGGTTCTAGGACTAGCGCAAGCACAGACGCATGCATCTCGTTAGACGGCCGACTGACGGTTGGCGCTTAGCTCGAGCTCCACGCTGGACAGATGCTCGGTCACGCCGGAGGAGTTTGGGTCAGCGAGGCTGGCACTTGCTGCCCGCTGGAATCTAGAACTCGTCAAGATCCTTAGAGAGATCTCCTAATGCTCCAATCCTTGCACTGGCGTGCTCGCCTGACCAGGGCCCAGCGTCCCGCTCCACTGGCTATGCCAGGTAAAAATGCTGGGCATGTGGATGGTGCGCGCGTATACGCTCACCTGCGCTAGTGCCAGGGTTGAGCCGAGACTTTGTGTCAGTTCGGCATGTCCGGGGTGCGTTTCAGAGCTCCAACTCTACCTACCACTTTGCACACACGCTCACACGCCCGATACTCCGTGTCGGCTGATCTATGATCTTCCAGGTGGCGGTAAGCAGTCGCATTCGAAGTGCCCGTGACCAAAAGCCGTCATCAGCCAGGGTGTCGAAGAAGAGGGATGCGCAGGACACTGCGTACTGCGCCGGAGTCCGCAGAAGATGTCATCTGTCTCAAGAGCATCTGGTATCCGTGACGCTCCCACTGTCCGCTTCTTTGAGAGTGGGTGATTGCGTAGACGTCGAATTGTGTCAGCGAGCCAAGTCGTAATGGCATGTACGGCACCGACCCACCCAGCACCAAGGGTCGCGAGCTCACAGAACACCCCCATATTGCAACTGTACCCTTACCTGACCCACCATCGGCGTACTTCTTTCTGATTACCTAGTAAGCGTATCAAGCGTACCGTATTGCATCTTCGTGAACCCACCAGCCCACCGCGGGTTCTGTGTTATCCAGCCCACTCTTCTGGATGGCTCAGCCGAGGCTACCGGTGCTTTTATTGAGACATTTCTGTGTTTCGGGCAGCACAAAAGGCCTGAGAGGCCCTCTCAGTTCTCATCAAATGAACGCACACCCAAGACATGGAGCAAGGTGCAGAGTGCGCGCGCTCCCGAAGGAAGACTGACCAGTGGTCTTCATCGGAAGAGAGCAGAGCTCAGGAAGTCGAGCGCGGATGGATATCGCCGGCAGTCTTTCAGACGCCGAAGGGTGAGACTTGTCTGACGTTGTTATACCTGCGAGAATTCTTCGCTCTTCACCTTCCACTGCACTGACAAGATCCTTCTAGAGAATCACTTGAGCCCCATTTGCGCGGTCCAGCGGTGTTTTCAGAAGATTGGCGGTCCGACTCATTGAGCGCCACCTCACGAAGTTGCTGACGGAGCCTTTCCAAACAGTCGCGAGTAGGACAGCTCCGAATGCCCGGTATGGCAGCATCTCAGTGTGCCACTGCCAACTCGTACCATACTTTAGCACTGATGATCTGGTACTGACTTGAGGACTGCCTTGCCCGACTTCACCTGCTGCGAGTGACCGCGTAGAGCAGGTCTTCCATCCAGTCCTCAGATCAGGGCAACACCGTTGTCGCACACCGCACGTCGCTCACTTCTGCAACACTCTGGTTGTCGCTTCATGCGGACTCTTCGGCGGCGCGGCCATTCATCTACTTACACACTCAGAACTGTCTTCCTGGGCTTCGCTGTGCTTTTCCCGTCCTGTCTTCCTTGTGTCGTCCTCCTCGCTTTGCTTCCTTGTCTTGTCCTCCTCATTGTGTAGTCCTTGTCGTGTCTTCCTCGTTGTGTCTTCCTCGTTGTGTCTTCCTCGTTGTGTCTTCCTCGTTGTGTCTTCCTCGTTGTGTCTTCCTCGTTGTGTCTTCCTCGTTGTGTCTTCCTCGTTGTGTCTTCCTCGTTGTGTCTTCCTCGTTGTGTCTTCCTCGTTGTGTCTTCCTCGTTGTGTCTTCCTCGTTGTGTCTTCCTCGTTGTGTCTTCCTCATTGTGCCCTCATCATATCTACCTCATTCCTCTCTACGGCGAGATCTCTCCCAGGCCATACAATCAGTACCAGAACTTCCCCCTCGCTGAGCAGCACTACCACCATCAGTTCCGTCATGATCAGTCCAGCTGACTCAACTCTCGTAGCCTGACCGAGTCTCCAGACTGTGTCGCAAACATACAGTCATTCCAGATCGCAACAAGTTCAAAGTGGTTGGAGGTCCGCCCACCGTCCAGCCCACCGCCCGCCGAACGTTGGATCCGGCGCCCGCTCCAGCCGTTCATGTTCCGATACGCCCCAGCACAAGCGAACGGGTGATGGCACGTCAAAAGCCAACCTTGACCCCTGTCGTGCCAGCGCCTGTCGGACCAGCAACCGATTCCAGCGGGCCGTTACTCGCGCCTATTGTAGCTTCGTGAAGAACTTACCAGCCGCTCATCCCGGCGTCGATTCGACCCCATCTGGACTTGGACCTTGTTGTCTGCGCTGACCTCCTACTCTCCGGCTCCAGCTACAGACTTGCCCATCTACGTCAGCGCTCTTGAGAAGGAGAGGTTACAGGAGTGGCCGGTGTCAGTTAGGTTTTGCTCCAGGCTGAAACACATCTTTGCGTCGGTGACTGTCACGGCGGCACGCAGAGTCTATCCCGCGCCCGGTGTCTGGTACGCCACTGCTCTACGCTTTGGCGCAGAGCTTGTCCTGATGCCGGACAATCCAGCTATGACAAGCTGTGTTGTTCTGGGCTTAGTCAGAATGAGGAAGGTATGATCGACGTCAGTGTTGCGTCAGAGGAGGGGCTGCGTTTTGACTTCACTGCATCTCATACTCTAGAAACTCGATCGCTTAGGCGGAGATCTTGTCGAGGAGAGCCTGGGCGTTAGCTTGGTCTGAAGGAGAGGCAGCTCCAGATCCATATCTAGGTCTTGGCCTAATATCGGCAACTACCCGCGAGAGCAGACACGCCCCCGACCGCCGTCACGCGGCCGCCGAGATTGTGCCGGCCATCGCTGGAACTGAACCAAGAAACTCGTACTCACGGTGAGCTTGGCGGGAACGGCACCGGTGAACTCGTCGATGACCTGGCCGTCCTTGTAGGCCTTGAAGGTAGGCATGGCCTTGATGCCCTGCTCCTGGGCAACGTCCTGTAGACTGTTAGTCGCGGATCTTCCAACATGGATGACAGGTTCTCTCGCACCCCACCAGCTCGAAACAAGGACAGTGCCTGCTCTCGTTGAGCGGTGAAGGCGAGACACCCGGCCGACTCTGGCCAGAGCGAGCTGGAGCAGATGGAGCTGGTAGCTTGGAGCTTGAGCTTGACGCTCCGAATGAGAACGTCTGCAGCAATGCTCGCAGGGGAAGATGTCTCGATCGGAGATCGAGCTTCCCGTAGCAGCGCGCCTGTTCTCACAAGCATGGCTGTAGAGCCCCAACTCTAAAGCCGAGCTCCGAGCTTCCAAGCTCTGTGCTCCACCGATCGCGTCTTGAAGCTCGGCGTGTCTCGGCGAGTCAAACATGACGTCGGAAGCGAAACACTTCCCAGCGTCTCATGAAGACATCATCAAGCGATGCGAAGCTCCTCGACCAGCTCCAACCAGTTCCAGCCATCCACTCGTCACGATATGACACTCACGCCAACCTCCTCGATGTCGACCTTGGCGAACTGGACGCCGGGGTACTTGTCCTCGAGCTTGGCGAAGTGGGGGCCAATGATCTTGCAGGGTCCGCACCAGGTGGCCCAGAAGTCGACGACGGTGGGCTTGGACGAGGAGATCTGGGAAACAAGTTAGTCACTATACTCAGAAACGTCAGGCAGAGATCGGCTTGGTGCTGTGCTAACAGCAGCAGGGCGCTAGGGGCGTGTCACAAGGCGAGCTCGGCATTAGTAGCCTATCGAAGCTCATAGCATTGCTGGGCCACGTTCTTCCAACGAAGCATGTCCAGCACCGCAGCTGTGTTGTCTCCAGATGATCGGCCCGAATACGCAGGAGTCCGCCTGCTAGGATGCAACCACGGGTGCTGCGCCACAGGTGGATGTCACACAGCGTTTAGACTTCCGAGGAAGGTCCGTCACTGTCTTCGAGCTGCAAACGCAGTTCTACCCCCCCAGAATGGCCCATCGCAATTGCAGCTCCAAAACCGCATCCCAAAGTGTACTCACAAGCTCGTCGAACTCAGCCTTGTTAGCGATAACCTTGACCATTGTTGCTGATGAAGTGTTTGGTTGGGAGAAGAGAAGAGGAGAGAAGAAGCCGGCTTGTCAATATACGGCGCGGTGCGCGGTGTGGGAGGGACGTGTGGCGTCAATAGCGTGTGACGATTTTGGGGTAGTGACGCGATATTTCCGATTGTAAACGTGCTGACTCAGCGGACTGGCAGGCCAGCTCATTTCATCACCCAGCACGCATACACCACACATTGCATAGCCCGGTCATCAAGTGTCCGGGCTTGCTCATCAACGGCCTTCGTGCACTGCAAACCAATCTATGCTCTGACAAAGCCGCTCTGCTTGCTGCACCGGTAAGCAAGTCGTATGCCAACGGCGCTCGTAAAATGGGCTAGACATTCCTTTAGATTGCCGATAACTGATAAGACGCCACGGAGGGTCATACGTGTTGGCTACTTCATTCATCATTTTAATTGAGGTTTACTGCACTACTGCGAAACCAAGTCTACTTTTGCACCAAGATGGAAGGCGCTTAGAGCTTCTGCGAGGGGGGAGCGCCGGCGAAGTCAACACCCTTCTTGATGTTGGGGCCGAGCTCCTCGACGGCAGCCTTGATGAGCTCCTTCTCGGCGTCATCGACCTTGCCGATGGGGAGGATGTTCTGGACACCGTCCTTGCCGAGCTCGACGTTGACAGAGAACCACTGAACCTCCTTGCCAAGCTCCTCCCAGATCTTCTTGCCGGCGGGGTTGGCGGAGAGGTCAATGTAGGTCTGGACCTTGGAAGGCTTGCCGTTGAAGGCGGCCTCGAGGACCCAGTTGGCGAACTCGGCACCGGCGTAAGCCATGGAGAGGGTGGCAGAGCCAGCACCGTCCTTGGCCTTGACGACCTCGTCACCACCGAACTGGATGCGGTTGACGAGAGCGTCGCGCTTCTCCTTGTTGTCAAGGACAGACGAGGGGAGGGCGGGGTCAGACTGGGTGAGGAGGGGAACGATGGTGGTGCCAGAGTGGCCGCCGATGACGGGGACCTTGTACTTGCCGGCCTCCTCGGGCTTGCCAGCGACGGTGGCGGCGAAGGTGGCGGCACGGACAACGTCGAGGGTGGTGACACCGAAGAGACGGCGGGGGTCGTAAGAACCGGCCTTCTTCAGGGTCTCGGCGAAGACGGGGACGGTCGAGTTGACGGGGTTGGAGATGACAAGGATGAAGGCCTCAGGGCACGCGTCGGCGATAGCCTGGGCGAGCGACTGGCAGATACCAGCGTTGACCTGGGGAAGCCGTCAGCACAAATCCGGTTGCCCGCACGAGCGGTCCCTTCCTCGCGATCACCGATGACGATCACCGAGAGCTTCGGGCAATCATCGGGAAGTAGTACGTACCTTCTGTATGTGCGAGAAGTGCGATTATCAACATATGAAGTCGAGTAATAGAGGCACTGTGGTCAGCGATTACACAAGATTTGTCGTGGGATTTCCCAGACATACGAAGAGGTCGTCACGGCTGTGGGTGGGTCAGCGGGTGCCTGGCTCATCGAAAGTGATGGGTTCACAGAGATGATCTCGGTCATCCATGTCGGTACTCACGTCATACCGGGCTTGCGGGGGACACCGGCGGGGATGACAACAAGCTTGGCACCCTTGAGGGCCTTGGTGACACCGTCGTCCTTGGGGAGGTAGCCCTCGACCTGGGCGGCAGTGTTGATGTGCGAGAGGTCGGCAGCAACCTGCGGGGGAAGTCAACACACGGTCCTGGAACGTCACCGATATTAGCCGAGCGGTCCGGCCCACTTACACCGGGGGAGTTGACGACATCGTAGAGGGCGAGCTCGGTGACAAGGGGGTTAAGCTTGAGGAGGAGCGAGAGGGGCTGGCCGATACCACCTGATGCATGGTTAGTATCTGTTCTTCTCGGTGTTGTTATCAGGGGGCGCATCTCAAGACTTACCGGCGGCACCACAGACAGCGACCTTGACCATGTCTGGGGGAGTGTCAGTTTCGGGGAAGACGAGGACGGCGGTCGCAGTGCGTATAGAGTATGCGACGAGTGCAATGCTGCTCACTGATAGAAAGTTAGATGGGGTGTTTTGGGTGAGAAGAGTCAGATGAGAGACGTGGAAGAATCAAGAGAGGATGCTCGGGTAATAAGTGATGGGAGAGGCAGCGAGGAAGCTCGCCATGGGGACATCTGGCTGGCTGGCGCTGGTGATCCCAGGGGCGGCTGCAACGGCTGGCTGAGACCTGGGTAGGGCTGATCGGTGCAGCACCGGGCACCGGAGCGTCCGCGTGCTGATGCTGCGCTCATGCTGGGTACTGCGTGCTCTCTCGCTTGATGTGACGCAAGGGCCCTAATCCCCTAATGCTGGGCGTCTCAGCGGCCCACGGCAGCACGGCCCTCAGGATGCCAGGCCCAGCTAGGCCCAGCAGCCAGCAGCAGTATGAGAACTGGGGGCACGACGACAGCACAGTGGAAGCCTGGGGAACTATTTCGGCTATTCCTATCCGCCGATGACATGCCTGGTGTTGCTGTTGCTGCCATCCTGGGTCTGGCAATTCACCACTCCGCGTCTATCTCGCGGCTAAGGCACACATCACTTCCGACCTCCCGGCCTCTTGCACCGGCACTCGCGGCTCTGTCGGACGCATATAATCTCTATTCCGACGAGCCCGTCATTCGCGGCCCCGCAGCAACCGTGACAACCGCTACCAATGGACCCGGACGGGCCTCCGAACTCCGGTTGGTTCGACGGATCGAGGTGGAGGTGTGCGGGCACCAAGGACCCTTGAATCGCGTTGACCGCGACCTGGGAATGGGCGTTCGCGTGGCTTAATACGTGTGCTTAGGCCATGTCCCAAGCCACTGCTGTGTATTCGTTCCTTATCACTGGTTCCTCAACTGCCCGATCGTCATGAGTATGAGTCCGTTGGGAGGCCGCTGAGCCGACTTTTATCAGCCGCCAGGCTAGACCTAACTCAATTTCCATCAACTTTTTTCCGGGCAAACCAACTCACCCACAACCATGGACTCGTACCAGACCCCTCTGTCCTCGTGAGCTACACTGCCCTTGTGGAGAGACATGACACTGACACCTCGCCCAGGCGCTATGCGTCCAAGGAGATGAGCAAGCTCTTCTCTGCCGGTGTGCGTATCGGCGATTTAACAAACGTGGGACCGCGCAACAGCAACTGACGTCCAGACCCGTTTCGGTACCTGGCGCAAGCTCTGGCTCAACCTCGCCATCGCGGAGAAGGAGCTTGGTCTCCCGATCTCTGACAAGGCCATTGAGCAGATGAAGGAGCACCTCGAGCTCGACGAGGCTCAGATGAAGGTCGCCGCCGAGGAGGAGAAGAAGCGTCGCCGTGAGTTTCTTGCTTCCGACTTGACCCGGTGTACAGCCTTCTGCGCAAGACGGTATCGTACCTGTCCAAGCTCAGATATCTCGGGATCAACAGCCCTGCCTTGTCCCGCGAACACGCACTGACCTTCGCAGACGACGTCATGGCTCACGTCCACACCTTTGGCACTGTCGCTCCCGAGGCTGCCCCCATTATCCAGTGAGTCTTCCTCCGATCGGACAGTCCCCAGTTCCCACTCAGCTGACATCAGCCTGGGCGCCACCTCGTGCTTCGTCACTGACAACGCTGACCTGATCTTCCTCCGCGATGGTCTCGACATCCTCCTCCCCAAGCTCGCCGTTGTCATTGCCCGTCTCTCCGCCTTCGCCGAGAAGTACAAGGACCTCCCGACCCTCGGCTTCACGCACTTCCAGCCCGCGCAGCTGACCACTGTCGGCAAGCGTGCGACTCTCTGGATCCAGGAGCTGCTCTGGGACCTGCGCAACCTCGAGCGTGCGCGCAACGACCTCGGCTTCCGTGGTGTCAAGGGCACGACCGGAACGCAGGGCTCGTTCCTCGCCCTCTTCGACGGCGACCACGAGAAGGTCAAGGCGCTCGACAAGCGCGTCACCGAGCTCTCTGGATTCAGCTACGCGTACCCGGTGACTGGCCAGACGTACTCGCGCAAGATTGACGCGGACGTGCTCGGCCCGCTCGCCTCGTTCGGTGCCTCGGTGCACAAGATGGCGACCGACATCCGCCTCCTCGCCAACCTGAAGGAGGTCGAGGAGCCGTTTGAGAAGGACCAGATTGGCTCGTCTGCGATGGCCTACAAGCGCAACCCGATGCGTTGCGAGCGTCTCTGCTCGCTCGCGCGCCACCTGAACGTGCTCCAGCTGAACGCGCTGCAGACGTCGTCCGTGCAGTGGTTCGAGCGCACGCTCGACGACAGCGCGAACCGCCGCGTGACGCTGCCCGAGGCCTTCCTCACGGCCGACATTCTGCTCACGACGCTGCAGAACGTCTGCGAGGGCCTCGTCGTGTACCCCGCCGTGATTGCGCGCAGGATATCGCAGGAGCTCCCCTTCATGGCGACCGAGAACATCATCATGGCCATCGTCAAGGCCGGCGGCGACAGGCAGGAGTGCCACGAGAAGATCCGCGTGCTCTCGCACCAGGCCGGAGCCGTCGTCAAGGAGCAGGGAGGCGAGAACGACCTCATCGACCGCGTCAAGGCCGACCCCTACTTTGCCCCTATCATTGACCAGCTCCCCCAGCTCCTCGACCCCAAGACCTTCATCGGCCGCGCCCCCGAGCAGGTCGACGAGTTCGTCGCCGAGTGGGTCAACCCCGCCATCGAGAAGTACCAGGACCAGATCAAGAACGTCAAGGCTGCCGAGCTCTCGGTCTAAGCGACTTAAGTTATCTAGTACGACCCCCCTCCAGTCTGTTTCAACAAGCAGGCGCTGTCACCCCAAAAACCCTTCACCTCCATCTTTCTCTCTCATCTTTGCAAGCAAAAAAGCCCACACACTCGTACAAATATGTTCGGATGCATCTCTAGGTCATTACATACTACGGACAGAGCCGGAAGTCAGAGGTCGGGATGATGGTCAGAGAAGTCAGGAAATCACTGGTCGAATGACTGTTCGGGGGCCAGGCGAAGCGCACGAAGCATAGCAGTGGTCGGAGTCGCATACAGATTGAATGGACCACGCTACGCCTTACGCTTTGGGGAGCTCACGCCTCAGAGCTCGCTCGCGGCCTCAATCGCGAGAGTGTCGCGCTTCGAGGGGATGTTCTCGAGAATGGCCTTGAGCGTGTTGATGTCGTCGCCCTTGAAGGGGCACGGCACGCCGAGCGAGTTGACGTTGATCGTCGGGATGGCAATGTTCACACTGAGCACCTTGATCGTCAGGTGGAGCGCGAGCTTCATGTTCCAGTCCTTCGGCGTCGTCTCCTGGCCTGTGGCAACGTTGAAACCGCAGTCGCTCAGGAGCGACGTGATGAATTCCTTCTTGTTGCCCGCCGTGTTCGAGGTCGTCGTCCAGCTGGGTCATGTCAGCTTGTTTCTTCTTTGTCCTTGTAGGCAAGCTGTTAACTTACTTGACGTTGAAGGGGAAGTTCAAGGCCGATGTTTTGTACGCAGCAATCTTAGTGCTTTCAAGCTTACCCTCACCAAACTTGGTGTTGGTAGGTGTATATGTTACATCGGCCTGGATCTTGGAGAACTCGGCGGTGAACCAGTTCGGGTTTCCGACCAGGAAGGGGATGAGGAACGGCAGGTAGAAGCCGTTGACCGTAATCGAGGCATTTTGCGTCTGCAGCAGAGACGCTCCCTCCTTGACGACGTTGTCACTACCAAAGTCGAAGGCGGGCGTCACGAACGGAGGTCGGACGTACTGTACGTCAGTTCGAAATGGCCAGCACAACTCACCATAATGATCGCAAGAATGATACTGATGATTAAGAGAATGGTCGTCGGCAGGCAGCAGACAGCCAAGCGCAAGAAGGCCATGCAAGGTCCACCCTGTATCGTAAGTTTCCGACTGACCTGAAACTCACCTTGCCCCACTGATGGCCACGCTCCTCCTTTCGCCATTCGCGGAGGATACCAGTGCTACGGGGCGGCGGTCCCATGGCCGCAAAGCTCGACGTAGGGTTTTGAAGTCCGGCACGACCGGCTGTCTGACGCTGACCGGGCGCGATCTCTCCAAGCGCGTGGACTCCATCATCGTCGAGCTTGTCCGCCGGCACGGCATTGTTGTAGCTGCCGTACTGGTGATCGCCGTACTGGCCGTCCATGTAGGAGCCCTGCGTGGTGCTCCCCTTGTCCGTGGCGAGGTACTCGGCCCCCGGCTCGAGGTAGGGGTCCTGGTAGTTACTGCCGTTCCGCTGGTGCGACATGGTGGTGTCCTGGATGGCCGAGGAAGGTGACTAGAGAGACAATTTCACAGATCTGTGGTGAAGATTGACAGCTGCTGCGCGAGGGCGACGTGTGAGAAGCAAGGCTAACGCTTGTGTACTTCTTCTTGGCCCTTGGCGATGAGGAGGTTGGGACGGTTGTCCGGCGAGGTGTCGGACACCGGGTAAATGAGCGGCGGGGTAGCGAGGGCGACTGGGCGAGGTGGTGTACTTGCCGCGAGTGACGCCGAGGGGAGGTTGAGAGAGATAGGAATGAGGAAGAGGAAAGAGTTGTGTGCAAAGGCTGTGGATGGAGATCAAAGCAAAGGAGGCGATGAAGTGAGGCACGCACCGCGCACGAGCGAGCACCTGGCAGCCGGTGTCGAGGAGGCTACGCAACGCGACTTCGCACACAGGGCGCAGCAGGTCCTAGGTCTCACTTCGGGCCTTGGCCCATTTAGGGCCACCAGGAGCAGCTCTGCTCCCAAGCCCTCTCCCTCCTCGCCCGCAGCCATTGCAGCGGGCTATGGAAGACCCTGGGAACTGGGCCGAGCCTCATGTCGAGTCACGTGAATTGCAGCTCATGTTTCGAGTCCGGTGAGCGAAAAGCCAGCGCATTAAACTTGGGCCCCGCATCCTCCGGACCAAGAGTCGGCGCCTCAATCTCCCTTTCCTGCCGGAGGGCGTCGCTCAGCTCCTGTCCTTCCTTCTCGAATCGATCGCCGACCTTGACGCTGTCGCCACGCCCACAATGGTCGACATAAAGGACTGGCTGCAGAATGCGGCATCCAGTGAGCTGACGGTCTGCGATGTTCTAGCTGACATTAGGTCTCGATCCCGGACAGGTCATCAAGCCCGACAGCTTGACATACCTCGAGGCGATGAATGCTCTTGAAGTGAGTACGACTGACAGCTGAGCGTCGAAGCATGTAGAGCTGACGGACAGATGATGGACCCCGCCATGGACTGGGGTGTCAACTTCAACCCGCACGGCGAGTTCGACCCACACGCTGCGCTATCGCCCGTTCAGGTCTGCTGGATCATGGACGAGATGGCCGCTCGCGAGGTTGCCTGGCTGCGGGGCGGAACGGTCGCGCAGACCTTCCTTACTTCATTGCACTACCACAACCCGTTGTCTCTGCAACCCAACGTCCCTGTGTCCGATCCCTCGTTCTACCAAGCGGAGGCCTCTTGCGCCGCCCTGCGCGCCTTCGTGCTCGCGTACGCGAAGGGCATTGAGGTGGCGTACTACGCCGTACTGGACAGTGGCGCAGTGCGAGATGGCGAGGACACATGGCTGGATACATATGGCGTGCCGCTCGAGACGACGGAGAGTATCGACGATGTGCGAGCTTACGTCTCCAGCTGCGCGCGCTGGCTCCTCAGCGGCGATCACGGGCCGGAGTGGGACGCCAACGCCTGGGTTCAGGTCGTCAACCGGCTCAACTTCCAGCTGACGTGGATGGATACGCTGAGTCTCAAGGTTGCTCGCCGGCCAGGCCCCATTCACCTCGCGCCCGAGAGTGCGAAGGTCGACTGGGCTTTCGACAACGTTGCGCCCTTCCTCCGCCAGAACATGCCCTTGCCGACGCTCACAATGCCAGGACATGCTGAGACGTGGGCAACATTTGCTCGCGCGATGGAGGACATGGAGTATGCGCGTGCTTTGTCGAAGCTCGATCTGCGCGAGCGCGAGATGGCACTTCTGCGAGGACGCGGCGAGATGCTGCCCGTCGTGCGAGCGCTATGGAAGGTAAGCTGGGCATCTTCGGCATTTCAGCTGACATCAGGTCCTGCTTGTTGACAACCATCCTGTGAATGAGATGATGGACGAGTGGCTCGATGATATCGGCGCCGAGGACGTCATGCCCACGATCGACGCGGCGATAGCGAAGGAGGATCGGTGGTCTTTCTCGTATATCCGGGACATCACTGGCGGGGTGAGCTTTCCGTCCATGCAATTGCAGCTAATCCCAGACTCTCGCTGCGACTTTGGGCTCAGCGCTGCAGAACCCAGCACGAACACGGAGAGCGTACGAACACTATGCCCGGACATGGACCGAGCAGGCAGCAGCCGCGACGCGGTTGACGCGGAAATGCCCTGCAGCTGCGCCGCTCATCAAGATTCTGCAGGCACGAGCGCTCGACTGCCAGCTGAACGCCAGCTTGCTCGCCTTCGACCTCGGACTTGTGGGCCACGACGAGCGCCGGATGATGTGGTGGTGGGTCGCGAAGGTGGCCGGGGCGCGCTCCGTGCTCGACGACGCATGGCAGGCGCGCTGGGCCGCGGCGTGGCTCAGCATCGCTTCGGCGATGGTCCTTGTGAGTTATCCAGTTGTGAAGCCGAACTAACCTGGCAGCTGTACACTGCCATTCCCGCCAGCAAGGTTTCCGTGCCAAAGAACCAGTTCATGCTCCGGCACAAGCTGGCGCTCCGGGGCGCCTTACTGAAGCCGTCATGGGAGGACTGGGCGGCCGCACGGAAAGCCCTCGACAGAGTGACAGTGAGTAGCTTACGCCCCATCATCAGCTAACGGACAGCCGGAGGAAGCACTCGAGCGCGCAGAGGAGTGGCTTGTGGACGGCGAGGAGAAGCTCGGCGAGGTCGAGAGCCGAACGCTGCGGACGACGTCGCTGCGGCAAGTCGCACACGCAAACGCAGCGCTGCTCGCCCAAGGCATCCCGCTCGTCTGGGACGAGGAGACGCGATACTCGATTCCGAAGCTGAAGCCAGCACAAACGCAAGACTAGGTGATTTATACCCGGCATCATTATCTCTGGCATCAGCACGACAGCATCACCAGCACCCTTCTTGATATAGTGTACACTAGTAACATGCAAAATGTAATGAACTCTCTATATAATGAAGCCAGCTTACGGCTTGACGACCTCGGCGGAGGTGGTGCCGTTGAGCGCAGCCTGCTCCTCAGCATCGGGCTTCGGCGCCTCCTTCTTCGCCTTGGCCGCCTCGGCAGCAGCGGCCTTCTCCTCCATCTCGCGTGCCTTCTTCTCCTCGCGCTCCTTCTCGATCTCGGCAATCTCCGCATCCCACTGCGGCTGGAGCGCCGCGATCGCAGCGTCTCGTGCGGCCTCGTTCTCCTTGAACCGCTTCCACTCGGGGCGCTGGGAGAGGCGCGCCTCGAGATCGCGGCAGAACTGGGCTCCGCGCTCCTTGGCATTCAGCATGTCAATCTCGATACCTGCGCTCTTGACGCCCTCGGCGACCTCGTCAAAGCTCTTCGCGCGGGCAATGACGGCGTTGAACTCTTTGCGCTGCTGCTTGTTCAGCTTGCCCACGGGCGCGGCGGAAGGCTTGAACTGCGTGAGGAGGAACTTGGTGTTGCCCCACGCGTTGTCGCTCCACTCGCCAATGTACAGCAGCAGCGGGACGATGACGGCGGCGGCATCCACCATCTCCTCGGCGAAGACACTGGGGTTGCGCTCCGCCGAGCGACCCAGCATAGCCGACGAGGCCCCAGTGGCCTCACACATGGCCTTCCAGTTCTCGTACCCCTCGCCATCTCCGTTCAGGATGACGTTCACGCCCCGCTCCTTGCCGAGGTCCACGACGGCCTTGACGCGCTCCCAGATCGCGGCCTCGCGCGGCCGCATGTCCCGCGTGCGCGCGTGCACGCTCAGGTTGCGAATTCCCGTACGCAGAATCTGCGCAGCGAGGAGCTGCGTCTCGGGCCGTGTCTGCAGGATGCGGATCTTGCACGAGACCGGGAGCGGGAGGTCCGCGATCAGCCGGCGGAGTATGTCGAGTAGCAGGTCGGGTGTTGAGAGCAGCGCCGCGCCCATGCCCGCATGTGTCGAGAAGGGCTTCGGACAGCCGCAGTTCAGGTCGAAGCCGGAGACATCCTGCGCCACCACCTTGGCGGCGGCGGCGGCTAGCCGAGGGTTCGAGGTTCCGAGCTGGAAGATGACTGGGATTAGCTAGGAGGCAGAAGGCAAGCTTACGGAACGGCTTCTCCACGGGATGCGTCGAGAAGATGGCTCCCTGGCCCTTCGTGTACGTGATGACTCCCGTCTCCGCTGTCTGTCAGTTACGTCCCGTTCTTCGCGAACTCACGATCGACCACGCGCTTGGCACCGATGATGGCCCGGTCCACGATCTCGGGCGACCACACGAGCCCGGCACCGTAGTAAAGGCTGAGGAGGCGGGTCGGCAGCGTACCCGTGCGGACCATGGGGGCGAGAACGAGCTTGCTGTTGTACTCGAGCTCATAGGCATACTTCTTCTCCGTCTCGACAGGCAGGCCCATGATCTCCCTCACGCGGGAGAGAACAGGCGCCGCCTCCTCGTCCGATACCTCGCGCACACGGGTCTCGGGGCCGGGATCGCGGCGCTGGTCCCGCTTCTGCTTCTTCGAGACGGGCGAGGAGCCCAGGGACGCAGTCGGGGAGAGGGGTCGCACGACGGAAACCATTTTGTTGACGAGTGAGGCGAGGCGCCGGAGCGACATTCGCGTTGGGTGAGGAGGAAGACTCAAGATTTCAGGTGGCAACTTTTCGGATCAGGGTGGAGGTCGGAGGTTGGTGGCGGAGGAATGGGGGTCGTAGGGCTGCATAGCGCTCATGCCCGCACGCTGCGCTATGCAAGTACAACATCCACTGGAGTGCGTGCGTCTTGTGTCGAACTTGCATCATGTCTTCTACGCATACATTGAGAGATCTTCAGCTGGGGTGTGAGATAGCTGCGCAGATATCGAGAAGGTGAATGCCTTGGTAGCTGCTTTGCGCCTCTCTGGGGTCCCCGGAGTGAACCGGCAATTAGCAGTGCCTCAATTGGCTCTCGACTTCATATGGCACCTGTTACATTCGAAGATTACAGACACGAAACCCAGCAGCGACAGAATATGGACGCGAGACTATGCGATTTTCTGGGAGTCAGCCGGAGTCATGGACAGGCAAGCTTACGTAGGAACCGTAGTCTTTATCCGGGTCGTACACCTCCCATCGCGAAGCGGGAAAGATCTGGGGTCAGCTAGGATCGATTCAAAGCAGCCTACATGTTTGAAGCGATTGTACCACGAACGCTCGACCACCTTGCCGGCGTGACTCTCATCCTTCTCCTTCGTGGCGTCCGATATCAGACGAACGTCGTCGTGGACGTCGAAGTTGAAGAGCGGGCCCGACTTGCCACGAGCTTTGTTGATGATGAAGTCGTAGAACGTGTAGTGATGCGGGATGATGAGGTCCTCCTGCCAGTCAGCTGACATACTGTTAAAGAAGCTTACCTTGATGTACATCAAGTTGTCGACACTTGTCCCTCGCAACTCTGGCACCTGGTTTCGGCACTTGCCGAGGAAGGCGCCGATATCGTCGCCTTTCTTGCACTCGACAACCTTCCTATGCCCGCTGCCGTCCCAGTACGAGTACGTGATCTCGATCACCTCATTCTTGATGCGCTCTTGCTCTGCGAGCCAGTTCTTGCGGAGCTCTTCCCGCATCTCCCGCTCTTGCGCCTCGCGCTCACGATCGGGGAGGAAGGACGTGTCGACATTCGGATTCTTGGACAGCTTTGGCCGCTTCGACTCGGGCTCGGACGCCTCCGTCTCCCCTTCCTCGTCGTCACCGAGGAAAGAAAGCTTGGACTTGGCTTTCCGTTTGTCCTTCTTGGACTTCTTCCCAGCGGTGCTATGCTTCTCCTGGGCGGTCTTCGCAGCTTGCTTGCGCTTCTCCTCCTCGATCCCTTCCTTTGTCTTCTGGAAGTCTTCGAGGGACACGAGACCGATGGTGGACTTCTTCAGCTGCTCGTCTACTGATTCGTCCACGCCGACGAATCGTGTGCCCGACGCATCATCCTGAGATTTCTGGACTGTCAGTTGGATCGGCTGGGCGGAGCTCACCGTCACGTTGTTGTTTTCGCGCTTCGAATCAACCTGGGGACGCGGCTCTGGGGAGCCGCCATGTAAGCTTAATACACCAAACAAGAGCCTCGAGTCTGCTTACTTCTTCCCGCGTTTCCGTCCCAGGCATCATAGCCGCTCACTTGGACTGGAATAGATGCAGTCTCAAGAACGTAGAGCAAGTCGTCGATCCCTCCAGAAAGTCAACAAAGGCCGGTTCCTTATGACGCTTGTAATAGTCACGTTTCAGACGCTTGTAATAGTCACGTGAAACGTATTAGGATTAATTACTAAAACGCCCCAGGGCGGGAGAAAATGGGGAAAATAAAGGGATAGAAAATTCTGGCTGAGCACGGTGGTGTTGTCTGACGAGCCACTGAATCAACACTGGGCAGTATCTCCTTCCTCTCTTTCCCGACTCTCCCTTCATACCCTCGTTCTTCTAATCCAAAAAAATGTCGCAGCAGGAGCCCGTTGCTACTTTCAAGCTCGTCCTTTGCGGTGACGGTGGTACCGTGAGTTTTGTGCTGAGAGCTGGTTTTCTCGATCAGCTACTGCAGTCTGTTTGTGTGACGTTGCTGACTTGTGCAGGGTAAGCATAGCAATCGCAACTTCTTGGGATCAGTAACTGACATCGACTTTTTCCACACGGACGCGCTCTGACCCGCTCTCTGATTTACGTCGTACTGCTTTCGCACAACAGGCAAGGTGAGTAACAGCAGCATCAGCTTTTGTTGTCGATGACGCTGACCATCTCAGACCACCTTCGTCAAGCGTCACCTTTCCGGTGTGTAGCTCTGAGCTTTATTGTTTCAAGATTGCTAACGGTCTCTACAGGCGAGTTCGAGAAGAAGTACATTGGTAAGTTTGCCTGCACTTGCTGTTGCCGCCACCTCTCTGGTTTCGGCGGACGGAAGCCCCATCACTCAAGACCTGCCGCTGATGCCCTACAGCCACCCTTGGTGTCGAGGTCCACCCCCTGAAGTTCCACACCACCGTTGTACGTATCCGCTCTCAACTGCCTATCGATTGAGCCTCCGTCTGCGTGAACTGGAGGCAATGGCGATGGGGCCTGCAGATTTGATCGGGCGACGGCAATCAAACTTGCGCCGATCGACTTGCCACCTGCCCTTCCCTTATTCGCCGATTCGCTCGCATCGTAATCGTCGCTTTCGTCTACGATTCTTTCCAGCGAACCACTTCGTGACGACAATTTCCCTCATGCTCAGCGACCTCGATCGGCTTACTGAGTGTGGTGCGCGGAATGACGTCGAAGCCTGAGCCTCCAATTCACCCAAAAATCGGCAGCCTCAATCTGATACCGCGACACGGTATGCTGACACCACCAGGGTGAGATTCTCTTCAACGTCTGGGACACCGCTGGCCAGGAGAAGTTTGGCGGTCTCCGTGACGGTTACTACATCCAGGGACAGTGCGGTATCATCATGTTCGACGTTACCTCGCGTATCACCTACAAGAACGTCCCCAACTGGCACCGTGACCTCGAGCGTGTCTGTGAGAACATCCCCATCGTTCTCTGCGGTAACAAGGTGGATGTTAAGGAGCGCAAGGTCAAGACTGGCAACGTCACCTTCCACCGCAAGAAGAACCTCCAGTACTTCGAGATCTCGGCCAAGTCCAACTACAACTTCGAGAAGCCCTTCCTCTGGCTCGCCCGCAAGCTCACCGGCAACCAGCAGCTCGAGCTTGTCGCCGCCCCCGCCCTGATGCCCGCCGAGGTCCAGGTTGACTCCAACCTCATGTCCCGGTACGAGCAGGAGCTCCAGGCCGCCGCTGCCGCCCCCCTTCCCGACGAGGACGACGCCGACCTCTAGAGTGGTTCATTACATGTTATACTTTCCTTCATTCCATAGCGCCATAGTGTGTCGTTGTGCCTAGCCGAGTCGATGAAATCTCTGCATATTGTTATAAGTGGAACGGTGTGTTCTGCATGCAAAATGTAGTAATGCGTGTAACAAGATCTACGTCTACGTCTACTTCTGCTCCGTGGCCGACGGAGACGGCGCCTCATACTCCTCACCCTTCTTCTTGAGTCTTGAGACGTGACGGTGAGGGAATCGCTCCTGGATGATACGCTGCTTGGCGAGCTCTTCCCGACGCTGCTTCTGGCACACCTCCCTATCGATGTCAATAGACTCTCCAACATACTCATTCCATTGCACTCACCAACTTCCGAGTGAAACGGCGCAGAAGGAGAACACCGCCCAGTTCGACGCCGAGGAAACGACTGTTGTCAGTGTCATTGACCTTCCATCAACGGCTTACCTCTAGTGCCAAGGAAGCGCACCGCTCCGATACCGACTCCCGTACCAATACCGTAGAGCAATGAGTTACGAACGCACGGGATGTTGCCGAGGTTCTTGAAGTCCTCGACAGGTCGGATCCTCTGTCGATGTCAGCATTCGGAATGAGCAGGTACAATACCTTGATCGCCGTCCAAGAGTCCTTGAAGATATTTCCAGTCCGCCTCTCGTCAGGTGGAAGCACGCCCGGAGCAGAGTCCGGGGTGATCGGGCTGTTTCCCGCGGGAATGTTAAGAATCGGCTTCGGCTCGTTCTCTGGTCGTCGGGTATCGTTGTCAGACATGGTGATGGAGGAAGAGGTTGTTATTACGAAGTGGAGATGGCGAATGGAAAAGAGCACTCGGCGGAGAATCCAGGCAAACGGTGGGACGGAGATCGCCACGGGTCCGCGCCCTGAACTTGGCCTGTCAGTGACGCGCTGCTGTACACAATCCGATGCTCCTCTGCAACACACCCAACGACAACACTCGAGACCTTGACGCAGACGATGGCGGCGACAGTGGAGTTATCAGAGCCACCGGCCACCGAACATGCTGCCACGCCCAGCTCCGATCCGACGGTGAACGGCTCCGCACCACGCGCCTCCACGTCGTCTGCGCACTCACTCGACCTTCCCTCCCTGGTACCACTGTCGCATGACCACGCCCTCCTCTCCTCAGCAACATTCGAGGTCGATGCCTTCCTTTTATCACGAATCCACATTCCTCTCGACGAGCTTCGGGGCGAGCTACGATCATACCTCGGTGTTCTGCGGGAAGAGCTTGTTCAGCTCATCAATGACGACTATGAGGAGTTCATCTCGCTCGGCACAGGGATGCGGGGTGAGAGCGACCGGCTGAAACGGCTACAGAAGCCGCTGGAGATGCTGAGAGGAGAAGTGGAGGTAGTGCGCGACGTGCTCGCGTCGCATCAGGACGCTGTGCAGGAGAAGCTCGATGAGCGAGCAACGCTGCGCGAGGAGAAGGCACTTCTAGAGCTTCTGCAGCGGCTCTTCGAGACATTAAACCGTGCTGAGTCTTTGGATACGGCATCGGATGACGCAGAACGGCCAAAAGCTGTTGCCCGTCTAGCAGGCGAGTACACGCAACTCGTGTACCTGCGCAACAAGGTGCAGAGGGAGGGCTGTAAGCTGGCCGAAGTCGCGGAGCCGCGCATCGACAAGCTGCGGTCACAGCTGAACAACGACCTCTCAACGCTTCTGACGACGGCACTGGAAGCCAAGGACGAGGCGCATATCCGCCAGTGCCTGCGGACGTACGATGTGATCGAGGCGTGGGAAGACGCCGAGAGCGTTGTCCGGGACGACGTCGAGACCTGGTGCAGGAGCAACATTCGAGCAGCCGCACTCTCCGACCCCGTTACTAGTCCCGACTCCCCGGTACCGAGTGCGCGGCGGCTAAAGCCCTCGACGCCGCTCGCTGTGCTCTACAACCGCGTCCTCGACCAAGTGGAGGTTTACCAGCCTCTGATCAAGATGGCACAAGCCCTCAGCGCGCACTTCGACTTCTTCTCGCGCGTGCTGTGGCCGGAGATCTCAAAGTCTGTCGTGGACAACCTCGGCAGCGTCATTTTCGCTGCCGGTCGGCCAGATGAGCTACACAAACACTACACGGCAACGCATCAGTTCCTGACACACTTCGAGTCGTACGCGCCAAGCATCGACGCTGTGATTGCTGTCCGCGAGTCGCCAGAATACTCTGCCTTCGAGCGAAGATGGCAGTTGCCCGTCTACTTCCAGCTGCGGTGGAAGGAGATTGTGACTGCTTTCGACTCTGCGCTGAACAGCACGACGGGAACAGCTACCTCACCCTGGCACTTGCCCCAGAGTCAGGCGGCGTGGACGGCGTTCCAGCGCTGCTGGGCTCGCGACATCTTCCTCCCTGAGTTGACGCACCGCTTCTGGCGTCTCAGCCTCCAGATCGTGTCTCGGTACGGACTGTGGTTGTCGAACCAGCTTATCAACTTCAAAGAGGACGAGGACGATGCGACACTCCGTTTCGCAGCCTCGGCGATCTCCGACAGCGATCTGCTCCTCGAGAAGATTGCGACACTGCCAGAGCTTGTCGAGCTCGGCGTCGACCTGCCCTTGTCCCTGTCCACCACACATTACGCTGAGCGCATCGTGCTCATACTCCAGAAGCGATGCGCGGAGCCGCTGAAGCTGGTTCGTTCCGTTGCATCGCAGTTCCGTGCCTCCGGAAGCAAGAGCAGCGGACCACCGGCGGCCTCTTACTTTGTCCCGCAACTGCTGAAGCCGGTGCACGCCTTCTTCGATGGGCGACCAGCGCTGAAGGCAAAGTACCAGGCGGCGTGGGCGGGCCAGGTGGCCGAGCACGTGATGAGCAACTATGCGCAGATCCTGGCGCAGGTGCGCAAGACAGAGGACCTTTTGCGGCGGCACCGCAAGACGCGCAAGGGCGGCTTCTCTCTGTTCGGATCGCAGAATGCGGCACAGGACGACGGTGCGGATGATGAGCGCTTCAAGGCCCAGATGCTGGCCGATGTCGAGGGACTGGCGGCCGACGCGAAGAGCCTCGGCGTCACCGTTGACAACATGGCCTCGTGGGCTGAGCTCAAGGACGTCGTCCAGCGTCCAGCGGAGTAGCGGAGACCTACGCATCTGTCATAACCCGAAGACATCTGCTTCATGATTTAGACAATACGGCTTCCGAGTCGGGAACCTTGGGAGTACGATCGGGATCCTCGGGTGATCCAGCGATCTCAGGCGTTCCAGTAGATAAACCTGTAGATGCACGTGCTGCACACCTGGCGATTGGCGTGCCGATGACGGCTGACAACGGCTGATTATGGCTTGGCGCGCCGATATCGGACACCTCGGTGTGAACCCCAAGCGGTGAAGTGGTTTGCGGGTGGCGCGTCCATGGGCACAGGAACGGGCCGAGATCTGCAGATCATTGTGCATGCCCACATGTGCCCAGGTGTCATCTGCACTCGTCATTCGCTGATTGCACAGATGGACAGTGGGGGTTGAGGTGATTGTGCAGTGGAATAAATCGGCCGATTGCGGATGAGCAAAACCAAATCTGCGGGAAGGACCGCCGTCAGCCCCCGTGCTGACGCAGACACGTGGCTATCTCCCAGCCAAAATTCGGCGCTCAGCGGACTGGCCCCTCTCCCCGCATCAGTGGCCGGGCGACCCGCACAGAAACGCGCAGCCGCACTCGTAAGTTCACGTCGTCGCAGCCAATGGTCTCGCACCCCCGCCACCGACACATCGGCCCGCCTGCACCTGGGGCCAGAGAGCGGTGATTAAACCTGTACATGCACTCGGCATGGCGCACGGCACACACGGTTTACCCCTACCTCGCCACGGCAGAGAACGGCGAGTATCGCTAAGTCAGGAAACCCGTGGGGGTGAGTGGGTCAGACAAAGCGATCCAGTCGAGTCACCCAGAACCCGACACGGCAACCTAGCCAGGAAACGAGACAATCGCCGTGGCGGCGACAGGGGCAACATTTGGGCACCCCGACGCCATCCGCTCGTCGGGTCTGCCAAGATCTGCAGTCGGGTCCGGAGGTGCGTGAGCGGGAACGGCAGGGGGTGGGGTGGGACGGGGCCTGCATTCGTTATGCAATGCGGTTAGTCGCGGCGCTCACGGGCGTCCTGCTCTGTGACCAGCGTGTTCTGTGTGGGAACCAGATTTTTATCAAGATTGTATAAAACAATCTCGATAAGCCGGCCCGTTCTCGTCAGTCACCTTCGACAACCGACCACTACCACTACCAACCACACCACATCTCTAGGAGCAACGTTACTCCACCCCTACTCCTCTCTTACTTTACTCCGAACCCAACCCACGCCACAATGATCCACTTCCCCGCCGAGGTCGTGAAGCAGCTCCCGTTCACGAAGTACACGATGCTGGCGCAGATGGCGGCCGAGCACGACGACATGCTCCCGCTCCCGATCCCCAAGGCTGCGCTCGCGCAGGCCCTCGAGCTGGCCGACTGCATGCTCGAGTCGCCCATCTTTGACGAGCCGACCAAGTCCCAGGTCGGCGCCTGGAAGGCGCTCCTCGTCGAGGAGGCCGGAGACTGGTACCGCACCAAGGAGGCCCTGGGCGATGTGCCCATGTACCGCGTCCTTCTCGGCATGCAGGAGGAGATCACCCAGCTCCGCCACCAGCTCACGATGGCCCAGGGCCGTCTCGATGCGCTCGACGAGGCCCGCTTCAACCACGCCCGCAAGGTTGTTGGTCTCCCGCCCAGCCGCTCGCGCCCGGGTTCGCCGCCCCACGCTCCCCACGCTCCCCGCTACGCTACCCCCGCCGCTATCGACCGCCTTGGAAGCTATGGTCTCCGCGACGCCCTCGAGGCGTACCTCGACGAGCAGCCTCCCGAGGAGGCCAGCAAGGAGAGCATGCGCGCTGCCCTCAAGATCTGCTGCGGCGTTGATGCCTAAGCAATCTTCTCAACACTCCCGCCTCATCACCGCATAGAATTCCAACGTTGTATTTGTATCAAGCCTGTCTAGGGCATCTCATATCTCATATCCTCATACTGGTGCCCAGCACCGTCTCATGCCTCATGTAATGATCTCTCACTGTTCACCTATGTCTTGCTGCATCGCTTCCATCCACTTTGCCTGAGTCGAGAGCCCCCAGCTGATCCAGATACCAGCTTGCATCCGCTCGCCATATCGCTGGACGCTGGAACCACACAAACTTTCATGCAACACGGCGCGCGATGACCGATCTGGCCGATCTGGACCGATGAGGCACCAGGGTCGCCACCAGGCGTGCTCAGGTGTGTTCAGGGTGGTATATGAGTCGCCACCCAAAAGGACACCGGTGGACATTGGGCTGATCTCCGAGCGCCGATTATCGGCGATGGTGGTTCTGAGACAAGCGGTTTGGACGCCATTGCGTATAGAGGGGACGTTCTTCAGGCAACGGGGGGAGGATTCAGTGCGTCACAGGTATTTCTGGCATACCGCCGAAAGCTTGTCGTCAGCAACTCTTCCCAGAGCGGAATGGGTTACGCATAGACGCCTTCTGTTGCTCTCATCGTCGGTTATGCTCAATGGCGTCTTCATCTCCGAACGTCGTAAAGAGACTGCTGCTCTCCAATATGATGTACACAGGTGTTAGACCTCTATGTAGGTGTGCCTAGGAATTAATGGGAGCGATATCACCATCCGCATAGCGACAAGTGCAAGACTTCACCCTGCCACTCGATTCCACCTCTGGCACTCACAGCACGTGCAAGAACGAAGCGCCCCGTGCACCGTTCGAATTCCAGCGGTTCAGTGTCAGGCGACTGTTTTCAGCATTTTGGCGCCGGCTCCGATCGGCGCAAGCCGCCGGACCCGACCGGCTACTTGACGTCCATGCCTTGGGGTTTCTTGGACACTACACCTCTCTTTGCATACTCACCTCGACCACCACGATGGCGGCCAGAAACTCGGTCCTCATCCTCCCCTTCACCTCGGGGATCCTCAAGGACCCATCCTCCCTGCTCCCGGTTATCTTCGACGCCGCGCAGGAGCCAACAGAGTCGCTCACTGTCGTCTTCTCGACTCCCGGATCAGGAAAGCAGCTCTACGCCGAGCTCCGGGAAGCTCCCAAGGCGCACTTTGAGGAGCTGCAGCGCTTCCTCGGCAAGGTTTACGCTGCTCTTGCTGCGGGACAATGGACGGCGAACCGTGTCCTGCTCAACGTCGAGGTGCGCTTCGACGGGGAGCTCGGCGACTGGTCCGAGAAGCTGCAGGCTTTGCCGGACGAGGTCGTCCGACTCGAGGGTGAGTTACACGTATGATCGGAGCTAACTGCCAGACCACGAGGACCTCGGATGGCGCATTGTCGAGGCCGGTGCTTCGAACGCGAAGCGACGAACGATTGCGTCACGCAAACTGCCAGGTGACGCCAAGCTCGCCCCCTGGACGCCGGTGGGTGGGTACCCCGTGTCGGCGATCGGGGGCACGTTTGACCACCTGCACGCCGCTCACAAGATTCTGATCAACATGGCGCTGTTCGTGAGCGAGAAGCGGCTGATTGTCGGTGTCATGTCGCCGGACCAGCTGAAATCGAAGAGCAACGCGGGCGTGCTTGAGGATCTTGACACGAGGATTGGCGGCGTCAACGCCTTCCTGAAGCGGTGTGGGCCGGGGGATATCCAGCTCGACGTCGTCGAGATCCAGGACGCACTCGGACCGACGGCGTGGGATCCCGAGATCGAGGCCCTCATCGTGTCGCGGGAGACCATGTCTGGGGGAGCGTACGTGAACAAGGTCCGCAAGGAGAAGGGCCTCGGCGAGCTCGACATTCTCTGCATCGATGTCATCTCCAGCATCGTCGCTGAGGAGGCCGGCACGACGGTCAACCTCTCCGAAGCGGACGGGGAGCAGCTGAAAGAACTCAAGATGGGAAGCACGGCGATCCGCGGCTGGATCGCTGAGCAGAAGAAGCAGCACGACCTCGAGGAACGGGTCAACAAACACTAGGGAGCAGGGTAATACATGGTTACAGTATGCAGGATATATGCGATGATGCGTGTGGCTTCTGATTGATGGACCGACTACGTGAGGCCGATCTCGCGCGACTCCTCCAGGTCAAGGTCGATGCCGTCCGTGACGAGATTCTGCGTGTCAGCGTCGTCTCCGTAACTCCAAGCAGTAACTTACCTCCGGCTTGAACGCCCACTTGTCGAAGACGTCGACGATGCGCGCCCACTGGTCCGTCGAGATGTTGCGGATGATCTCGTCAGGCATGACGGGCTCGCCCTTGTACCCATTGTTGGGCGTCATGATCTTGTCGATGAGGTTGTCCGCGCCGAAAGCGAGAGCGGGCAGCGCCTCCTCGAGCGGCACCGTCGAGCGGACAAACATCTTGCGCAGGATGTAGTCCCAGCTCTCGCGCTGCGCAGCAGTCACGACGGGGTGCGCCTTGGGGATGAGCTCGATGCCGAGCAGGTGCGGGCGCAGGAGGCGCGTGTCGGGCGGGCTGCTGCGACCGCCCGAGGTCAGCGCCTCCCGAATGGGGTAGAAGTCGCCCGCAAATGTCGGCGTCACCCTGCCCGTCGTCGTGCCGCCGAGCCACCAGCGAGCAATTGTCCGCCGCTTCGTGAACTCCTTCTCCTCGCCGGCCACCTCCTTCAGCTTGCCCTTGCGCAGGGCGTTCTTGTCCTTGACGCGCTCGGAGGCGTCGGCAGGGTCGCGGATGTGGTGGAGCGGAGGGAGAGCACGGACGTCGAAAAGGGCGTTGGTCAGGACGGACAGCTTGCAGTAGTTGGTGCCGCCGAGGGGAGCCATGATGCGCTGTTCGTTAGCTCAGTAGGGAATAGAAATACTTACGTCGTAAATACTCCTCGTGACGAGGAGAGCGAGTCGAACACGTCCCCACTCCCAGATCCATCCGCGCTTGCCCTCGGCGTTGCTTGAGGTCGCACTCAGAATCCACTGGTTAACGAGCTGGTCACCGAAGACGGCGTCCGGAATCGTAGCGACGAGGGTGATGGGCGGAGCGGGAGCGTCCCACGGTCGCTTCGTGCCCTCCAGAGGACCCTTTGACTCATCGTATACCTCCAGGTGCTGAGCGACGAGAGGGTCCGACAGAATCGACGCCGCCGTGGGCCAGTGATAGATTGTGACGGGAGAAATGCCGAGGTTCTCCTGCAGATGTGAGGGGTAGACTGTCCGCTTCAGATGCCTCAGGCCAGTCGGGGGCTCGGCCCCAGGCTCGGGAACATCGTCCATCTCCCACCTGCTTGGGGGGAGCAGATCCGGGTTAAAGCCAAACCCTCGCCAGAGCGCTGAGACCTTTGGGTCGTTGGCAACCACGAACTTCGGGGTGGTGACCGAGGCAGGCTTGGCGGGCGGCGCAGCGACCTCGCCGTCTTCGTTCGCCTTCGCCTTTGGCGGTCGTCCCTTCGACTTCACGACTGGCCGCACAATGTCGTCGGTCTCGGATACATCCCACGGGGGAAAGTTGAAGTCCATGGCTGTTCCTCGTCTCCGCTTAATCTCGGAAGCGACCGGGCCGACAGGCAGACCCTTCTCCTTCTGCTCCTCGACGGTGCGCTTCCAGTCGGCGGAGGTCGTCTCGTCGTTTCCTCCGGCAAGAAGCGCTCGTGTTGTTTGTCCTGGTCCGCAGTAGGCATCAATGACAACCTCGTTCTTCCGTATTCCGAGCTCGCGGACGAAATCGTTGGCGAGACCTTTGTTGGCGAGGGTCACGCGCTTGCCGCTCTCGCGCGAGCCGGCACCTTCGCCGCGAGGGCTCTTCATCCAAACCGTGTTGCCCCATTCAACGGCCGGCGGTAGCGGTGGTAGTCGTAGCCGAGGCATGGCGGAGCTACTATCGTGGAGTTGTCAGACAGTGCATCGACGCCGACCGAATGAGAGGGCACCCGAAAGTTGAGTTGCAGCAGGAAATTTGTCACGTGGTAGGTGGAGGTGTGCAGTACGTCACCACTGCAAGTGACTGCGATCCACTCGATCCACTCGATATCCGCGCATTGTCTTTGGTGATCGCGACTATCAGAACGATCTAACGCTCTAACGCTCTCTACACAAGCACGCCATGCACCTAACACCGTCACCTTCCCTAACATCTCCACCTCGCCCCTCCCCACTCACACCTCATCATCATCGACGGCTAACCTTCACTTCCTCTCTTACTCGCTTTCGCGCGCCATGCTCTACTCCGCTTACCTGCAGACCTTGGAGCCTCCACACTTCTACAGCGAGGCGGAGGAGAGTGACTTTCACCATTCCGTTCGTGCCTTCCTTCGTCAAGTGTCAAGGGGAGACGATGAGGATGTCACCAACGCCGCTGCCGACCTTGTCGAGTCTTTGTTCGACTGGTTCCCGCCGCTGGGCTTGGGGCTACAAACCCAGGTCGCTGTAGAGACGCCAGTGACGTCTTCCTTTATGGGGCTCAATGTCTTCCGTCCGTCTCTGAACTCGCTCCGGACCGGCACCACGGAAAGCGTACGTCAAATTAACACCGCCTTTACTCATGCTGTTCCAGACTTGGGATACATACTCCATCCACTCGTCCTCAACGGCAGGGTCCCCAATTAACTTTTCCGCACCTGACAGGCCAGGTCAAGGAGAACAAGTCCTTGGAGTTCCTGAGCTTCGCCTCACAGCCTCGACCAAGACGGAAAGTAAAGAAGGGGTCAAGCACACCTGGCGCCTCGCAACGCTTATCATCCACGTGAAACACTACAAGCTTAACTCTCGGCTTCTTGCGGGCAGCCCTAGAGCGCCGACAGGTACCCAGACAATCCTTGCAGCCCTGTCAGAGGCTACAGGACTACTTGCAAAGGCTTGGATGGAATGTGGAACCTTCTGGAGCATGATCATGGTCAACTCCCAGTTCAGCCGCTTGTGCGTCCTTGATGTACGAGGAGTGAGGGAAGACATCGATGGCGTAGGTGCCACCCCGATGACTGAAGCTGACGTTAAGCCCGTCGCACATGACAGCCCTGTCGTGTTTACGATGGCGCTGGAGGTTTCACCATGGCTGTTACATCAGCACCCCAATGGACGTATTGACCTTTCTACTTTACTGGGAAGAAAGGTTGTGGATCCGCACCTTCTCCTCTGCCACGACATGATTTACAGTTATCACGCTACGGCTCAACCAGTATATGAGCCGCAGAATGGGGAGTACTCGCTCAACCACGAGTCGATGGCTATACTCTGGGGGTCTCTCGTTCGCGCGATTAATCTCATCGGTAAGATCCCGATGGGCGAGCCACTGCGACGACTCGAAGCTTCAAGCGAGGCCCTCAAACTCTACTCCAGGCAGCTCCTGTCGTGCTCGCAGGACGTGGTTGTTTCATGCGTGACACCGGCTGGTGATCCGAATCCGAAGCTGCAAACCCGGGCACCAGTAACACCCGAAACATTGGAACCGCTGCCGGAGCCACTGATCCGCCTCCATGACACACGTGAACAGCGTGCCGTGCCCAGTGCCGGGATTGGTCCCAACCGTGAGTTGAGTCCTTCAGCATCTCGTGAGTTGTACCACTAACGTCACTAAGGTGTGGCTGTGGGAACGGAATCTGCTGTCGATCGCGGAAAGACCAATCCTGAGTTGCGGACCTGGCTCAACGACGTTTCCCTAGTTGGAGGGGACGCAGTGACCGAGCCGCTGGACGACGACAGTGAAGCTGCAACCATTCCCGCCCAGCCGGAGACTAGCCTGGTGCTGCGGTTTGTCACCAGTCAAGAGATGGACATTTTGGAGCTGCTGCGTTTCGGCGATGTCGCTGGTGCTCAACGTCGGGAAGATCAATCCTTGCTCTCGCCCTGTCTCGACTGTTGTTGCATCGCATGAGCACGCCCTGCCCCGGATCCAATCTACCGCCGAATCATTATCACCTCATCATCAGGAGCTACAGCGCCAAAGGACAGCCTACCAGCCCTGTGGCCCTTATGACGAAAGTATGGAACCTCAGATGTAAGCATTTACTACCGAAGGCGTAACAAAAGTGCGGTGCATGTGTAACGTTCTGGCTTTTGGTTCGAACAGCTGTGCTGGCCAGAACCTGCACGATTACCGACGTCACAATGGTGAGACAGGAAAACAAAGTTGCGACGGGATAGCTACGGGGAAGGTGAAATGATCCTGGCATTAGCGTGGGGAAGGTACTGCAGGCACTGTCGGTGTTTGTGGGTGACACTCTGCGCTGGGCGATCGAGGCATCGGTCAGATTCCTGCGATCGAGGTATTCACTCAATCGAGATCGCGAGCAGCAACTGGGTGATTGGGCGGAGTGCGGCGGAAGGGGTCAGGTCAGTACAGACGCGTCTCGCTTCCTCTGGCAGCGTACTGAGATCACGTCAGACGCGATGCAGTCCCTTCGCCAGGCTGAGGCAGTTGTCAGATGAGGAGACCGTAGAGGATTGACCATAGTGGTACTGGAAGATCCAGGCCTGGTGCAAGGGACCGCCTCCGCTCACAAGGCTAGGACCAAGGAGGAAGGGGGCGACCCAAACGTTCCATTTCATTGCAATGAAGTGGGTTTGAGGTCTGTAACGGATCGTCACTGTTGGGAGCTGGAGTGCGTACGATCGGACAGGTGGCTCCCACAGGTCTCCAACTCCTGTCTAAGTTCTCCGTGCCATGCCATTAGCGAATCACACATTGAGATGCCATCTCGCATGTGCCTACCTCCATCGTGTGTGCGAAGTGAGAAGAGTGGGAGCGGCATCTGGGGTGCACGAGGAGCGGAGTGCCTGCATGCCAAGGGGGGGGGCATCGATGTACCTGGGTGCTGAGGACTTGGGTGATTAGTGGACGTTGGGCGCGCTGGTCGTGTTGGGCACTCGAACCCTGCAGGTGCCCGAGGGCTACGTAAGGGATCGATGAGCCCTAGGGGAAGTACAGAGCTTAAACTGGTCGCGGCAAGCAGTCTGCGTCAGCACTGTGGTCGGAATAACTCTCACTACCGTCGACCATATAGGGATTGTATTGCAAGCTCAGCGAGAAACTCTATTCCCGACTGATTCTGCACTTTCGTAGCTTCAGTCGCAGCGCCGCACCTAATCACGCACCGACGGTCCTTGAGGCTTTGAGGCCCCGGGCCTTATTGATTCACTTCGCAGGGCCGCGGACGCCGGAGGCGTTGTCGGTAGCGCTTCCAGCACCGCCAAGTCGTTCACCGTGAATTCCCAGTGACTACTCGGCGCCGCCGAAGGTTTAGGCGGGGCGGAGGTGACTCTCTGGAACAGCGAAGACGACTGAATAAGATCTGCACTTGCTCGTTCCGAGCCACTGCCGTACCACTCAGATCTGTCGTTCCTACTTCATCGGCTGATTTATGCGATTTGATGACCTCTTCACAGTAGTTTGGCCGGACCACGAGGCAAGAGAGAAAGGCAGCGTGCGCACTCCCTTTCTCTGCCGGGTCTAGCGATGAGCAGATACATCGGGTTGGAGAGCAGCGTTACTGAGTGGCGGTGGTGTCACCCATGAAGAGAGGGCGAGAAGGCGTTCCTGAGGCTGCCTTCAACGGTCCGAGCCGGTTTTGCAACAGTGTGCTATAGGGATGAGCGCAGACCTTCCGAGTGCATTGTTTCGAGAACAGCATCTCAATGCAAGGAACAGGCGCGGCCAAGGTACGCAAGTTTAGCCGGCAGCCAGGCCTCGTGAGCCTCATGCCCGTCCATCGTCCTGTGGTGATCGCGACCAATTCTGTTAACATGCGTAAGGTGCGACAATGCCGGCTGTCTGACGGCGCTGCCAGCGCCTGTTGCGGGCAGCGGCCAGGAGGTGAACAGGAGCGCAAGGGACGAGGAAGGTGCGACGATTCATGCTTGCGCAATTCCTGCAAAGCATGTACGCAACACGCAATGCAAGTAGAAAGGAACGGGGGATGTACGCACGTCAAAAGCCTGAGCCTCTCGGTACAGCCGCGACCACTTCGCTTGCGGGTGCGTCTTTTTTGTCCACTGCTGGCTAGAGTTGCATTCCCAGAAACGGCCAGTCTTCTGCTCCTTGGCAGAAGGCTGCGCGGCCCGAGACAGCGCAGGCGTCCAAGGCCTTCGAATCCTCGATTCTCCGACCAGGTCCCCCCGCTGGTTGTGCCGATCCCTTGCTCGGCGCCGATACGAGGCTTTCACCACGTCAGCTGCGGCGCCGACTTACGAGAGCCAGACGTCCCATCTCAGCCCGCGGAGCCCGTCTATTCTTTGTCCACGGCATCGCGGGCGCCGCGTGTGCTGCACGCGCTGCACGCTCTGCCTGGGCCGTGCGACCCGAAGCGAGCAGGCGTCGCGCTCTTGTCTCACCTCGCAATTCGGAGCATTTCGCACCACGCAGACTGCACGAGGCGAGCTCTTTAGGTAAAAGGTTGACAACTTGGCCACGAGGTCCCGCTCGACTGGCGAGCTGGTGGCCGTGCCGCCCCTTCGCTTCCTTCTACATTTACTGAATCCGAATCATCTGCTGGCGACGGGTCGTCGAGGGCACGGATCCTTGCCGGCGGTGACTCCTACGACGGCAATGCATATCAAAAGGGCCAGCGGCGTCCCCACTTCAGCACTGAGCTCTGTCAGTAGGACAGCGGTGGGGTTATTGGGTATGGTACAGCGCCACTTTGAGGTTGGGATGGCGCCTGTCCTGCGCCGGCCCTGTGTTACCATGGGTTGTTGTTCGGCGCACCCTGCGCCAGTCTGTGCCGTGTGCGCCGGCCCATGATTCCAAAACTGAAAGGACGAGACGGTAGATCATAGCGCGGAAAGCAGAACAACAGCCATCAGATAGGCTTGGCAGGTCGGTGGCTCCCCTTGCGCCACGGCCCAAAGTTTTGTCGTCAAGTATATCCAACTCGATGCCCAACGTCGGGACAATGCTCTCGCTGCGGGCTGGTGCTGCAATCAAGCTGCTCGGTCCCCGACAACAACAGGTCCAAGGTCCCGAGAGCCCCGCTTTAGGTCGCTAGCACCGAGCGCAACGCACGGCCCGGCTAACGGCCCTCAAGCACAAGTTGTCTGGCGAGCCTTTGTCTACAGCGTAGAAAGCCTCATCGGCGGTGAGACACTTTAGCGGCCCAGGCGGGTACGTGAGCGTGTGCGTGGCTGGCATGTGCGTGTGCGTCGGATGTCTCTCGCTGGCAAGGTACTGGGTCGTCGGTCCTGTGCAGGAACAGGTGAGTTCGAGGTACATGGTGAGCATGGCGCACGGTTTGTTTCTTTACGATCTCCCATCCAGCGTTCGTATGCAGCTGTCGTACTGCGTCCTCTTCTTTGCTGCGACCCTCACGGGCTGACCTCCGTTTCCACCTCCAGCTCTCGAGCCCCAAAGACTTCAGCACACCTGAAGGACCATCTCCAGCGTCCCTTCCGCATATCCGCTCGCCAAACGCCTGTCTCGGACCAAAGTCGAGCGGCCAGGGCTCTGTGCGCCTGTGCGACCGGAAGCGCCGCCGGGGCAGACAGCGCCGGCAGAGCCGGCATTGGGCGAGAGCGTGCTTTAGCGCGCAGCGGCCGAATTGAAGGAATTCAAGGAGATGCGCTGTTCCATATTCCAATTGCTCTGCCTGTTCTATTCGGGTCTGCATCTCCGTCCTAGTTCCAGTCAGACATCAAACACGGCGCTTTGCTCTGTCACATGCAATGGACCGAGGCGCGCCGGGGGGGGGGCGCCCTGCCGGCCGAGCCCCGATGACGAAGATGACGGTATTCAGAGAAGTGTCAGAAGAGGGGACCCGATTCCCGATAGAATTGTTGGGGTCGCGCGGGGGCCGGATGAAATGCTGGGCCTGCCGCTGGGTCCTGCTGGGCCTTTGTCTTGCAGAACCATTCAATGCCTCTGGCCGCACACCCGTCGCGAAACACAGGGACGCAAAACACACTGAAGCCATCGAAAAGCTTGGGTGGGACTGGCATCTGAATTCAAGCGTGCGCTTTCATCAGAACAGTCTGTGACAAGAACATTGTTCTAGACGCGCACGTACACCTACTTAGGCGTCTGTACGGGAGGTGTTCGATGCGAGTACGTGATATACGAGAGATTGTATGGCGCCACTCTGCTTGTTCACTAGTGTCCCAGTCCCTCCGCGAGTTAAAAGTGCGCCAGAACACAACACGCGCTTGGGAGCAGAGCACGCGCACACAAACACGCCCAGCAACGGCTAGTCGGAGATGTGTTTCGAAGGGAGGCTGTCGGTCGCAGCCCGTCGTGGGACCCTGGAGCAACGTAATGAGCATTGGGACCTGGCGAGAAACTCCCTCGACCGCTGGAGTAACAGAACAAACCCTATCTCCTGCTGCTGCCATTCTTCCTGACGTTGAATCCTGAAAGACCTGGTGTCCTGACTTCGTGATCTCCTGGATTTCTCTTTGCTTCACTGTCGCCTAGACCCTGGCTTGTCTCTTTTGGCCGCCGCCGCCCGCGCGCCCGGAGCCACAAAGCCGCCACGGCTTCGGGCTTCGGCGCCGCTGCTACTCCTGTTCTGCACATTCTGAAGGGTCGCATTGGGTGCACAAGTCGGTTCCTGCTGTTTGCACCCTAGGAGCGTTTACAGCTCGCACTGGGGCTACTCTGCTTCCTGGCGTAACCCAGATCAAGTGCCTGCAGCTTCTCCAAAGCCCACAGCAGGTGGTGAACGCCGTCAGACGTTGCTCGCCCTCGGCGTCCTCGCTCTGTGGGTCTAACGGGTCCGTACAGGTTCTGGTCCAGGGGAAATCATGCACCCTTACGAGTCCCAACAACCCGCCCGCGCTGCTCGTCGTCATCTTGCTTGTGATCCTGTGCTTTCATTCACCTCTCACCCTCGCTGCACCCTCACGCATACCAGTCCCTGCCCTGGCCCCTTGCCCACGGTCCTTTCCCTTGCTCGTCGTGTACTCTTTTGATCCTCGATCCTTCTTTCGATTAGCCTGGCCAAACGTCGAAGACTAAGACGACACCTTGTCTTGGACATAGTACCTAGTAGCCTAGTACCTGACTGGGGTTGGTGTTCAGCCAGCACTAGGTCTAGTGCGAGTTACGCACACTCGAAAGTTAGCTAGAACAGCCGCTCAGATACAGAGATTACCACTCGACTGTATCTCACATACACACACCGCACTCTAACTCTACTCTGGGATCTTTGAGTACATCATCACTACTCCGGCCGGCACCCACATACCCACGACCCCGTCTAGCGTTTTGGCGTTCCACTTACTCCGGCACCTCCGCATCGCATCTTGCAACCACAAAATATCGCATCGAACCCTCCCGTTCCTCCCTTCAGCAGAATCCACCACCGCTCTCGCCGTCGCCGACCACGCACCACCGGCGTCTGAAGTTCCAAAGGGGAACGAAGGAAGACACCAGGACACCTGCTTGTGATTCCTTTGTCCGGTTTCGATCGCCGAAGTCTCAACCTCTCACCCTCTCTCCGCGCACTCGCTCGATTTGGTCCTTGCGCACGGACTACCGACCCCCTGTCGCGAGATACCGAGGACGACAGTGCGAGTCGCGATCGATCTGCTCGTTCTTCTTTCTCTCTGGATCATCGACAAGGAAGGCAGGACCAAGCGATAACTCGACCACAACATCCGTTTACAACATCCTTTGATCATCGCTCAGTCCCTTCCTCCGACTTTTCGTCACAGTCAATTCACTATCCTTACAATCTTTACGACACAATCGGCTATCCCGCTATCTCGACGCCAGCTAATAACAAGCGCATCGTCGTCGCTCCGTTCTTCCCAAAAGTGGACTTGGCTGGAGGCAGAGCGTTGCCTGTGGCCAGGTAGCCATGTCCAGTGAGTTGCAGTAGCTTGGCGACGACAACGGCGCGACGGTGCTAGTCGGCCATCAGTCACCCGCAGGCGCAGCGGCCCGCGCCGTGTCAAGCACGCTGTCGCGGGACACTTCTGAATCACTGCTAACAAACAGCATTCCCTATTGTATCAGAGTCCTCCGCCACGTCCCTTCTGTCTGACCTCCGACCGACAACGGTGCAGCCCCAGACGCTGCAGATCGTCAATGCGTTTCTCGATGAACTCATTATTGCGACCGTGACCACGGCCAAGTCCATCAACCCCGAGCACTTTCGGTATCGCGGCGTCCAGGGCGCTCTCGGCTCTTTGCCCACACCCGAGTCCCCAGTTCAGCAGGCGTCGCTTGGACCCCTCGGTCGTGCTGTCGTCGGCGAGGCCGAGCTCGAGCTGAGGTCATGGTATGAGGGGCACCCTACTGCCCAGCGGGGCCAGTCGGGCTTCCCTCCTGATGGCAACGGCCGAGGAATGGTTGGGGCCATGGAGTCTGCTGGGATCGAGTTCCCCCTGGCCGAAGCAAGCCAGCTCATGCGCCTCAAGGTTGCCATGTTGTCTGTGAGTCCCCTTCACCCTGTGCCGTGCAGGAGCTGTCGCTGACCTTGCCCGCAGTCTTTCGCACCAACCCCACCAGACCACAGGGAAGAGCTACGCATCATCGAGGCCTGGGCGGAGGCCGGTGGCGACATCGCAGAGGAGACAGTGACCCCTGCAGCTCTCTGGCTCACGGCCATGGTTGAGTGAGTGGATTCCGCGCGCTCGGCCCTTCCATGCGTCCTAAACACGGCCTGTGCGCACGCCGGAGGCGCAGTGTGGGCGGCGAAGAACAAGTTGCTGACACCCGGCCAGGCACATTTCCGAACATCTCTTGCAAAAGATTGCGCAGGTCGTGGGGCGAGACTCGGCGGTGATGGCGGCCGACGTGCAGCACCTTTACACGGCGCTGTGCGAGGACGACTGCCTTTACTTCTTCTTCAAGCGGATGAAGAGTGAGTGCCCGTGTGCCAAAGGCGCCGGACCGCCGAATATTCGCTGACCCTCAGTTCGAACAGAGATCGAAGAGATCATCGCACAGACACCATCGAAGAAGCACCCTGGAGGAAAGAAGTCGCGGACAGTGAGCCAATCAACCGTCCCTCAGAAACCGGGGACTGCGGATGTGGAGATTGGGTCCAAGAGCTCTCTCGGGTCGCATACTGCGGAGGATGCGGCCAAGGACGGGCCACGACCCGTCAGTGAGAACTTCTACAAGAATCTGCGGAATGTCGCCAAGGGCACCAAAAACAACCACAAGCGCGCGACGAGCATCCTGGGCATTCCCAGCTTCCCGATCGGCCATGGCCACACAAAGGAGGATTCGGTGACGGACGTTACGTTGAGCGCGGCCGATGCGGACTTCGAGGCCTTCCTCCGCAGTGGTGAAACCATGCGCGTCAGTCTGACACCTTCCCGTTTCAGCACGCTGGATGTGAGTGGTCGCGACCGTTACCAGGGGTGCTCGTTTGGCTGACAGTTACAGAACACGTTGACCTCGCCGTCAGCGACCTCCTTTTCCCGTCTTCCCGGTGACGGAGGTAACGCCAACCAGTCCTCCAGCGAGTCGTCATTGATCACTGCCTCGACCCAAAGTTCTGGAGAATCGAGTCGACCAAGCCACCGTGTTCTCGCCGGACGACAAAGTTGGACTGCTGGTAACGCTGGGTGGTCCCCGAACAGCCTGAAACTGCGTCCGCGAAGAGCAACGATAGACGAACCGCTCGAGGAGGAGGACACAAGCAGCTCTGGCCCGACGCTGATGGAGCTCATCAAGGCGTCCCCAGAACCGCCAGAGACGACAGACATCGTTGGATCGCCTGGATCGGAGCTGACCCAGATCCCAGCTGTGGTTGTGGATCCGGGATCTCGACCAGTATCTGCACTGATGTCCACCCCCCAGCTTACGACTTCGCCCGAGATGCAGGAGCCGAAACCAGAGCCGGCCAATGGAACAGAGTCTCGACCTCCAGCTCCTGTTCGATCTGCTAGCGAAGGGCTGTCTGACCGCGGCCCGAATGGTACCTATCGAATGGCTCGGAACGCGCGGACGGACCAGATCGAAGCTCGGCAGCAGTCTCGCGATCTGGCCAACTTCCTGTCGACGACAGCCCCGCCGCTGCGTTCTGCGAGTGCGCCGCACGGTGGCGAGGAGTCGCAGCGCGAGCAGTCGAAGAAGCACAAGTTCAAGGATCTCATGGCAAGGATAGGACCTTACCGGAGAGATCGCGTCGACCCCCACGACCCTCCCGCTGCGCTTCTGAAGATGCCCTGGGGAGGTGACCGCCAGCCTGTCTCGTCCGCCGACCTCAACAAGGGCAAGCCGTTCCCAGGCTCCTCTTCCAACCAGTCGCTGGGTCCCAACGTCAGTGCCCCTGGCCCCAAAAGCCTGCGCTCGCAGCGGTCTGTGAGCAGCGTTGGTACTGCCTCGTCGATCCCCACATCGCCTCCCACCAACTCGTCTGCTTCGACCAAGGACGTCTTACGCAAGCCGTCTTTAATGCGCAAGTGGGCGCACCATGTGACGGAGCCTGCAAGGCAGAGGCGCACGTCGGCCTCCTCCAAGGGCCTAACGTCCCCGCTGATGTCGTCCTCCAAGCTGCGACTTAGCGAGGTTGAGGAGGATCCGACAGATTCGGCGAGTGCGTCCTCTAGGGCGCTAGGGCTTGGTCTCGGCGGCCTCGGCATTGGAATGCCTCCCTCGATTCTCGAGAGCGAGCGTTCGGATGAGCTCGCGTCGGAGCTCGAGTACAATCCTCCCGTGGGGTCAGACGCTTCCCTGCTCAAGTCGGAGACTGTCTCCCCACCCAGGTCCCCTGACGTTGCGGCGCGGGCTGACGAAGTCGAGCAGCTGAAGGAGCCAGAGACGAAGGAAGCTGAGGAGGTGGCGAAGGAGCTGGAGCAGCCTCCCCAGGCACAGCCCGAGGTCGCTAAACTGCCATCTGACGAGAAGTCGCCGTCAGTCCATACGGCGCCTTCCATCAAGAGCTCGCCCAGGATCACCGACACCCCGTCACTCATGCAGGAAGCCACCTGGCCCATGCCTCCAGAGCTTCCTGCTGTGCCCTCCACTATCCATTCCGAGGCTGCCAGCCCAACTGTCCCCAGCCCCGCCACATCTCAGAGCTCCCGTTTGTCCATGCGACCGCTGCCCGAGCGCCCCGGAGAGCGTCGGCAGTCTAGAGAACTGCCCCGTCCCCCCGTCAGCGCCAGCCCGACCGCGATGGCCAGCCCTCGCATGTTCTCCAAGCAGGAGTTCCCATCGCCGACATCCACGATCCCCGAGTCGCCTGAAAACAGCTCAATCCTCGAGACGCCGGTTGAGAGCAAGTCGCCGACTGTGCGCAAGCTGCCTGAGCCTCCCATCGACGAGCACCTGCCGGACATGGCGCCCGACGCCACCATCAAGGCGGCGTCTCTTGCCTCGCTTGCTGCTCAGCCGCCCCGTCATGACCGCGTTGCAGAACTCTCCGGCCAGCAGGCCCTGTCTCCCAAGTCTTCGCCGACCCTGTCCCAAAACAGCGGTTTAGAGGACAAGATTGACGGCGGCTACGTGCATGTCTCCGAGATCGCGCCTCTCCGCTCCATGCTCGAGAACGCGACCACCGTTCGCGAGTGCCAGGTGCTCGTCGACGCTCTGCTGACGCAGCTCGGCGTGCCGCGCGACTCGATGACGGTCAACGACCAGCAGGACCGCGTTGCCGAGTGGCTCGCTAACGAGCGCAGCGTCCCAACTGGCGACAACGTGTCTGAGCTGCAAACGCCAAACGGCTCGCCCAAACTCAAGGTCAAGTCGCACCGCAGTTCGCTCTCCGCCGGCAGCGGCAAGCGGATCGTAAGCAGGAAATCGAGCAAGGGTACGACTGTCGGCAGCCTGAGCCCTGAGATCACCATGAAGAACCTCCCTGCTCTCCCTATTCCCGAGGCTAGTCCTGAACCTCCCTCGGCCTCCTCCGACCCTACCTCTACTTCCTCTACTACCACGACTGCGTCTGTAACTGCGCAGCAGCAGCAGCAGGATGGCCCGCCCCACACGCTCGTCGAGACCAAGTCGTAGGAAGACTTGGCCGCCACAGCGCCAGCCGAGGCTCCGGGGCAGCTGGGCCTCACTCTCTCCTAATCTGTCAACTATCTTATCACATTTGGGATTTTCCGGGATTGTCTTTCGTTCTCTCCGTCTTGTTGTGTGTCTCAACCTCTTTATATTCTCTTTTCTAGAAACCGACCTCCTCTCCTCCAGACGAAATCCAACGTGTCCGAAATCCTAACCCCCTGTGTATGAGGTAATGCTGCGGTGTGCAGCGCGAACAATCGCGTGCGTATTGTTAGTCGATAGCCATACCATGCAACCAATAGATAATGCGTCGCACTTGACTGCCTATTATACTGATGTAATATGCATATGCTGAGGTGAATGAGGTGGTCAAATTAGGCCGCGATGGCAGAACGGTTGTAGTTGAAGCCGAGGCCATAGCCAGACTGGATCGCGAACTCGGGGTCACGATGGTGCGCGGCTGGGTCCTGCGGCGAGACCCAGTACTCGTCAATGATGGGGATCTGGAGGAGATTCATCTGTCCTGTCAGTTGTGAACGAAGCACCTTAAACTCACATTCGGGGTGATGACAACCATGGTGTTGGTCTTGACCTCGATCCAGTCCTTGCTCTCAAACGTGAGCGGCTCAGACGCGACCATGATGATGCGCTCGCGCTTGTCGGCTTTCGTCATGCGGTACATGCCCTCTCCAGGGTCGTACTCGTCAAAGCTGGTCCCAGAGGAGAAGAAGAGGGAACTGGCCTCGCTCGTCCTCGAGCTAATGTACCGCGTGGCGATGACCGTGTGTCCGTCAGACACGACAAAGTTCATGAGACTCGGGCCCGTGATGCCCGCCTCTTTGCTCAGGTCGTTGATGGTGCGGATCGTCTTCATCATGGCATCGCGCAGCTCGGCGTGGGAGAAGTGCTTTGCGTGCGGATCCCGCAGATGGCTCAGGAAGACCATGAACGCCCACTCGGCATCGGTGTAGCCCGCGGGAAAGAGGAATAGCTCCTCCGGCAAAGCGGCCTGGAGCGCGCGCTTGATGCGCGGGAACTCGTTGATCTCCCCGTTGTGCATCCACATGAGCCGGTCAAAGACCCAGGGGTGGCAGTTGTCCTCGCTTGGCGCTCCGGACATGGTCGACGCGCGCACGTGAGCGAAAATGAGCGGCGAACGGATCTTCTCGGCCAGACGGAGCAGGTTTGCGTTGCTCCATGCCGGGGAGATGGACTTGAAGACACACGGCCGCTCGTCCTCCTCTTCCCGTTCCCGCTTGCGCAGATGCCGCACGGAGGCCACGCGCTCCGCCTCCGTCTGGTCGTCGTCAGCCACGGGGCTGACAGCACCGTTGACGCACGCCGAGACGCCCCCCGTTCCTGCATCGAGAGGGGAGGGCGTATCCGTCCTCAGTGTCGGGTCCACCTGTCCAGAAGCGACCTTCGCATCCGCAACAGCAGTCGCTGCGATCTGGGGCGATGTCGGCTGCGGCGTCGCAGGCGTCGAGTCCTCCTCTCCCGCCAGAAGCAAGCTAGGCTGTCCCGCAAGTACGGGGTCGTACCAGCCTATTCCGAAGCCGTCTGCGTTCAGTGGTCGCGCGGACGGGAAGCGAAGCTTGCTCTCGAACGCTTGGTTGATGATGCTGTGTCGTGGCCGTGTGACCAGGTGCGACATCTGGATCGGCTCACTGCCCTTGTACACGATCTGAAGTTAGCTATGGTGGGACGCGGGTCAGCTCACGAATCGGCACATATTGCGCGCTGCTCGTGTGCGCTACTGAGGTAGGGAGAGTCGGTGGTGGCGAAAGTGGAGGCCGTCTAGGTCGCTTTCGTCGGTCGTCGCTAGCACCGGAGAAGAACAATGGGAGAGATGACCAGGATGTGAAAGAAATGCAGGTGATGCAAGTTGTGTGCTTGGGGTGTTTGGAGTGTTGTCGAAAGAGGAAAGAGTTGACGTGGTACGGATCAGCGTGAGGCCGCGAGTCGATTCGATCTGCGCCGGCGATCTGCAATGGTGTGATGCATGTCGCGATCTCGGCGCTGGCCAGTCGCTTCACCCGGCTAGCCACGTGCAGATAGGCACCAAGGTACGGCCCGCTTGGCCCGCATCACGTGACTCCGGCCTAATTTTTACGCGTCAGGCCCCCTCCACACTGGTTTCGTAGGACCACGCTCAAATATCTCGCCTGCATTCCGCTCATCGCTTTCCTCACACTCCTCCTTCTCTCCCCCTCCCTCTTCCTCTTCTTACCCTCCTCCTACCTCATCTCTTCTCCGCCGCGAAGGCGATACCGACTAAACACTCACCGCTCCACCCAAAAAAAGTACTCCAAACGAACACTGTGTACGATACCGACTCCCGGACCTAATCTGTAACTCCTATTGTCACAAACACAAAAGCACGTTCGAACTGTAAAATCGCGCAGCGTTTGCCGCCATGCCTACCGCGACTTCCACCCCCCTCCCGGCTACGCCCCTCGCTGAGGACTTTGCCAAGCTCGCCGCCGCCCCTAGCAATGCCGACGCCAAGGGTATCGCCGATGCCATCGCCCTGGAGCTGAAGAAGGCTCCGAGGACGCTCGATGCGATCGAGGATGGCAAGGTTGTCGATGTGATCCAGCTTTGGGCCTCCTCCAAGTCTGGCTTTGAGCGCGAGTCCGCCCCCGTCCTTGTCGAGAGGCTGTGCCGCTCCCTCGGAGCCGGCATTGAGGGCGTCTTCATCCCCATCCTCCACTCGCTCCTCGCCCTGGCCATGGACAAGGGACAGCCCGTCCGCTCGGCCGTTAACTCGGCCATGAAGGCCCTCGTTAAGGCCGCCTCTCCTGAGGCTACCCGCCCGCTTATCCACGCTTTCGCCCGTGAGCTTGACGAGAGCAAGGGATGGCGCTCCAAGGTCGCCGCCTGCAAGGCTATCGAGGAGATCGTCAAGCCCGCCACCACCGAGCTCGTCGCCGCCGAGCTCGGTGAGGTCCTCCCCATTGTTGAAAAGGCTATGCACGACACCAAGGCCGAGGTTTCAGCCGCTGCCACTAAGGCCGCCACCACCCTCTGTGGTACCCTTCCCAACCCCGACGTCCTCAAGCACATCTCGTCGCTTGTCGGCGCCATGGCCTCGCCGAACAACGTCCCGGGCACGATCAAGACCCTCTCGTCGACCACCTTCGTTGCCGAGGTCACCGGCCCGACTCTCGCCGTCATGGTCCCCCTTCTTACCCGTGCCCTGAAGGAGCGCTCCACCGACACTCAGCGTATGACCTGTATCGTCATCGGTAACCTCGTCAAGCTCGTTCGTGACCCCACTGTCGCGGCCCGCTACCTCGGTGGTCTCGTTACCGGTGTCGAGCACATTGCCACCGGTGCCGCCTTCCCCGAGATTCGTGCCTTCGCCCAGACCGCCCTCGACATTCTGCTCGGTGCCGGTGCCTCGGCCACTGCCACTCCCCTCCCTCCCCGCGACATCATCGCCGGTGTCAACGAGGCCCTCGCTGTCATCGCCCCGATCCTCAAGATCGAGGGTCTCGCCGAGAAGCCCACTGTTCCCGTCACCATGTCTTACCCCGGCCACCCCGTTGTTGCCGGCGCCCTCGAGTTTGAGGCCAACGTCATCGCTGACCTTGTCGAGGCCCGCAACTTCGTCGCCTCTGTCTGGGAGGGCAAAGCCGTCGGTGGCTTCTGCAAGCTCTTCCTCGGTTCTGAGGCTGGTGCCGAGGCTGCCACCGAGATCCACAAGGCCTTCCTTGCCATCGACAAGCAGAAGTTCGCTTCTGACGAGCCCGAGGAGGACGACGGTGCTGAGGTTGTCTGTGACCTGCAGTTCTCGCTCGCCTACGGTGGTCTCCTGCTCCTGAACCACACCAACCTCAAGCTCCGCCGTGGCCACCGCTACGGTATTTGTGCCGCCAACGGTGCCGGAAAGTCCACTCTCATGAAGGCTATCCGCGATGGCAAGGTTGAGGGCTTCCCCTCCGAGGACGAGCTCAAGTGTGTCATGGTTGAGCACGCTCTCCAGGGCGAGGACACTTCGTCGTCCATCATTGACTTCCTCTGCAACTCGGAGAAGCTCAAGCACATTGACCGCAAGACCATCGCCGACATGCTCCTCTCCGTCGGCTTCACCGAGGAGAAGCAGACCCACCCTGTCTCGTCGCTCTCCGGTGGTTGGAAGATGAAGCTCGAGCTTGCCCGCGGTATGCTTGTCAACCCCGACATTCTGCTCCTCGATGAGCCTACCAACCACTTGGACGTCCAGACTGTCGCTTGGCTCGAGGACTACCTCAACAACCTCAAGGGCATCACCTGCATGATTGTCTCGCACGACTCTGGTTTCCTTGACAACGTTTGTACCGACATCATCCACTACGAGCAGAAGAAGCTTGTCTACTACCCCGGCAACCTCTCCAAGTTTGTCGAGAAGGTCCCCTCGGCCAAGTCGTACTACACCCTTGCCGCGACCTCGATCAAGTTCTCCTTCCCTCCTCCCGGTAACCTTGTCGGTGTCCGCTCCAACACCCGTGCCATCCTCAAGCTTGTCAACTGTACCTTTACCTACCCTGGTGCCCCCCGCCCGTCGATTAAGAACGCCTCGTGTTCGCTCTCGCTCTCGTCTCGTGTCGGTATTGTCGGCCCGAACGGTGCCGGAAAGTCGACGCTCATCAAGCTCATGACTGGCGAGACCATGCCCCAGGAGGGTTCCGTGCACAAGCACCCCGCTCTCCGTGTCGGTTACGTCGCCCAGCACGCTTTCCACCACATCAACGAGCATCTCGACAAGACCGCTGTCCAGTACATCCAGTGGCGTTATCAGGACGGCCACGACCGTGAGATGATGGAGAAGGCCACCCGCAAGCTCACCGACGCCGACAAGGAGATGATGGACCGCCCGATCGAGGGCAAGAACGGCGAGCTCCGCAAGATTGAGTCGCTCCTCGGTCGCCAAAAGCTCAAGAAGTCGTTCCAGTACGAGGTCAAGTTCAAGGGCTACGACCACAAGTACAACGCCTGGATTCCCCGCGAGACCCTTATCGAGAAGGGCTTCCAGAAGCTCGTCACCCAGTTCGATGACCTCGAGTCCTCGCGTGAGGGTGCCGGTCAGCGTGACACCTCTGCCGTCGCGGTTCGTGAGGTCCTCGAGGCTGTCGGTCTCGACGGTGACATTGCCCAGTACAACGAGATGTCTGGGTTAAGTGGGGGGCAAAAAGTCAAGGTCGTCATTGCTGCTTCGATGTTCAACAGGCCGCAGTGTCTCTTCCTCGACGAGCCTACCAACTTCTTGGACCGTGAGGCGCTCGGTGGTCTCGCTGTCGCGATCAAGGAGTGGGGAGGAGCTGTGGGCATCATTTCGCACTCGCAGGAGTTCGTCTCTGTCCTCTGCCCCGAGATCTGGCACGTCGAGAACGGAGAGCTTACCCACAAAGGCAAGCAGAACCTCGCCGACGACGCGTTCGACAACCCGTCGCAGCCCGGCTCGCGCGTCCCCTCTGCCCGTGGTACTCCCCGTGGTGCTCTCACGCCCGCCGGCGTCGCCACCCCCGATGTCGCTTCGAGCGCCGTCACTTCTGCCGTCACCTCTGCCGCCAACTCTGCTGCCCCTTCGGCTGTCAACTCGGCCGACGAGGAGGAGGACATCAAGCGTCTGCAGAAGCTGGCGCTCAAGCCCAAGAAGAAGAAGAAAAAGACGCGTAACGAGATCAAGGCGCAGGAGGAGCGCCGCCGTCTGCGCAAGCTCAACTGGCTCACGTACGGCGGTGTCCGCGAGCCCGACACGGAGGAGTCGGACTAAAGCATGCCATTAGAACCTCCACTTAGTTTAATCTTGTTATAGACTCGCGTATAGACTCGCCACACGACCTTGTGATGCTTCATAGACATGCAACATAGATCTTATCCACCGGAGTGCAATGACTGCGAGAGGTGAGAGCGCTGGTGGATGAGGGAGGGGTCAGTCGCTCGAACGCGCTCGTCCGAGCGCAGACGTGATCCAGGCACGGCCATATCTCTGGCGGGACCAAAATTTCTAACGAGGCGCTCACTCGACCTTCGACCTGCAGTCCAAGGGCACAACATTGTTTCGCACCAGGTCAAGGACATCTCCACAACGTGTGCATGTTCTTGCGTGCTGGACGTCTATTATCGACCCCACTCGTCTCACTCGTCCCGACCGTCCGCTCACGCCTCACGCACACCATGTCCGAGAACAGCATCCCTTACACGCTCCCCCTCCCCGGCGGGATCCCCGACACGCACCGCCCGCACACGGAGCGGACGACGACGATCCTGGTCCCGAAGGAGAACACGGCCTTCCTGAACCCGGTGCAGGAGTACAACCGTGATCTGTCCGTTGCCACGATCCGGGCCTGGAACAATCTGAGGAAGGAGGAGCTCGAGGGCCGGTGGAGGCAGAAGCTGGAGCGCGAGGCGAAGAAGAAGGCTGCGAAGAAGGGCGGAGAGGCGCCCGCGGAGTCTGCTGAGCCCGCTGAGCCCGCCGGGACCGCTGCCGAGGAGAAGAAGGAGAACGGCGAGGCCGAGGCCGGCCCTTCGACCGAGGTATGTCCAGCTCCGAGTCTGTTGCGCATAGCTGACAAGTCTCAGCGCAAGTTCCGCGCGCCCAAGTTCACGATCCTGGAGGCGCTCTCGGCGACGGGACTCCGCTCGATCCGCTACGCCAAGGAGATCCCGGATGTGCGCACCGTGCTCGCGAACGACATCTCGCCCTCGGCGTGCGACGCGATGCGACGAAACGTCGCGCTCAACGGCGTCGGCGAGCCGTCCCAGCCGACTCCCTCCGAGGCCGCCCCCACCGGAGTGACGGACGAGGAGATGGCCGAGAACGCCCCCGACCTCGGCCGCCGCGAGGGCTGCACGGGACACGTGAAGGTGAATGAGGGCGACGCGTGCGCTCTGATGTACTCGCGCCGCGGGCTGCGGGACCGCGTCGAGGTCGTCGACTTGGACCCGTACGGAACCGCTGCGCCGTTCATTGATGCGGCCATCAATGCGCTGGGCGACGGCGGCCTGCTCGCCGTCACGTGTACCGACCTGGCCGTGCTCGCCGGCTCAAACTATCCCGAGAAGTGCTTCTCCAACTACGGTGGCACAGTTGTGAATGCCGAGTACTCGCATGAGGTCGCGCTCCGCCTCGTGCTCAACAGCATCGCGCAGGCCGCAGCCCGGTACGGAAAGTACATCCACCCCCTCATCTCTCTGTCTATCGACTTTTACGTGCGCCTCTTCATCCGTGTCGACACGCGCCCGGCCGAGGTGAAGCGCCTCGCCTCGCAGACTGGCGTCGTGTATGCGTGCGGCTTCTGCCAGACGCCGGTGCTCCAGCCGTTCGGGCGCGAGGTGCAGAAGGAGTCCAAGAAGGGCAACGCGACGACGCAGTACCGCGTCGCGACCGGTCCGACGGCGGCGGGCAAGTGTGAGGAGTGCGGCTCGACGCAGGCGCTGGGCGGGCCGATGTGGCTCGGCCCCATCCAGGACCGCGAGTTCATCTCCCGCCTGATCGGCGAGATCGAGGCCGACAAGGAGCACTACGGCACCTATCCCCGCATGCACGGCATGCTCACGCTGGCGGGCGAGGAGCTCGACGCGCCCTTCTACTTCAGCGCGAACAAGGTGCACGGCTTTGCGCACTCCTCCGCCATGCCGACCAAGAACTACATCTCCGCCCTCCTCAATGCGGGATACAAGGTTAGCCGCAGCCACGCGCTCAGTGGAAGCGTCAAGACCGACGCGCCCCGCAGCTTCGTCTACGACATCATCAGGGAACACGTCAAGGAGCACCCGGTGCGTCTTGACAAGATCTCGGAGATGAGCCCGACACACAAGCTCCTCGCCAAGCCCATGAGCCACACTGTTGACTTTACGCCGCACCCCGATGCCAAGAAGTTTGAGAAGGACAAGGACTCCAAGGCCGTCTTTTACCAGGTTAACCCGCTCCCGAACTGGGGACCGGGAAGCCGCGCGAAGAGCGTCAAGGCTGCCAAGGAGGAGGGCGACAAGGGGGAGAAGAGGAAGAGCGAGGATGCGCCCGAGGGAGAAGCCAAGCGGGCCAAGGTCGATGAGGACGAGGAGGCGGCTATGAACCAGTAGGCGTAGACTCTTGGATACTTTACATTTCGGATTGACTATGTACGCATTATTCTCGACAACAGGGGGCACACAACAAACTCGATTTTTGATGGGAACTTGGGATTATACGCATTCGGAAGTGATTATAGGCGATGTCTGGTGTGGCGAGCTTGATATCGGCATTGAACCGCAGATCCCGGGCACACTTCCACTCCTCTTTCCTTCTGTTCTTCCTTTCTTCTGATCTTCCTCTACCTTTTCTTCTACTCCTTCCTTCCCCACCGAAGGGCAAAACTCGACGAGGCTCCGCTCCGCCTCGCATAGTCGTTAGAAGCGCACCATGGCCAAATCGGCGAAGGTGGGCGGATATCGCGGCTGCGTATGCACGATGTCGAGCACAAACTCGTCCTTATCCTCCTCCTCGCCGAGCGTGCGCGACCGTACGTGTCCGAGGTCGGGTAACGGGCTCTCGGGGGCGAGGTACGCCGTCCCCAGGGCTAATGGCGGAATATCGTCTGGGTCGCCACTCTCAGCAGGCATGAGTAAGAGCACGCTGATGGCGATCGGGCCGTCACTGGTGCTCGGTGCGGCGCCGCGTTTCGGTGCCGGGCCTGTGGGACTGAGCGCGAGAGGCTGGTGTCAGCTGTGTACTGGCTAGATAGCTCACCTGGGTCAGCTCGCCCAGCTCCTCTTCTTCCTCGGATACACGGACGAGACGGACGCCGGGGCCACGAGCGTCACTCGGCCCCCCGGCGTCCATGCTCCCCCTCGCCTTCTCCTTTTCCTTCTCCTTGCTTTCTCCCTCCGTACCACTCGTACTGCTCGTCGCCCCGCTACACCTGCTATCCCTCCCCCTCCCCGCAGCCTTCTCGTCCAACATCACCTCCCACATCTCAGGCCGCCTCGGTCTCCTGCGCACAACATACCGGGGTTCCCAGTATGCACTCCCGTACCCCGCAAGGAAGGTATCCCACCACCCGCCGACGCGGGCCCAGAACCCCCCCTCTGGCCTCGGGGGCGGGGCCATGCCTGCTCGCTCCGGATAAACTCTTGTGACGAGGTAGTACCGCAGGAACAGGGTGAGGACGATCGCGACGAGCGCGGCGCCAATAAAGCCTAGCCCTAGGCTTAGTATCGTCGTCGTTGGCAGCGTGGCCGTGCTCTGCGCCTCGGTCGTTTCCGACGGCTCTGGCGCCGAGGCGCGTATTCGGAGATGGCCATGATCGGGAAGGGACCGGAGTGACCGGAGAGACCAGCCGGCGGGGGATATCCGGTCCCTAGCCTGGGGTGGTGCCGGTGGTGGTGCGGTGGCGAACCGGAGGAACATTATGTGTGTAACAGTGGTGGTGGTGAGATGGTCATCGCTGGCGATGGGGAGGACAGCGACGGGAGAAGGAAGGAGTTATATCTTTAGAAGACAGGCGTTAGGAGATGGCCGTCGAGGAACGCGGGTGACAGCATGACAGCACTAGTCAGCAACGAACGTTGGATTTGGTATTGCCTCCCCTTTGTTGTTGCATCATGGTGCCGTTGGCGGATGGTGCCCGCATGCCGCACAGTCACGATGCGCCCTTTGCACTTTACAGATTAGCTCGTGGCTCGTGTGGAGGAGGCGGTGGAGGCCCCAGTGCGGGTGTGCGGGGTCCTTTGGGCTGAGTCAGTCATGCGCTCGTATTCAGATCGGCAAGCATGAAGGGGGGGCACATGACCTCGACCTGAGCATTGTGATCGTTGACTCGCCCGGTACGACCGGTGCGATACGGCCGAACCGGCCCAAAGTTGCCAAGGTACATTCTCATTCAGCGTACAGATGAGGAATGCACTGCTGCATAAGGCTCAACGGATATTAGCCTTGGTTTAAGCGCTCACTACGTAGAGTACGGTCCGTTATCCCGTGGATGGGAGGGAGGAAGACCCACTGCTCCACTCTCGTGCGGTGCTTGGTCATCTGCCTCGCTTGGAAATCTGCAATCTGGCGGTAATGGATACGGATATGAGCGATTGCCGCGAGAGAAGGGCGGACGGGTCGGGTATGCCTCGGCACGTAGCTGCAACATGTTGAGACGAGACAGGATCTGAATGCTTGGCCATTGCCGCACAGCAGTCGGAGAGCAACGACGACAATCCTCAGCTTGTCGCCACCCGAGATCCACCACCCTGCACGTTCTGGGCCTCCACACGGGGCTGGACCCGGCTCACTACTTGAGTCCGCAAGTCACGTGCAGCTGAGGTGAGGATGAGTCGACTGTCCTATTTTGCTTCCGAAACACGCTACGCTCACTGAACGCACACCAAGCGCGCACGGACCAGCCAGCCAGCCAGCCAGCCAGCCAGCCAGGCGCAGATGGCGGGTGGAGATTTAGCCCCATGCCCATGTCTTCCCTCCTCATTCTACGGAGTTCACACGCATACTCCTGTCATCTGTTTACACCTCCGCACCCAACCACACCCACTCCCACCCACTCACCGAACGCCGTCACGCCGAAGCCCCTGCCGCACCCCGCGCACCCTGTCGGCCCCCCCCCCTCGGTCCCACTCGGGCCCATCTAATCTATCGCATACACGGACATCAACACAACCCCACCGATAAGCATATCCCCTAGAAGCCATGGCAGACCAGGAGCTGTATCAGGAGCAGGACACGAGTGCCGCTCTCAACACACTCTTCCACACCACGCAGGAAGAGTACCCCCTCGAGCTGTCCATTGATCCAGCCCTGAGCGAGGGCGCAGAGGGCTCGGCGTCAGCGGCGGCGACGGCGCTGGCAGGGCCGGCGTCAGACCCCGCCGATGCCTCCGAGTCCGCTAACGGCGCCGAAGGAGCAACCGGAGGTACGCAGGGAGCGACCGAGAGCCCCGATGAGCCTCCGCCAAAGCGGCGCGCAACCAGCCGAGCGAACATGCTCGCGCGCGGCGGTGCTTGCGAGTTCTGCAAGCGCCGTAAGCTCAAGTGCACTGCCGAGCTGCCGCAGTGCGCGTCCTGCCGCCGCACCGGGCGTGAGTGCGTGTACTCGCAGAAGAAGCAGCGGTCCCGCGTGCGTATTCTCGAGGACAGGCTTATGGAGCTTGAGAAGCGGCTCTCTGAGCGCGATGCGGGTGCCGGCGGGACGCAGGCGGGCTCAAGGCCGAATACGGGCACGGCCGACTCGACGCCGATGGCCAACTATGATGCGCCGAGCAGTGGTGTCGACCTCTTCAGCCTCGGTCTCGGGGACGGACTCACTCTCGCCGATGTACCTATGAAGCGCACCGAGCCGGACCTCATGACGCTCGCCGACGCTGCCGCTGCCGACACGGGACGGTATCCGTGGGAAGGCATGAGCGGGCAGGACATCGCGAGCGCGCTCGTCAAGCACATTAACGACAAGGACAAGGGCATCGGGCAGAAAATCCTGCAGCATCTGTGAGCTCTCCGGATGCTGTCTTATAGCTGACCCCAGGCTCCAGATCTACTCTCAGTCGTCGCCGTACCGGCTGGTATCGACGGTGGTGTCTCCGCAGATGCTCTTCGCGCGCGCCTCCGGTCCGGCGCTGCAGCACCCGCACAACAGCCTCATTGCTGCTTTGGTCCCGAACATCATGTGGATGTCGCCGAGTGAGACGCTGCACAACCCCCAGACGATCAGCACGGTCACAGAGGCGCTGGTCCAGCTTTCTCGTGTGCTCTCCGCCGCCGGGCTGGCAAACATGGACCCGCGGATCGTGGACCTTGTCGCGGCAGCTTCTCTGCGCTGCATCGCATTGACGTCGCAGGGGCGGTTCGTGGACGGGTGGAACGAGAACTCGCACGCTGCAGGTCTGATCTGGAGTACGGGAATGGGCAAGCTCGGCGGTGTCGGCGAACTCTTCCTGTCGCCGGGACAACGGCCTACTGACCGCGCGGCGCGTGTTCATCGCGAGGAGCGCTTGCGCATGATCAGAGGCAAGGGCCAGATCGTGCCACCCGCAGCGGACCGCGCCGAGCTCGCCGAACGCATCCGTCTCTTCTGGAGCGCATACCTCATCGACCGATCCAGTGCGCTGGGCTGGTGCTGGCCCGCGGTGCTTGACGAGCGCGAGATCAGCACGCCGTTCCCGCACGACGACGCCGAGGGCGACGACGCACTCTGCGAGCACACGACGCTGAACGACTTTCTGGCTGGCCGTGCCGTCGGCGGCCCCGATTCCCTCCTGACCGCGACAATCAAGGGCGTCACGCTGGCATATGAAGCCTCTCGACTTCTCGACCGCGCGCCCTCTCTCGCGAACGCGGAGGCGACGTCCCGTCTCCTGCGCCTAGTCAAGCGACACATGGTGACGCTGCGCCCCTTCGAGCCGTCGAGCCGCGAAGAAGCCCTACGCGACGCAGGCTGGAACGACGTGTGGATGCAATGCCACGCGGCCGAGATGATGCTCTACCTGAAGGAAGAGATCGACGCGCCGTCACCCCCCGAAGAGCTCGAGGCGCGGGACAAGGCGATCGACGCGGGCCTCAGACTCTGCGCGGCCGTCGAGACCGCGCTCAATGCGGGCGACACAGATCTGGCAGGGTACGACATGACGGCCCCCGTGATGTGGTACGTGTGCGGGCGGAGCTTCCACCACCTCGCGCGCCGCGTGGAGGCCAGTGGCGTGCAAGCGGACAGGGAGCGCGCAGAACTGCTCAGGGAGAAGCTCCAGTTCCTCGTCGAGGCGACGCAGAAGATGCAGAAGGCCATGCGGCTTGCCGAGGTGCATGCCCAGATGCTGTACAATGTCAGCAACGACAGCGAGATCATGCTCGGAGAGTATGTCCGCCCGGATAATGTCGATGTCAACGTTAGCGTGGAGGGGGTTTAGGGGGCTCCCTTCTGACGCCGAGGCCGAAGCCGTCGGCGGAGGCCGAGGCATCTGCCACGGCTGGCGGGGACGAAAGGCTATGATCACGAGACACGCACACGGAGGAGACGACTGGAGTCAGGGGGGAGCATTAGAGATGTAATGCGGTAGATGATAGGAGATAGAAGCAGGGCTCGCGCACCGCTCGCAGTACACTTTTCGGGTCAATGTAAAATGCATAGTAGAATGAACAACGATGGAGGAGGCTAGATAGGAGATACTCGGATCGGGAGTAGGAAGACAGATGTGGCTCTACGGGAGATAGCTGGGGTGGTAATGATACGGATTATATGCAAGAGTGCGGGGTGGACTCGGGCTGGAAGTCGGCTGGAAGTCTAGGCTGAGAACTGGACAGGGGCTCGGGCAGTCGAGGCCGCTACGGGTGCTGCAGACTGTGCTGTTGCTGTTGCTGTGCCTGCTGATTCGCCGCCCCGCTGACAGTAAGGTACGTCCTGCTCTTCTCGTCGTCTGGCGCGTCCTTGCCGCCCGCCGCGTCGTACTCTGCAAACTCGAGCTGGTTGAGGTTTTTCACGAGGTTGAGGAACCGCTCCGTCTTGATAAACTTGGGCACGCTGTCCATCGCCATGAGCTTGAAGATGTGGTACTGGATGCGCTCGTAGAGATAGACGAGGTTCTGGAGCTCCTTTGCGTGCAGCTTTGCCGGGACGCTGTGTCCGTCGGCGCCTGTCTGTGTCGCGCCGCCTGGGTTGGAGTGCAGGATCTCGTTCATGTAGTTGATGAGCTCGGCGCGGATCTGGTGGTCGAGGTTGAGCTCGCTCGGCGCCGCCGGGATCAGGTACGTGTTGTAAATCACAAAGGTGAGGAGGATGAGGTCGTTTTCGTGCTTCTCCATCGCGCCGTGTGGTGGCTGCTGTGCGCCGGCGGCTGGCTGCGGGCTGCCGGGCTGCGGACTGTTGCTGGCGGCAGCAGCGGCAGAGGACGACTTGTTGAAGCGGCGCTTGAAGTCCTCGACGTCGAGCCAGAACGAGAGATTCTCCTCGCAGAAGTTGCTCCGTAAGTATTCGCGGAAGAGGGAGCGGAGAGCAGGCTCCTGCAGGATCTGCTTCAGACGCGCCGTGTGCGAGTCCTTGGACATGTTGATCTGTTTCGGTTCTGGCGGGGCGGAGACGGGCTTCTCGGCGAGGAACTCGGCCATGTTCAGCGGCTTGCTTGCCGGACCTGAGGACGGGTCGGGCGACGACGCAGCAGACAACGTCACCTGCGACGGCACCTTGGAGCCCGTTGGCGGCTGGTTCCACCGCGCGACCTCCTGCCCCAGCTTGGTGATGCAGTACGTCGCCTTCTCGCTCGCGCGGTACTCACCCTCGACCATGAGGGCGCCTGCTCCGCCTCCGGCACCGCCGTCGCGCACAGTGACGACGACAGAGTGGTCGCGCGCCCGCGTCCGATCGTTCACGAGCTGGATGAAGCCGTACCGCACAAAGTGAGCCAGCACCTCGCTCGCCTCCTCGATCCCGATCACTGTCGTGAAGTCGAGCAGCCAGTCGATCGCCATCATCGCGTTGAACTGGAACTCGCGGTCTTTCACGCGCACGACGATGCCGAGCGTTCGGTCCGGGGCGTCCTGCGGCGGCGCACCCTTGTTGTGCGACCGGTAAAAGTACTGTTCGTACAGGACCTCATCGGAGAGACGGGTGATGTTGGGCGACTTGCCGACGAAACGCTTGAAGAGCACCTCAAAGATGTTCTTCGTCACTAGGATCTCGTCGTCCTGCTGCCGGCGCTCGAGGTGGAGGAGCTTCATGCAGATCGGCTGCGAGGAGAACACGGACAGCAGATGATCAGAGGCAATGCCGTTCTTCGTGATGAACCGCTCCAGAATGTGCAAGCCCTTGCTCGTGATCATGTATATCCCCCGATCTCGGAAGTTGCTCGAGCCCAGGTCGGTCGCGCACTCGATCAGGTGTGCGTCCACAAAGTGCTGTCCTATTCCCCGCGCCATCTCGCGCGTCATCGTAAACGTCGTCGTTGTCGTCGTCGTGATGATTCGCGTCGGGTCCTTTGGGTCGACGGACCGGTTCGACTGCGAGAACTTGAGACTCGCCAGGTTCGTGCATGCCTCGTCCCTGCCTGTCAGTTCCAACCAGCCGAGCTCTAACTCACGTCGTGAACGAGTTTGGGTACGTCTTGAAGAACGACCGGTGCGTGCTCAGGTTCAGCGAGACGATCAGCGTCGAGAACAGATCCTGCGTGTCCTTGGCTTGTCAGCACGTTCCCACCGAGGAACTAACCTTGACGAACGGTCTTCCGCGCTTCGTCGTCTTCATCAGGTGTGAAGACATGGTTGATGTTTGACCAGACATCGTGCCGGGTCACAAATCTTGATGCTGGTCGCTCCGAGGCAAGGCAAGATTTAGGGTGTGTGATGGGATGTGGTGGTAAATTTGCCGCTAAGGCGGATAGCTTGCGACTTGGGCTTCCCTCTCTGCTGCGAGTGATATACCGTGTCTTCTCTCGCTGAGGGCGCAGCGGCCAGTACCGCAAGTGGGAGAGCGGGAGAAGAGCGCAGGCGAGCGGAGCCGGACTGGGGGAAAGGTGCAGGCGGAGTCGGAGACTGGAACGACTGGAGCTCTTGGCGTGAGACAATCGAACAGTAAAGGTAATTCCTTCCTCGAGCGTCGCGCGAGTCGCAGGTTGAGTCAAAGGAGGAGGGCGGCTAAGGGGACGGCGGCGACGGCGATAGATCAAGGATCAGGCTGTGCCGAGTAACAAGTCGGTTTCGTGTTCTGTGTTCGATGTCTTGTGTTTCAAAGGCGACAGGCGAACAGTGGTGTCGGGTGATCGCTGGGAACCGTGCTGCGGGGCTGGGTCTCGGTCGGGACTGACGGTGATGGAGATAGGTGTTGTGTCTTGTTGTGTCTAGGGTGTCTGGTGACTGATGAGTAGTACAACGCAAGTGGTATGAGTAAGTGGTACAAGGACAAAGGTTGAGAACAAGAGCGAGCACCTGCTGGGCGAGTCGCTTGGTGGTGATAGATTTGCTGGGCTTAGGCGGGAGTCCTTGCCTCCCTTGTCCTGGTGTGCGGGTGTGGTCTTGGTGGTCGCTGGCGCTCGTCGGGCGCAGGCGTCAGGCGCCAGACGGACTCAGGCGTTGCAGGCGTTGCGGGCTGCGGGTACGGGTGGTGCAGGCATGCAGGCAGGTCGGTGGTTGTGGGTGAGGTATGGGGACGAACGGGGAGTGCGGGTGGTACCTCGTCGAGCAACCTGGGCACCTGGACAGTGGACCACTGAGACTCGAGACTCGTGCTGTCTGCTCGGGCTCAGTCGGGTGCTTTTACAATGAGGACAGAGGGAGACAGTTGAAACGAGCGATCATAGCGCACGCTCTTTTTCCTTTTGTCGACGCCAACATTACCCTTTGTTCCCTCTTGCTCTTCTCTGGCCGTGTGCACAAGTCCGAGTGTCCCTGCGATGATCCCTTGGCTGAGGCTGAAGGAATTCCAGGATATCGAGAGCGCCGCGGACCGGAGCAACAGGAGCGACAGGAACAGCGAGCCAGCGATCTGGAGCGAGTCGTCCAGAGCTCTGTAACGGTGAGCCAGAGCCAGAGCCAAAGCTTGCCCTTCCCTGCCACATTCACCCAAACCCGGTTCGACCCAGATCCAACCTCTTTTTGTCTGTTTGAGCGAGCCGGCCTTCTGTCGGGGGATAAGGATCCTGCGCAAAGAGTTACCATTCGTGTCTGCCATCTGTAACGAGCGCCCAGGTCTGAGACGCGGCGTTCTCCGCCGTGACCCAGTGCCTCCTGTTCTTTTGTCCAGCTTCGGAGGAGAAACGAGAAACATCTGACGTCTGACAACACACCTACTCACCCACAAACAGAAACACCCGCCAGACTCAGACGACTTCGCCCTCTGTTCTGCGAGAACACACCCAGGGCAGAGCCTTCTGCCCTTTCGCTGCCCTCCTGCTCATTGCGCGCTGCCCTTGAGCGAGAACGCCACGTTTTCCAGCGCTCCGTCCAGGTGCCCCGACTGGCCGACTGGCCCTAGCGTGTTCTCCCGACAGCGCCGGGCGAGCAGAAACGTCCATCGCCAAAAGTCGCCATGACTCGCGATGAGGATCCGTCGCGGGCGTCCACAGGCGTCGAAGCCGTATGCGGGCGTTGGGCGTCGCCCACTATTGCCTGACTTTTGCAAAGGTTGCAAAGGTAGGTGGCGTCGGGCGTTTTACGACCAGAGGCGACCAAAGGCGACCAGAGGCGAAAGACGGGAACAGCGGTCGACGGTGCAATAGCAAGCCTTGCCTTGAGTTGTTGCAGGCTGCAGGGTCCAGGGAAGGCACCGGCATGAAGGTCTCGCTCTCCGCCCAGAACACAATACGTAATGGCCACTACGACGATCCACCGTGATCTCTGGTCGTGATCCTGTTGGTGCTGCCCGTGATCCAGTGATCCACCGTTCCACTGTTCCGGCACAGCAGTGTTCCTGCGACCCTCACTCACTCACTCCCTCACTCCGGAACGTCGCTCCTGGTGTCTGTTGTCCGGGACACTGGCACGGCCCTTGCAATGTGCGCTTTCATGTATCGCCTTCGTCCTCTCGCGCTTGCCCTCGCACGTCGCACGTCTCGCATCGACGCCATACGTATCAGGCTGGAACCGCTCATCTCAGTGGCCAGACTCGATAGGCTTTCGAGGCAGATGTCCTATCCATGTGCGCTAACTGCCGAGCTGACATTGTGGGCAAGCGGTCCACCCACTCACAGCTAATCTAGAGAGTCACCGAGACCGAGCGTTGCCGATGCCGCCCGCACACACACAACGATACCGCACCGCCCTGCTGCCGAGTGCTGTTGCTAGCCCACGTGCCCGTCCGTCTGCCCGGCTGCTCCTCTGGCCTTCCTCGACACCGAGTCCTCCCCCACCCCCTCTCCGCTTGCTGTGATGCTCTGTCCACGCCCTTGAGCCAGTCGATACAAGGGCAGGGCTAAGTTTGTCGTAGCGCGGCGTTTCGCATTGAGTCATGAGCCATGAGTCCGGCCTAGATCATCGCGCCTTGCCGCTTGCCCACCAGTGCTCTACTCTTCATTCGTCCGGCCAGCTGCGCAGCGTCGCAAGACAGCACCCGGCTTGTCCGGCTTGTCAGTGCGGCAGACGGCATGAATCACACCCCCGACTGTGACCCCCGACTTCCAACCCCGACCCCGGCCTGTACCTCCAGGGGCCGCCGGCGCTCAGACACCCGCGTGTCGCCGTCGCTATCCGATACACAGATACAAACACATAAGCATGGAGGAAGGGCGAGAATTTGCCGTCTGGTCTGGGGTCTGGCTCCGCATACTCGTCCCCGATCGTTTCTTGACCGAAAGCGGTAAGCAGTCAGTCCACCCGCCGTTCTGTTCCACCTCCCACAGTCATGGCTCTCGAGGCCGTCCGACGTCGATCTGAGCTCAGTGCCCACCAGCGTATCTCTGACATTGACTACCCAGCTCAACCAACAGACCAATCCGCCACGGTAGTCCGTATCCGCACGCTCAACTTCAACGGGGAAGTAGGTCAGCATTGTCAGTTGGTGATTCCTGTAGGGTATCTTTCCGTTATGGAGCACGCAAAGGAACGAAGGCACCTGTGCTCGACGACAACCTGGCCTTACTAGAGTGTGTAGTTTTACAGCTGGAATACACGACAGTATACACGACAACAATATAAGACCGTAGCTTGTCGCTGTACTCGTCGGTTGAAGGGGGTCGGGCAGGACCTAGGCGTTCAGGAGACTCAGTTGGCGTCACTGGGGGCGATGGACCTTGCACTGGGCCAAGCCTTGGCGTCTCCCCGTCTCCTGCATGAGCATTCTGGTCGATAGAGTCACGGAGTCGATCACAGCGAGGACCGAGGCGTAGTGGTCGTGCCGTCCGCGGGGTGGAGTTGCATCAGCTAGACCGGAATGGTCTTCCCTCTCTCCCTATAACGTCCGCATACCCATAACTATGACCATCTGCTCTCCCTCCCGCCTCTCTCTCTCTCTTCAAGCTTCTTCCGATCTAATGACTACCTCTCAAAAGTGTAGCCAGACCAGACCACAGCTTGCGTAGAACAGAGCGGCATGGCGCTGTTGTGGTAGTACATACCCCGAGCCCGATCAGCAGCATGCCAACCTGAGTCGATCGGGACGAGCTCTCTTATCTTGGCACCCAGCACACAGAGCGCGAGTTTGGCTTACGTAAAAGGGATCTGCGGACATGGCCGATGGAGGTTGGCCGCCTGAACCAATGGCGTCCCACGAAGCGCTGGATGAATGGCCATGACGCGCAGCTGCAATGCCATGAAACCTTAATTCGTGTTTAGCGCCGAGTCATTTGGATTACATTTTGATCCCGCGCCCTCAGTTATCTCTGCGTGAAAGACCGTCATTCCTCTGCCAGAATGCCGGGGGAGCAGGGGGGTGCAAAAATTTCACGTGACAGTGTCGCGCAAAAATATCGAGTTCGGCCCAGCGCTGCGCTGTGTCCGCTGCGGGGTATGGCCAGGTATGGGCCCCTGCTGTCGTGCGCGCACAGAAGGCGAGGCTCAAAGGCATGCATGGGGGAGAGACATTTTTGGCCTCGCGAGCAGAGGGAGACCCTGAGTTAGCGACTGTGCAGCGCAAGAGACTAAGTTCTGGCCTGGCCACCACACACCACGGCCAACAGTTTGGGCGGACGAGCGGACGGTCACCGACGACGCTACTTGGTCGTTTGACCTCATTAATTTCTTCCCCCTCGCCGTCACGCTTGGCTCTTTCACTTCCACCCTTCCACCCATCAAGAAAAAGTCGACCCCCCGACCGTTGTGGCTACACACACCCGACCCAGTGCATAGCCCCCTTCTTCTCTCCTCAGTCCCCGGCAACTGAGGATAAGAATTTTCGCCCTCCCCCCACCCGCACCATTGCTGCCTGAGTCCTCCTCCGCTTTCGCTTCCCAGGAGCTTCAGCCCTTCCTCCGGGACATACTCTCTTCGTCAAAACCCGCGCTACACCACCTTCGCGCCACTGAAGCCAGCAAGCTATGGCCGTCGACCACGGATCCGTTGTGCAACCGAGCGCGCCCGAGATTCTGAACGATGACTCGTTCCCCGGTCCCTTCGAGGGCCCCGAGAAGCTGCTCGAGGTGTGGTTTGCGCCTTCGCCGGCGATGATGGAGGCGCGCATGCGTGCGGCGGGCAAGCCGTCGTCCGCCGTGAGGGAGGACGGAACGCGCGTGCGGGGGCTGCGGTGCGTGCCGCGCGCTCAGTGGGAGGAGATGCTCGACATTGTCAAGTGCAAGGTGCTCTCGGTCGTGCAGGGCGAGGAGCTCGACAGTTACCTGCTCTCGGAGAGCAGCCTGTTCGTGTACCCGCACTACATCATCCTGAAGACGTGCGGTACGACGCTCAACCTCCACGGTCTGGGGCGTATCAACGCCATCGTCGCCGAGCACTGCGGCCTCGACAGCCAGTGGCGCCTCTTCTACAGCCGCAAGAGCTTCTTCTTCCCCGAGCTCCAGAAGGGACCACACCGCGAGTGGAGCCACGAGGTCGAGTTCCTCGAGTCCGGAGCGAGCGGACACGGATACGACGGCAACGCCTACTATGTCGGCCCCATCAACCGCGACCACTGGGTGCTCTACCTCACCTCGCCGGACGACAGCGTGCTCGAGGGTCTCGAGGAGGCCGCGCCGGCGGCCTCCGCCGAGGCTGTTGAGCGTCCACTCCAGCTGCCCCCGCCGTCGGGCTTCTGCGACCAGACGCTCGAGATCCTCATGACCCACCTGCGTCCCGAGGGTCGGGAGCCGTTCTTCGTCCCCGCCGGCGTCGAGAAGACGGGCCACGAGCTCGGCGTCGACATCTCGCGGCAGCTCGGCATCGACGCGCTCTTCTCCCCCGACGAGACCTCGCTCGACTCGTTCGGCTTCGAGCCCTGCGGATACTCGGCCAACGCCGTCATCGGCACGGGTCTGCCCGAGAGCAACGGAGGATACTTCACGATCCACGTTACGCCCGAGGAGGGCTGGAGCTTTGCGTCCTTCGAGTGCAACGTGCCCCTGCCCGCCATGTCGCCCAGCGCGTGGGCGTCGCAGTCCGGATCGCCCGACAAGGCTGCTCCCCTGGCCATCGCGAACGGCAACGGCAAGGAGGCGAACGGTGCCAACGGTGCCAACGGCGCCAACGGGCACGAGAAGGCCGCCAACGGCTTCGCAGCCCAGGCGAACGGGCAGGGTGCGGCGCGCCCCGACCTGCGCTCGCTCATCTCGCGTGTGGTCGACATTTTCCAGCCAAACCGCTTCAGCGTGACGCTCTTCGTGTCAACGGAGAACGACACGAGCAGCGCGGACGCGATCCCCACCGACATTCTCGGACGCTCGTTCACGCGGCGCGACAAGATCGGCTACGAGTTTGAGGGGTACGACCTCGTCTTTGCCTGCTTTGAGCGCAAGGGGTGGAAGGAGCCCAAGAAGCCGGCCTCGGCTGCGGGCTCGATGGCGGGCTCGGTCGCCAGCATCAAGGCGCTCGAGTCATGACATTGCTGGAATCAAGACACATAAAAAGAGCCAGGACAACAGGCTCACACTATCCCCTCACCCCCTCATCCACTCCCATCCCATCATTCCACTTTCACTCTTTCACTACACATCTAGAGATTTATGCCCGTGTACTGGGGATGCCATCTTGTTAATGTACGATGAACGTTTTGCTGCAACCGGGGTCGCTAATGGAACAATAACATGGGAGATTTGGTACAAACTACACTTCGTCGTCGGTGGTATCGCTTTCGTACAGCTGCCCTCCGTCTTCTCCTTCTCCTACTGTTCTCCTCCTCCACGCCCGCTCGTCCGCGCTCCTGCACACTTTGGCAGAGGACGAGGCAGTGCCCCGCTGTCGCCGCGTCGTAGAGCTGCGCTCCAGCTTATCCGAGACCGCCCCACGGTCCCCTCAGCCTCCGTGCCAGCTGCATGTCCTTCGTCATGAGCGTAACACGCTTGGCATGGATAGCGCACAGGTTCGAGTCCTCGAACAGGTGCACAAGGAACGCCTCCGTCGCCTCCTGCAAAGCCAGGATGGCCGAGGACTGCCACCGCAGCTCACCCGCCCTACGGGACGTGAGGTTGAGGGCGACTTCGCGGACCTGGGTGTGTCAGCTGACAACAAAACCGTTCAGCTCCTCACTCTTCGTCTTCCTACGCGGAAGACAGGATGTGAGCGGAGCACGAGAACACTCACAACACGACTGAAGGGCAGCTTGGCGATGAGCAAATCCGTGCTCTTCTGGTACTTCCGGATCTCCTGCAGCGCGAGCGTGCCGGGACGGTAGCGGCGCTTCTTCTGCGGAGCTGCCGCGCCGGAACCTAGGCCGCTTCCTGTTTGTCAGCTTTCGAACTTGGATCAGCTAAAGCAGTGAACACGTCGCTCGTGCTCGCAACCTCGTCAGGGCTGAGTTGGAGGGAGAGTGACGGAGGACGCAAACACTCACGCCGCACGTCCTTGCCGAGTCCTTGCCCGGTCGAGCTTCGGGCCGTATTCCGGTTGATGACGGCTCCGGGTACGCCGGCGGGGTTGGCTATTGTGCGCGCCATGGTGACCTGGCGATCGAGGAAGGGTGCGAAAGAACGTCGAGCGGACGGTGAGCGGGAAGTCAAAAGAGACGTGGGCAATGTGCAAGTGGAGATGAAATTGTGGCAGGCGGAGCAGGCAAATTGTGCTAGTGTTCGTCTCAGGTCGCTTGTGTGCCTGTGCTCGCCGAGATGCACGTTGACGGTCGGTGGGATAATGTCGAACGCAGAAATCAGGTTTGTTGTGATCGTTTAGGAGACGGAGAGGTCTAGTCACCCGATATTTCAACCTGGAGCTAATGGCCGCCACGTGACATTACCACCCATTAGCAACATCTTGCGTGCCTTAGCTGGCGACCTCCACCAGCTCACCTCACCTGCTGCTGCGGCTCACCGCGGTGTCCCCGCGTCCAAAGTCGGCGTTCTCGCTGTCCTTCCCTCCGTTAGATAACCCATGCTCCGAGGACTCCGGGGTACACTCGCTTCTGCCAATCTCGGACTCAGGAACTTCTCGACGACAGCAAGCAACATGGTTCTCCGCGTCGGCTGGCACCGCGAGCACTTCCTCTCGCCCCTCCTCCAGCTCGCTGAGCAGGATGGAGGGAAGACGTTCACCCTCGTCGAGTGCCCGGGCGGCACCGGCGACATGCAGGCCAAGCTGAAGAACGATGAGATTGATGTGTGCATTGGTGAGTCGTGGGCGCCGTTCGAAGGGCCCCCCTTGAGTCGCCTCTCGCCTGCTCCAACCTCGAGACAGGTGGAGGAAGGCAGTGGGGAATACGAGCCTAGATTGCTTCCAACGTAGCTGACCCCAGCTTTGACTGATGCTCTGACCGCCGGTATCGCGAACGGGCAGAAGTCTTACAAGCTCGTCGGACGGTATATTTCGTCGCCTCTGCGCTGGGCTATTATCACGGGCAAGGACTCGAAGTACCAGACCGTCGACGACCTGAAGGGCACGACGTTTGGTATCTCGCGTCTCGGATCGGGATCGCAGGTGAGTCTTCTCCAGCTGCTATTGCTTCTGTCCCAGCTGATCGCAGGTTATGGCTAGCGTTCTCTCGCTGAATGAGGGATGGAGCCAGGCGGACCAGCCGCAGTTCAAGGTTGAGGGTCAGTTCAAGCCGCTGCGCGACTCCGTCAACCGGGGCGACACCTCTGTTTTCCTGTGGGAGTGGTTCACGACCAAGCCGTACGTCGACAGTGGTGAGGTGCGCTTCATTGGCAGCGTGTACACGCCGTGGCCGTGCTGGTCGATCGCTGCCTCGCCGAACGCCGACAATAAGGAAGTCTCTTCCTTCCTTGAGGCTCTCCAGCCTTACGTGCGCAAGTTCGACTCGGAGGAGTCGCGTGCCGGCCCTGCGGTTGAGTTCGTCGCCAAGACCTTTGGCCAGCAGCCTGAGGACGTCAAAGAGTGGCTGAAGTCGGTCAAGTGGGAGCACAACCTTGACGAGGTGTCCGAAGGAGTTCTCAAAACCACTCTCGAGACACTCGAGAAGGCCGGTGTCGTCAAGGACGCCAAGTACGACATCAAGGACTTTGTCAACACCGATGTCGCCAAGGTCGTTGCTTAGACGTAGGCGTATCTAGACAAATGCAAGTTATGAAGTCATGGTTGATCATTCCCAAGCCATCAGATCGAAACCCAGCCCTGCTCAGCCCCGATGTCACGCGCTTATCAGTGGAACATGTTTCAGTGCTATCTCCCTTGTTGCTATACTGCTACCGACTGCATCATTACTATCATGATATGTTGCTGCTGCTTCTTACTTGGTCCACTTGTCCCAGAGGTTCTTTCCCTCCTTTTGGGCCTGGTTGGCCTCCTTCTGAGCCTCGTTCTTGATCTCGTTCCACTTGGAGTTGGCGACGTCGGCGGCGCTCTGGGCCTGGTTCTTGGCCTGGTTCCATCCGTCCTTGGCCTGGTCGGCGGCGTCCTTCCACTGGTCCTTAACGGTCTGGCTCGCCTGGTCCCACTGCTTCTGAATGTCCTCGCTCCACTTCTCGCCACGGCGCTCCATCGAGCGGAGCTGGTCGTAGGTGACCTTGCCGGTCTGCGGGGTCCAGAACGAGTCCTGGCCGGGAACACCCGCGACGTGGGTGACAATGGCGCCGACGGGGATACCGGCGCGGCGCTCGGCAATGGCACGCTGAGCGTCGTAGGCGACCTCCTGGAACACACGCATCTTGCGCTCGCTGTCGGGCATGTCGTGCTTGACCTTGTAGATGCCGGCGAGAGAGCCGATAGCGAATCCAAGCATCGTACCGCAGAGCGACGTAGTCACAGCAGCCATGAACTTGAACGATGACGGCGGCGCCGGGCGCTTCTTGCCCAGAGAAATGTAGGCGGGGATACCGAGGAGTGCTCCGGCGACCGTGCCGTACTTGACGGCGTTGCCAGAGGACTTGAGAACCTGGACGTCCTTCGTAGAGATGTCGCCTTGGACGTGAGCTCTGCACCGGCACTGCTCACAAGAGCAAGAGGGAGCAACTCACCAGCCTCAATTCGGCGACGGAGAGAGTCACGGGCGATCTCGACCTCGAACGGCGCGGTCGGCTGCGCGCCGTAGTCCTTCATGAAGGTCAGGTCGTGGTCATCGTGGTTGTTGGAGCTGGAGCTGGAGCCGGTCATGGTGTCTTTTTGGTTGGGTTGATGAGAAGGATAGTCGTCTAAATGCAAGCAACGGGTTATATAGCGATCTGCATCGGCCAACATTTACTGGCTGGCTGGCAAACCGGTTTCTCTCGGTTCTCACTCGAAACGTCCGAGGTCGCAGCGTACAACCGCTACAACCGCATGTGGAAGACATTCGAACTCAATGGCATGTCTCAGCCCAGCCAACCAGACTTGTACGCCGATGACATCACCACCATGTCCATCACGGCAACCCGAGAACATCACCGAACTCCCGGCCAACCACCACTGTCCGCTCGCAATGTATCCAGGGCCTCGACGACCGCATGAACCTGGCCGTGGCCATTGATCATCGACGACTCCTGCGTGCGGTTCTGTAATCCTGCAATGACAGTGAATGCCTGTCGATCTCCTGAACGGCCATGAAAAAAACAGCGACGACGTTGCCCCGCCCTTCTGATCCACTTCGCACCGCAGACAACTCGCTGAAGGTATGCGGCGCCCTCGCGGCGCTCGCGGCGTCCGAGGACCCCGATGAGAAAACTAATTCGGGAGCCGTTTGTCTATCGTTAGCGCTTTAGCGAGCGCCTGCAACATGTGAGCTTGAGCGTCCGATTCCGATTCAGCGTCACTGCTGATCAGCCGATCACCCGTCATGTGCGCCAACCGCAAGGGCCTGGCACACAGAGAAGGTTCATCCACGGTGCTTATCACCGCACCCGGGCTGCATGAACTATACGTGATGCATAAGGTGTCATACTATGTGCTATGGGCTGCTTGGCTTTACTACTTATTACAATGTCCGACTGAGTTTCTAAGGAACGTGTGATTAAAACTTGTTCGCATCTTGCCTCGACTTGAACGAGTTGTAGCTCTCCCTCTGCCTGCGGCTGGGCGGGGGATCGAGCATCTGCGTGTGATTCTGGTGGTGCTGGTTCATGATGTCTGCCATGTTGCCATGACCATTACCCAACGGAGGAGTGCCCATGGGACTGCCCCCATTGCCCTCGAGGGCGCGGTATGCCTGCTGATGCTGAGGCAGTCCGTCGACAGAAGCAAAGCCTTTGCCCTCAAGTGCGCGATAGGCGCTCTGAATGCTCCGGCCCGAGTTACGTCCCAGGCTTCCGCCGGGCGGGACTGAAGCGCGCTGTGCGTCCTCCTCCCTCGCTTTCTGCTGGGACTGGCGCAGGATCTGGCGCAGTTCATCAGTCATCGCGGGCGGGAGGGGGCGGCGCGAGTTGCGCGCAGAGTTGCTCCGCTTCACGCTGCGCGGCACGGCCACAGGCGAAGGAGGGTAGGGCGGTGTAGCCGGCAATGGGCCCGTTGGAGGCGGCTTCTGCGGCGGAATCGGCGACGACGGCACACTCGGTACCTGTGGAACCTGCGGCACCGAGGGAGTGTACGGCGTGACCGGCGTCACAGGGCTGGAGACGCTCTGGGTGATGTCCCGCTCGCTACGGTCAGGGAAGAAGCCCCCATGGTCGCTCTGCGGAGACAGTGGCATGCTCTTCGGTCTGCCCTGCAGTGGCTGGGGCAGTGTGAGGAACGACGGGGACGGGAAGGGCGGTGCGGTCCCGTCACCAACACTAGGCACTGAGGGGACTGGTGAGAGCATCGCCGAACCGTAAGGCGCACTAACGGGGGAGGGCGAGTACACCGACGTCTGGGAGTAGGCGCTGACGAAGGAGCCAGTCGCGAACGACGTCGATGAGCCGTACGGTAGCGACAGCTGGGCTCTCTGTGGCGGCGGGGCCAGGCGTGGCGTACTGTCTGCTGCTCCGCCAAAGGAGACCGCATCTCCGTTCTCGCTGTCCATGGTCCAGTACTGGGATGAGCTCGCCGAGGCGTTCGTCTGCAGACTGTACCCCCGAGCAGGGGCAACGGGGCGCATTGCGCTCGGGGCATAGTTCGGAGATGGGAAGGCAGGCGATGGCGCGAACTGAGGCGAAGGGGCAAACTGAGGTGAATGACCCATCTGAGGCGAGTGAGCCGGGAGCGCTGAATGAGTGGGCAATGGTGAGTGTCCCGGCAATGGTGAGTGGCCCATCTGTGGCGAGACGCCAGCTGGTGAGTGACCCATTTGAGGCGAGGGGTTGAACTGGGGCGACGGCGCATACTGAAGATTCGGAGAATACTTCGGCGATGGAGCCGGCGAGATATGCGCAGCTGAGGGCGAAAGGAGGGAAGGTGAAGGGGCGGTCGGGTTGATGACGCTGTCCTGCGGCACGGTCATGAGCTGAGAATCCGAGAGACGCTTCAGCGACTGCGTCGAGTACCTGTTCCCGAGTCGCGAGTTGGCCGAGAGCCTCTTCTGGCTGTTCGCGGACAGACGCTTCATCGACTGGCTGCCGAGGGAGGCCATGCTCTGCATCGCGGGCGAGGAAGCGTAGCTGTGTACCGGGCTGCTGAGGCCGCCTGGTCCGAGGCTCGCCGATGACTTGGTCGCTGGCGTCATGGAGCTCGACGGCGAGCCCCCAAGCGGGTTGGCAGGGGTGTGTACACCCGTGGGACCAGCGGGCGTCCGCACGCCAGGCGTCATCCACTCCTCCACACCGGGCGAGCCGCGCAGAGCCTCCTTGTACGCCTCTGCCGGGGTCTGCGAGTTCGTGGCGAGGTAGTCGTCTACCCCGTGGTCTGAGAGGGGCAAGGATTGCAGACTGGCCGAGCCGGCCGCCCATCTTTGCCCAAGAACTGCAATCATGGCAGCCGTGGTGCCAAGCGACGCCACACTAGCATGCGCGTTCGTCCCGTTTGTGCCTCCTGTGCCGTCCGTTGAATGCGTCCCAGACATGGGTCGCGATGGGGTATCGGAAACAGGCGCGTTGTTGATCTCGGGTCCAAAGTCGCTGGTGTGTCCGGTGATCATGGGATGCTCGACGGATGTCTTACCACGTCCCATTGCGCCGGGTGTGGGTGAGGGTTGAGGGCTACGACTGGGTGTCAGACTTGGGGTCCCACTAGGGGTTCCCAACGGCGTGACGCCGGGAGTCAAGACAGGGACGCTCGCGTACGCATTCGCTGTCGGTGCAGGGCGCTTGGGCGATGTTGGCTGTCGCATCGGCTGGGGTGAGTCGGCGTCGAAACTGAAGTTTGAAGCCTCTGCACGCAGCTTGGTGCGTGCCCGCCGCTTCTTGCGGCGGTAGCATACCAAGCACGTCAGCAGGAGGATGAGGAGCACGATGAATCCACCAACGCCCCCAACAACACCGCCCACGATCTTTCCGACGTTCGACTTAGATGACGACTTCTGCGCATTCTGGTCCGCGGGATTGTTGCCGGCCGCCCAAACCGTCCCGTTACCCTTAATGCAACTCGAGTCGGAACCCGCGACAACCGTGAACACATCGCTCGTACTGATGATCTGGTTCACGTCCTCGTTTGGCAGCGTCGCAGCGAAGCGGTACCGCCCCGGCGGCACGTTGGTCAACCAGTTGAACTCGTTGCCGACGACGTTGCTGATCACTGTCATGCCGGGACTGCGTTTTTGCGGAGGGGCTGCTGATGAAACACCAGGATCCGGTGCCTCGGAAGAAGCTTCATTCGCACTAGGTTCGGCAGGTGGTGAATCGCCTGTCGACGTCGATGCGCTTTCGGTTGAAGTCGTGCTTTCCGTGGCAGGTGCGCTCTCGGTGGTTGATGCATTCTCGACGGCGTTGGAGCTTTCTGGTGGCAGTGGGCTGTCGGTGGCTGCGGCGTTGGGAGCAGACGTGACAGTCTCAATGTCCTTTTCGGTGCCCCATGCTGCTGGGGAAGAGGCCGGCGTCGTGACTGCATTCCAGAAGGTGATGTCTGTCGGCGATGACCCCTCAACTCCTCGCGATTCTTGCGGTTGTTGCTGCTGCTGGCTGTCCGGTTGCTGCTGCTGCCCGCCCTGTTGTTGCTGTTGGCCGTCCTGCTGCTGCTGCTGGTCTGGGGTCGGTGTCGGCTGCTGCGGGGGACTCTCGCCGTTTTGCGGCTGCCCATTGTCGGTAGGCTGCTGCTGTTGCGGGGTCGCCTCGTTTGTCGGCTGCTGCTGCTGCTCCTGAGGGACGCCCTGGGACTGAGTCTGGTCTCCATTGTCCGCTGGTGCTTGCGAGTTTTGAGGCTGCTGCTGCTGCTGGGGGTTCTCGCTCGGCTGTTGTGGTTGCTGCTGCTCTTGAACAACTCCATTCGACTGCTGCTGCGCTTGCTGCGGCGTTGATCCAGATGAAGCTCCAGAACTGGCTGATGTAGGTTGCTGCGAAGTCGGAGACGTTTGCGGTGGTTGGCTGCCGGAAGGTGTTGGTGCTGCGCTAGTTCCCGAGGAGCTGCTCGTATCGACGCCGTCGGTTGCAGACCCAGACGGCGACAGTCCAGCTGAGGAGTTACTATCTGCGGCTCCAGCAGTTCCTACGGAAGAGCTGGCGGTGTCGCCTGACGTCGGAGCCGCGTTGCTGCCTTCGGCGATGATGTAGAGATTGATATTCTGGTCCGGTTTACCGTTTACCGTCCAGCTGACAGGCTGCTTTGTGCAGGCTGTGTAGGTCGGGCGAGCGGACCAAGACACCGTTGGGGTCGATGCTGATGATTGCCCTCTCACTAGCGGCGCATCGAGCGCCAACCAGGTCAAAAAGAGGACCATCGTCAGCTATGGTCGGTGTCGGTGTCGGACTTCGAATCTCGCCGTGTTTATGTTGATTTCGGTGTTGTTGATGGTGTTGTACAAGATGCAAAGATGGCAGACAACGGATACCTCGACTACCAGAAACAGCAGCGTTAACGCAATCCGTTTGGCATTCGACGACCGCAGGCCGCAGAACAGAACAGGACATGCTTACGTTCTCACGACCTGGTGTTCCTGTGGTCCTCGTTCTTCCTGCGGCGGCGCCTGGAGGCAACTGCTGGATCCGCCCAGCGTCTCAGGATGCAGGCGTGGTCCTGAGATGATCAAACTCTGGCTGCATAGAGTTGTTTGGCAGTGCACGAGAGGAAGTGGAGAGGGAACAGGACCCAAAGTCCGATGTTCCCCTAAGCTCTTAATCTTGAGTTTGAGTTTCTGGCTATGGAGATGGACGATTGGACCTCTTCAGTCCGCCTGCATGCGGGCCGTAGCAAGGTTTCGCCTGTGCTGTCTTGCGAAACATAACGGCATAGCACACCCTCACGTCAGTCTGGGCTCTCCCGCGTGAAATGTCCCACTCTGCGTGCCTGCGTCCCTTACGCTACCCCCGTTGTCAGAGCCTGTTAGTCCACCTTCCTCATCCTGCGTGGGCCCATTCTTCGCAACGCCGATGGACGGGCCTAGCAGGAACGACCGAAGCCTTGGATGACCCGGTCCAGCATGCAGCACGCTCACCAGTGATCTAACATGGAGCAAGCCACCTTCTCAGGAATCTCGAGGCACGTAGGTAACCAGGTTGACTGAGATGACGACTTCAAGGCAGCTTTCTGCTCCTGCAATTGTCGGAGTGGCAGTTTGGTGTGGCCCGTACCCCTGGCAAGCAATCAAACACGGAGCGCTTGCTGGATGCACGGACGTCTGTCTTACAAGCCGACCGTCCGTCACGTGCAGCTCACGTGAACATGAGCGCACATGAGCTAGTCGAGCAGTACGCTCTACTTTCCGTGAGATGATGATACATGCCGTCCTTCTTAACAATGCAATTTGTGAGATGAAATGCTGCGTTTATGCCGTCGCCTCGCCCTCAGCCTGAGCGGCAGAGGGAGCCTCAGCGGCCTTGGCCACAGTGCTGAGCTTGTCCTCGAACTTCTTCCTCAAGCTGTTAGGAATGGTGGGAACACCGTCTGTTTGTCAGCTTGATAAACCATGAGGCGGCCGGAATAACGCCCATGTAAGGCATTAAATACATGCTTATGCCCAACACTGCGCTGGTACTCACACTGAAGACGGTCGTTGACATACTTCTGGGCGAGGTCGGGGCGGCCGAGGTTGATGCAACGTCCTGCTGATCAGCACACATGCACTAAATGCCCATCGTCCGTTCATCATCCGCAACCTTAATCCGGCAGCGATCATCTCCTTCGTGTGATGCCATCAACAAACACCAGGGGATGGTATCGACAGCTGTCACGCCATGTCTCGATAGCTGAAACAAGCCGTCCTCGACATAATGGGGTAAGGTGATCCTCGTTCGAAAGCCTAACTCAGCGGCTTCGCAAACACTCACCAACAAGCTCCTTGGCAGTCTGGTTGGAAACCTTGCGGCCAAGAACACGCCATGCCCGCAGCACACGGTCAAGCTCCTCGAGCTGCGCCTCGTTGTCGCTCAGCTGAATGACTTTCCGGAGCTCGCCAGCCCTCTCCACAGTCCCGTCGGTAATGTTGTTGATGTACTCCCGGCGACGGTCGGCGCGGTCACCGCTACCCTCAGATACAACCTCCTCCGAAGCACCGGCGAAAAGGTCATCGTCGAAAGAGACCTCCTCAGCCGGAGCGGCCGCCTTCTGCTTGCGGTACGCTGTGGTTAGCTCCGTAACCGGAGAAAGCCTAGCTTACCAATGGCCGAGGTGTGGAAAGATCGGGTAACAGGGACCAATCGACGGAGGGCGAGCATGATGTCGTTGAGGTTGTTGTCAGTGACGAGCTCGAAAAAGTCCAGTCCGAAATGTCAGTCCGTTCACGATCGCCCGCGAGAGGTACGGCACGTGGCTAAATGGAGGCTCGAATAACGGGGAGATAAGACACCGCTGCCAAGGCTAAAGGAGGTCGATTAGCTGCGGAACGCGCAGGCGATTAGTCTGGACTAGGGGAAGTGTTGTAATGCACGCTAATCAAGGTTGTATTGAGAGGAGATTAAGTTTGTTTTGGCTAGCGTCTTGGATTTGCTGTGCCTCGACGCGACGTGTCACACGTTTCGCTTCACCCACCCCTACTCTTCTTCATACTCTTCTTCATCTCTTCTTCAGACGCAGCCAACGTCCTCGTACGTTCTTCGTCTTTCTTAAGGCTTTCATTTTATCTATGCGGTCGACCACGCATCGCCGCACGCAGTACACCGACGACGACGATCTGGCAGACCCGAGGCCGTGGGAGACCCGAGTGCCACCCTCGAAATACGGCTCTGGTGCCCACGAAAAGTCCAGTTCGGCGGATTCGGCGCTGCCACTTTACAGCAGCATGGACATTGAGAAGGAGAAGCTACTAGAGAAGGACACCCTGTCCGAAAAGGTCGTTGTCACCGACGACGACCAGGGCAAGTGGAACAAAGGACACGGCGCCGGCCCGGGGATTGGCGGGAGACGAGGTCTCCCGCCGCGTCAGCGGATCGAGGGTTGGGTAAGTTTTAGCTACAATGGCTTCCTTTGCTAACGGCTTCCAGCGGGGACAGTACGAGGAGCACTATGAGCTCTTCTGGACCGTCGTCTACACTGTCCTGTCCATGATCACGAGATACTGGCGAATTGGCGCTGCCAGGTTCGTTGTTTGGGACGAGGCGCACTTCGGCAAGTTCGGTACCCATTACATCAACCGCGACTTCTACTTCGATGTCCACCCTCCCCTTGGAAAGATGCTTGTTGGACTTGCGGGTCTCCTGTCCGGCTATGACGGCAGCTTCGAGTTTAAGTCAGGTGTCGAGTACCCGGAAGAGGTACCGTACACAGCGATGCGCGTGATGCTTGCGACTTTCGGTGTTGCCCTCGTTCCGCTGGCCTGGTGGACCGCTGGGGAGTTTGGATGGTCTCGCTACACTCGTCACTGGGTCACACAGTGCGTTCTCTTCGACATTGGATGGCTCTGCATCTCTCGTTTCATCCTCCTCGATTCCATGCTCCTGTTCTTCACCTTCACCACCACCCTCGGCCTCGTCAAGTTCCACAACCAGCGACATGACCCGTTCGGCGACGACTGGTGGATTTGGCTCATTTTTACCGGCTTAAACATTGGTTGTGTGTGCTCCGTCAAGTGGGTCGGCATGTTTGTGACCGCGCTCGTCGGTATCTACACCATCGAGGACCTTTGGGCCAAGTTCGGTGACCTCCGCATGTCCATTCGCACTTACATCAAGCACTGGATCGCCCGCATTGTGTGCTTGATTGTCATCCCCTTCCTGGTCTACGCGCTCTGCTTCAAGATCCACTTCATGATCCTCGACCGCTCTGGACCCGGCGACGCTCAGATGAGCTCTCTCTTCCAGGCGCACCTCCGCGGCAACGACTTTGCTAACTCGCCCCTCGACATCGCCTATGGTTCCAAGCTCACCCTGAAGAACTACGGTTACGGCGGTGGTCTTCTCCACTCGCACGTTCAGACTTTCCCGACTGGTTCTCAGCAGCAGCAGGTCACTTGCTACCACTACAAGGACAACAACAATGACTGGATCGTCACTCCCCCCTGGGGAGGAGAGTTCGACGAGGAGGAGCTGCGCTACCTGAAGGACGGCGACGTCATGCGTCTCGTCCACGCCTCCACTGGTCGCAACCTGCACTCGCACTCCATCGCCGCGCCCGTCACCAAGGAGGCTTGGGAGGTTTCGGGTTACGGAAACGGCTCCATTGGCGACACGAAGGACCACTGGGTTGTCGAGATTGTGGACGACACCTCGCGCTCTAAGAAGGACAGCGACGGAAAGGTTCATGCCCTTACCACTCGCATGCGTCTGCGTCACAAGGATCTCGGTTGCTACCTGCGCGCTGCCAACTCGATTCTGCCCCAGTGGGGTTTCAAGCAGGTCGAGGTTACTTGCACCAAGGACAACAACCCCAAGGATGTCCACACCTACTGGAACGTTGAGTCGCACTGGAACGACAGGCTGCCCGCCGGTAACGCCAAGTTCTACAAGTCCCCGTTCTGGCGCGATTTCTCGCACCTGAACGTTGCCATGTGGACTTCGAACAACGCGCTCATTCCCGACCCGGACAAGGAGGACATCCTTGCTTCGGCTCCCTCGGACTGGCCCTTCCTCCACCTCGGTCTCCGCATGTGTGGCTGGGGTGACGGACAGATCAAGTTCTACCTTCTCGGCACTCCCATCATCTGGTGGTTCTCGTCCATCTGCGTTGTTGGCCTCCTCCTCGTCGGTCTGTGGTACGTGCTCCGCATGCAGCGCCACTACAAGGACTGGGCTCCAGGAGAGTGGGACCACTTCCTGTACGTCGGTAAGATCGCGTTCGGCGGTTGGTTCTTCCACTTCATCCCCTTCCTTATCATGGGCCGCGTAACCTATCTTCACCACTACCTCCCCACACTGTATTTCGCTGTTCTCATGGCTGGTCAAGTCCTCAACACGTTCATTTTCGGTTCGCCTCGCTGGTCGGAGCGCACCAAGTTGATCTGGTTCATCTTCTGGACCAGTGCTGTATTCCTCAACTTCTGGTGGTTCCGCGATATGGCCCTCGGCATCCACGGTCCCATCAACGACCACAAGGGCTGGCAGTGGCGTAGATCATGGAACATCTACAACGGCCAGTAAGCTCCCAGCTCCAAAATGACAGGATGTCACTCGCCGTCCATATCATCACTCTAGCATAAAGATGTAGCATGACACCCCCAAATATGAATATCATAGACAACGTACAACACTCTAGTAGTCTACTTGCGCACCCACATCTCATACCGGTACTGGATACCCTTCTCCTCAACCTCGCCCTCGGGAACGTCCCAGCCGACCCAGTCGCACAGCTCCTGGTGGGTGGCTTGTCGCCACTCGGGGCTGGCCGTGAACTCGTCGAGGAAGACATCGCACGGGATGTGCCCCAGAACGCGGGTGAGGAGCACTCGGTCGACATGGGCGGGGAGAGCCTGGTTGTACAGCTGTGCTCCTCCAATGAGGAAGGCCCGGTGCGTGTCGGCGGGGATCGAATCGATAGCGTCCACGAGGCTGCCGTGGGCGGAGGTGCTCTGCTCGCCAGAAACATCGACGCCAGCGCGCGAGATGACAAGGTTGTGACGCTCCTTCAGCGGCCGGAACTTTGTCGGAATGCCGTCCCACGTCTTCCGTCCCATCAGGACTGCGTTGCGCTTCCCGGCCATCATCGAGTCCTCGCCGGTCGTCACTGCCTGGTCAGCTTACGGCAATGATCCCAGCTGTGCGGAAGAACTCACCTCGAGCAAAGTACTTCATTTCTCCCGGCAGCCGCCACGGCAAACCGCCGTCTCGTCCAATACCTCCGTCAACGGTCGCGGCGACGATGGCGGTGAGACTCCGCTTCGCAGGGTTGGTCATGCTTGTCAGTTTGTGTTGTTGCGGACCTGGACGCGCGACGCGTCGAAATATCCTGGCCGCCTGGGCTGAAGTCATCTCCCGCATCTAAAGTGAGGGTGCTGAATAAAGGTACCGTTGATGTGGATGGTCCCTGGACGACATCGTCATTGCAGTGCGTTGTGTCCACTTCGAGGCTGGTTGTCATCGTCTCGTTCATCCAGCTCACCATGCCCGTACGTATCAGCTGCTCTCAGCTCGACCCCAAGCTAACGTGACAGGCATACCACTCAGCATTCAACAACGACCCCTCGGTGCAGACGGTGGGCAACACGGGCCTCGTCCCGTTCAATGCGACGAAAGCCCGAGGAGCGGCTCCCATCCCCGCCGACCCCTCGCAGCCGGACATCATCGAGGAGGCTCTGGACCTGTGAGCTTTTCCTAAGCTGTAAATCCAGGCTGACATTCAGGTTCCGAGCTAACTGTCTCTTCCGCAACTTCGAGATCAAGGGTGCGTAGTTACACCAGACGACAGTGCTTGACCTGGGATCTGCAACCGTTACGCATGTGGAGAACGCAGCTAATAACCAGGTGCCGCTGACAGGACACTAATCTACCTTATTCTCTTCATCAGCGACTGCATTGCGAAGCTGGCGCCGACCGCCGGCCGTCCCAGCCCCGGATATGGCGAGGCGGGCAAGAAGCTGCACACGCTCGCCGTCGACTCGTTCGCCCTTCCCGGAGAAGCTGGCTTCCCCCTCAACTCCATGTACCACCCTCCGGCGAACCGAAATGAGGCTGGTGAGTGAAATCTCAAGACTCCGGAGCTTGGCGTTCAGCTTGGGGGGGCGATTGCTAGCTGACATCAGACATGCTGAGGTCTTACCTCACGCACGCCAGGACGGAGCTCGCCCTCCGCCTCGTCGACCGCCTGTACCCGGAGGAGCAGGTGCTCGGCCCCGACGGCCAGCCCACTGGTCAGGTCGGACCCAGGGCCGCCCAGCCGAGCAAGTGGTGGATGGCGTTCCAGAAGCGTCGGTGAGTAATCCGTCTGAGGATATCTCGGTTGGAGATATGTCATCGGAACTGACAAGACAGATTCATGGGTCGCTCGCTCAGCAGCTAAGTGTGAGCGGGAACGAAATGCTAGCAGCGCGCCACGCCGACCGGCAGCCTGGTGCAGCACACGACGTTACGACGATCGTGCGCGATTCAAACTGGCCTATTTAGTTGGCCGTAGACGAAATGCAAGGATGTAATATCACGGGATGTTCGACAGAACGCACGTCGTCTCGTCCTTTTGTGCTTGAGGAGCGCTGGAAAGGCTTGGAGGTCGGAGCGAGCAGGAAGAGGGAAGGTACAGGAGTGGGTTTCAGAAGCGTGAGTCTCGGCCTGGTCGGCGTCTTGCGGCTGCACCGACCCCTTCAGTTGGTCGCACCACTTTCCGCACTGACCGCAATCGATGGCATTCTGACAGCACACAAATAACCGAATAGCACGCCGGGTGCGATACTGACCGTCCTTCTCTCTTCCTCTTTCATACCCTTCACATTCTCGCCCACCCCTTTCTTCTTCTTCTCGCCGCTTCCGCCGTCGCCGTCGACACGACACGCTCATTGTTCATTCTCGCCCAATGTTCACTTACGCGGTGCCCTTATTCTAATCCGTCGCTTCTTCTCAATCCCCGATACATTACGTCGACCTTCCCCTTTGTCCTCCGCCGTCTCCCTCGATCCCTCATCTCAGAGTCTTAAACCGTCTCACCTACACCCTATCCACCACTCTCCCCAACAACACGCCCGTCTGTTCTCACAACAGCAACACCAAAACAACCTCGACCAACATGAACTACTGCGAGTACTACTCGAGCTACGCGACGCATGCTTTCGAGCCGGCCGATCACCACGAGGAACACTTGCACGAAACGCTGGGCGCGTACCTTGCCCAACGGCATCCAGAGAAGCCAGCCGACCTCGTGCAGTTCCTCGCGACGCGGCTCGTGTCCCACGACCGTCCTTATGGGCACGGCGGCGACTGGTTCCCTCTCAATGAAGGGGACGGGTGCGTCCTCCGCCGCTGTTGTGGGACTCAAGGCTGTGAGCTCCTCGAAGCGCGCGTCGAGTGGATGACGGCCATCGCACTGCGCGCCTGGCAACTGGTTTCGCATAGCCACCCTTACTAGCCCATCCTAGGCGAGAGAAAGGAGAGGGCCATTCACGCGGCTCGCCACTTCGCACACGGTACTCGTCGCGAGCCATTCCCCCGACACCCCCGACGAGCCCGGCGATGACCCCCGACCTTCGCCCCAGCACGTTCGTCGCTTATCCGCGCCTCAGCAGCGCTTCGGCCACCGGCCCACGAGCATTATCAATCACACCTACACCCCAAGTATGACGCATCACGCATAGCATCTCACGAACAATCACTACCTTCACTGCATCACGACACTTGTCGTCCACGGACAATGCCCCCTCCTCCTCAACTATAGACGCTCAACTGTCGACACACATATAATACCACTCATCTGACAGTGCTTCACGACCACCCACACCTGTATACATCGCCTTATCTGTACTATCTCCTTCTGCATGTTTTATGGTTCTGGACGGTGCAATGCGCTGTGTGGATGTTTCAGAGGAGCGCCCGGGTGTGATCTCTTATCTCTCGTTGGCAGAATTTGAGACAGGATGTGCAGAGAGAGATCTTGGGAAGACGTAGAGTGTGAAACACACACACGCTCGACCGTGCTGTGACGTGAAACAACAGGTGAAGGTCAGCACAGACGCTGGCGCATTGGTAAGGGCGCCAAGGCGGTGTTCTTATCAGCCACTTCAAACGTCTTGTTACAACTGTGCGCGACACTCCTCTCGCTGCTGAGCTGTCATGTCCAGGCCATGCCTGGGGATTGCTCTGTATCACGTCGGGAACAGCGAGAAGGAAAACCATGACTGGTTCCATGCCATACCGAAAAGTTCGCTCCATCCTCGCACCTCCTCCCCATTACCGTCGCGATCATTAGTTCGACACCTCACCTCCCCGCTTACCATCCCGTTCCTCCGCTAGCCGACCTTGCAAAAGAGGAATCTCTCTATCGAGAGGCTCCGACCCCGGCCCGACTCGAACGGACAACCTTCAGGAATCGTAAGATATCCCAGTCATTGGAATCTGAAGCGCTACCAATTACGCCACGGAGTCACCGTGATGTGGTCACGTGAAGGAAGGGCGCAGCTCTCCCACGGGCGACGGGGCAGCCGAAAGCATGCGTCAAGGTGCTCATCTGTCGCCGAGCATGCATCCTGGGAGTCCTCTCCACAAACTGCATGCTTGACCTGCGGTGTGAGGGCAGCAGGAAGCGTCGAAAGCAGCTGCGGGGGAAAGAACATCCGCTAGTGGCACTGATGGTACCCTTCCGGAAATCGCGAATACTGATCTGCATTCTGAAAGGAGTGACTAAAGTTGGATACGATTACTATTTGCTTGGGTCTACTACTGGGTTGTGCTTGGCCCCCTTTACTTGACGAGGTAGGGGAAGACGAAGTTGGCGAAGATGCCCGTGTCGTCGGTGAGGAAGAGGTTGCCGGCGGTGTCATCATACTGCCGGACAGCGAAGCACTCGCGGGTACCGGCCATGCAGAGGTTCTGGCCATTGAAGACGATGTCGGAGGAGCGGATCTCGTCACTCTCGACACCGCACTGGGCGATCGCGGCCTGACCGTTGCCAGTGACACCGAGACACCAGCCGGGGTAAGACGCCTGCTCGGTGCCCTGCTCGGTGCTGATCCAGCCCTGGTCAGGGGCGTTCGGGGCGCCGTTCTTGTCGTTGTCCTCGACGGTGACCTGGCACATCTGCAGGTTCACGCTGTCGACGACCTCGCTGATGAATTGGTGGGCGTGGACGCACAGGTTCGTGCCCTCAAGGCGGATCGTGGACGGGATAACGCTGCCACCACCGTTGGGCTGCTGGCGGCGCTCGGAGGGGGCGGCGAGGGCGCCGGTGAGAGCGAAGAGGGCGAGAGTGTACTTCATTGTTGTTGTGGGTACTTGTGTTGGAGTCTGATTGTTGTTGTTGGTCTGGAAGAGGACAGAGACGGTGTTCTTATATACCTTTCGACGAGCCCCAGACGAGGGCCACTCTATCACTGGTAGCAGTGCTTCCGGCTGCCTCTGCGATATGCCATTCTTCTCGGACACTTCCCTTGACGGCGTCTTCACCGAGCTCGATGGACGCTTGAGGGAAGCCGGATCAGCGCTAGTCACGACCAGAGCCACACTCACAACCCAGAACTCACCTCAGCCTTCCCATAAAGTCTTTCTTGGGTCCGCACTGGGACAGGAACCCGTCTCGGTCTCCCGTTGTCCAGCTTTGGGACACTCGGAGAGGCTTGTTCCCGCAAACACCTCCGGTTCCAATACCTGGGCGCGTTGTCTCGCGAGTGCCACGCGCCGTCCGCAGCGGCGTACGCACTCCCTCCGCTCCACTATACTCCGGCTCTTGTTGGAGTCGTGGGAGCCACAAATCGCGGGCCGTGCCTCTCCCATGTTGGCGGTGCTGGGACGCAACCCAGTTCTTCCCGAGCACTGCCCCTATTATAAGATTACAGTTCGTTCCACTTCTGCCGATGCCGATCTTGGGTGTTCTGAGAACACAGCAGGAACCCACCGAAGATACTTGGGCCGATGGCTCATACGTAACCACAAGGCAAGGACACGGGCGACAGCAGGCTGTCCCGTGTAGTTCTTGGCGGAGAGGCAGGGTCGTCGTGAGGCACCTGTTCGGTAATCCATTAAGATAAGATTACACAGCCATGTGGGTGGGGAGAAGGGGGAGCTATCACGTATGGCGTTCTACCCGATACTTGGTCCTGGCCTCTTACCCGGCCTGTTTCGCTCTAAGGTTCTGTGACAGTGATGTGCTCAGAGCATGGAGCTGCCCTGCGCCCGCCACGTACCAACTCTCTTAGTCTCAGACAAGTGTGGCACTGCGCCCCTCTCACCTCCACCTTTGTCTACCGTCACAACCGTTCACTATTGCCTGCAACTTACTCTTCTAAACGATCGCTTCATGTTCAACCTACTGCAGATGTGCTCAGGATCGAAAAAGATGTGTGTTCTGGACGACTTAGGAATCGAACCAAAGACCTCGTCAATGAGCTAGAAGGTGCTAATGACGCGCTCTACCAACTGAGCTAGACGCCCCCAGACACGGAAGTGCTGGTCTGGAGACGCGGATGCCCGGTGCTGTGGCCGCGCAACCTCTGCGACAGCGACGAGAGGATGAGGGAGATGTAGAGCATTGACAACGTACACTCGAGGCCTCAGCGAGTAGAGGATCAGGGACGTTGCCGGCAGGCATTTGCCGAGACGTGCTACGATTGGTGGAGAGGCGTGAACCACAAACTATGAGCCGCAAGACGAGTTCCGCGAGCGCGCGTGCTTCCCCCGTGACGCAGCCAGGTCTTTCCAAACCCAGCGCACTCTGTCTGGGCTTTGAGGCGGATGCTCGCACCTCGTGTGCGCTCTTCGTCATCCTTCTGACAGGCACGGAGGCACGCCGCCAACGCCTCCCTGTGGCAGTCCTTTCCGTGCGTTTCGCGCATTCCGTGGTCCGTGCAGTGCAGGCGGGTGTTGCTGCCTCCATGTCGGGATCGGGATATGCACTGCTATGCTTGTTGTAATAGCTGTTGTCATATGTCCGTTAGTGTGGTTAGTGGGACGATGCTGTGGCGCTTGGCGACAACGGCGCAGCCGCCTCGTGGCGAAGGACAAGATGGACGAGAATATGAATAAGCGGACCGCTTTTGCGAGGTTCTGGCTTCCGAAGGAAGCATAGGTAATATCGTCGGTGTTCTGGGGCGGCTAGCAGCGTATATGAGGGACGCGGAGAGGAAGTCAGTTGGATCGCGTGTCGCAGGAGCCGGTGCTCGCATCATACACGAGTGACAGTGTCGTGGCCATGTATCTTCGAAGCTCTCCGTGTGCTGAGAACACATATTGAGTTGTGCTGAGAAGCTGAGAACACATACTGAGAAGACAGAACCCACAGCATGCAGTAGCCCTTCTTCCCCACCAGACGCCAACACATGCACACCCAGCGCCATGCACGAATCGCATTCCGGCCACCCCCACGCCACGAGTGCCGTGCGCGACGGGTGCGAGATCGCAGCGCACGATCCTGCAGCCAGCGCCGTCGTCGGCGTCGTGCTGACGGTCTGTGCCCAAGAGCAAAGATACATAAGCAGCCTCTCCCGAGCGCTTTTTCTCTCCAGCGAACTCGCTCACTCATCTCGAGGGCTCTATGGGTGCCCTCGGAAGCGGGGAGCTCAGACGGCTTCCCAGTCACCTCCAGCCCCACCGGCGGACTCGTGAGTACTGAATACGACCGGGCTGACATTGAAGGCGGCCGCTTTGCCCCAACGTACGCGGACATTGTGGGGTTCGTCGTGGACGAGCCTGCAGTTGGCATGTCAAGGGTTACGGCAAGGTCCATAGCCGACAGGAGCCGGGGTATGGCCGCTTTGCACTCTTTCAGCTTCTCTGGAAGAGCTTGAGCCTCTACCCATATGTGGACTCGTCCTCACCACCTTCCCGCGCAGCCACCAGCCCGGCAGACGACGCCCCGCGTTCGAGGTATCTTGCGCTTGAGCCACGCGCCGATCGCTGGACCGACACTATGGCACAGTGCGCTCGCGGGCGGAAGACGTGCCACCAGGTCGCAAACCTCGACCTCGCCAACATAGGGATCAGGGCTCGCCTGCTACGTTTCGTGTTGGACGAGCCGCCAGTGCGGACGATGGATGTGACGTTGGGATGGGTTGCGGAGAACGGCCGCGCGGGTTGGGCGCTGCCCTGCCCAGCGGAGTCTCCAGCGACTGGACGAGTGCTTGATGCCGCTCTGGACATGTTCACACGCAACCCTTGGCGGCGAAACGGCCTCGTCCAGCTCGACCCTCCGCCTACACTCCACTCTCGGGCTGAAGCTTCTGGTCACCTCGAACGACAACGCTGCCCAAACCACAGCTGTCTCCAGCAGAGGTTGCCAACATTCTTTCTCCTTGTTGATCACCTTGCTGTGGGGGGATGGTTGCGGGGGGCAGGTTGTGAGTATTGGGAGCTGCCGGTCGGTGTTGACCGTGGTGAAGGTGTACGCATCCTCCTCGTCCTTGGTGCTGTCAATGTTCCCCTCGAGATCTCAGGGGATATCCCGTCCCGTCGAGACAGTCTCTATGGTCGCCTGTAGCCCAGGTGTGCTCGTCGGCTGGAATTGTGGGGAGATCATTTGCCGAGGTCGGAGCATCGGCGCCTCCCTCTTTCCCCCGTGCCACTCGCTGTCGAGAGAGAAGGACGGTCCCTGGGAAGTGGGTGCCTTGCGCGATTCGGACTCCAGCGCCAGGCGCGGCTACTTCGCCTTGGCAGTCGCCGTCACAAGACTCAGACATCAAGGAGACAGAGACACATATCAAACTTCGGTGGACCCCTGTGGAAGTCCAGTGGATGGGGGGATGCACCCGGGCATCGCTTCCCCCGTCGACGCCACGACGCAGGCTCAACACCTCCCTACACTCGATCACTGTTTGGAAGGGAGTTAAACCCCGCGACACAAACTGCAGTCTGGGTGGCGACGCTCCCGCCGAGGCAACGACGCAGTCAACGACTCAAGACGAGGGACGAGGCTGAGCGTGGGATCGCATTCTCCTCCTGAATGCGGCCGGCCACACTCCACCAAGATAGGAGTACGAAGACGTATATTTGCATGAGGCATTGATGAGGGCGCAGATGGACTCAGATGGACTCAGTCGCCCCAAGCATGCTGCTTTCGTGACACCCCCGATCCTTCCTTCGTACCTCCCCGAATAGGAGGGAGAGGAGAGGGAGCGCGGCAGTGTCACGAAACCGGCATACTTGGCGCTTGTCTGGGTGTCTGGGTCCACACCATCATAGCAGGAAGACGACGGGGAGATCCTGTCATGGCGTACTCTGTCCTATCCCCTCCTCATCACAGGTGATAGGACAGATTGCGCCATTACACGATCCCCTCCGCTCCCCTTTTCCCCCAGCTCCCCCCAGTCTTTGCTTGTGCACAATGGAAAGCAAACCCGAACAGGGTGAGTCACGTGCTCACAATCTCACGTTCCAGACCCTCCGTGCCTGAACATATTCCCTGAATGTATCATGTTTCATTCCTCGAATTCTGTTGTTGTTTGTTGCTTGCGTCGCGTTACGCGTCACTCTCTTCTCCTGCCTTTCTTCTTTCGGCAACCCCACGATCCGCAACTGAAATCCGGGCGCCGTGCCGTGTCGTCCTCCCTGTCCGTCCTGAGTAGTGCCAGTGGAGGTGGATGTGTAGTGGATGAACTGGCGAGAATTTGTTGCATACAAGATACACACCTTGGTGTGTCGAAGCGTTTCATAAGAACGAAAGTGGAATAGACAAGAAAAGAGCTATCTTTTTGTGTGGCGTGGAAGGATGTGTGTGGTGTGGTGGCGGTTGTTGGGGGAAAACTACTAACTTATATTCTTCTTTCAACTCTGTGCGCTGCTCTCCCGTTCTCACGAGAAGCTACGCATGGAGCTACGAACGTGTCGCGCCTCGCTCTGCTCGGCGGCTCACTCGACCAGCCCATTCTCCGCCCTCTCCAACTGCGCAACTCTCCTCGCCCTCATCCTCCCGACCTTCTCCTCCTCCCGTCCATAGACGCGGGCACACTCCTCCTCCGCGCTGCCCTTGGGCGCTTCCAGCCCCAATCCGGCCTTCACTTCCTCCTCCCTCACGCACAGCGCCACTTTCGGCCCGTGGGCGAGTGCCTTCGGCGGACGCCCATTGCTCTTCACTGCCGGGTTGGAGAGCGCCACAATGCCGAGCGTCTCGAGGTTGGAGAGCAGGTCGCGATAGTCGCTCTCGGGGGCTGGCGGGAGGGGACTGCTCTCGTGGCTGAGGAGGTGCGAGTACGTCGCGTACAAAGAGGACACGGTCAGGGACTCGGACACGGCGCCGGTGGGACAGCCGGCCTGCCCCGAGCGCTGGCGGAGGAGGAACACGAGCAGCGCGACGAGCACGAGGCGGCCTTGCAGCGGTACACTCCTGATCTTGTTCCCCACCGCACTTGAGGGCGCCGCACTGCTGCTGCCCGCTGCGGCGCGGAGGGCCTGTGTGTGGCTCGCGAACGCCTTGAGGACGTGCGGCAGCGCGACTTTCACGAGCACCTCGGAGCCCTTCTTCGTCCACTCTGTCTCCGCAAGAGACACGGCCGAGGAGAGCACTCCCAGACACATGCGCAGGTCGCCGTTCTGTGCCTCGACCTTGCGTGCGAGCAGCTCCAACGCACGGCTGTCGACCTGCACGCCCTCAGACGGCAAACGGTCAGACACGATGCGGCCCATGTCCTGCGCGGTGTAGGCGCGGAAGGAGAGGACCTGGGGCATGGCGCCCGAGGCGAGCGAGAGGTTGGCGCGCACAGTCAGGTCGAGCGTGTTTGAGATCGCCACGAGCTTGATGGTTCGGTCAGACGACGAGAGCAGGGGAAGCGAAAACAGCTTGGAGAGGACGTGCGAGACGGCCGGGGGGGCCAGTGTCGGTGGCGGAGGGAGGAGGGAGTCCACCTCATCGAGAATGATGAACGTCTTGTGCCCGTCAGAAGAGAGGTGCTTCGAGACAGCCGCCTCGGTCTTGCCGCACCCCAGCTCGGAGCCGAGACGAGACCACACGTCAGTCGCCTTTAGGCCCATGACGCCGACTTCGGCGACGCGCCACCCCTGCGCGGCGAGCGACCTTCCAACGGCGGTGGTCAGAGCAGTCTTGCCCGTTCCCGGCGGGCCCGAGACGTACATCCCCACATCCTCGGTGGATACCAGGCCGAGGTAGGTCTGGAACACGGCCTTCTCGTCCTCACGTCCGACGATGGCATCAATCGCATCAGAGGAGCGCGCAGAGAGACGCAGCTTGGCCTTGAGAGCGCGATATGGGTTGGCGGGAACGACCTCGGGCGACGGGCTCTGAGACGCATCGCGGCACGTCACATCGTCCATGGCATAGGCGAGTTCAGTGGCAGAAGGAGACGACGGCGGTGGCGTGATGAGAATCTCCTCCTTGGCCTTGCCCTTGCCCTTGGGGTCTTTCAGATCGACGTCCATGTCGCCGTCGGGAGAGACGATGCGCTCACGGTCCTGCGACGACGCCGTCGTCGCGAGCGACGGCGACGGTGACGGGCTCGGTAAGCATGAGCTAGTCCTTGCCAGGTCGGCAGAGCGGCTGGGACCCGCAGCGGCGGCGGCAGAAACTCCTGAATCCAGTCAGTTGACTATACCCTATTGAGCGGAAGCTTACCTGCACTTTCGCTGCGGAGGCTGGAAATGCTGCTGGAGCGGTTACGGCTGAGTTGTCGGCTGACGCGGACGCGTTTGCGCGAGCTCTCGGCGGGAGAGGGGCGGGGCGGGGGCTGCGGGTCGCGCGGAGGGGGAATGTTCTCCTTCCCCTTGCCGAAGCGGGGACCACCGGAGGGGCCGGCGTCGCCGCCGTCTCCACCCTTGATCGCCGGTGGGCCGGAACCGCCAGACGCGACCTCCTTGATCTGCGACAGGGAGGGGACGGCGCTCGTACTATGGGCGCGGAGGAGCATCCCACCGCGACTTCTTGTAGCGACGCCAAGGCCGAGGGATGCGGGGACGGGAGAGGGAGAGGGGGAGGCAGACGCGCCGTTGCCGCCCCGGCTGGAACCGAAGAGGGAGGCGGAGCGCGTCAGTGTCGGCGAAGTCGTGGGCGGACGCGTCCTACGGCGTTCGGCGGGGGATGCTGTCCGTGCGGGGGACAGGGCAGAGGGTGCAGTCGCATTACGGCGGAGTGGTGAACGGCGAGTCCGGCGAGAGCTCTCGGGGGTGTCGGCCGACAGCTGGCGCTCATTGTCCTGGTCTTCGGGTTGCTCGTCTGCTGCGCGCGTTCGCTTCGGCGCGGGCATCTTGAGTTATGGTGATGAGCGAGATGTGTGTTGCGATGCACGAATGGATTCGCAGTGTGTGTGTGTATGTGTGTGTGAGAAGATGCGGAAGAGAATATTACAATGGGAGGAGAGGGATGGGATGGTTGGGGCCGATTGGGAGATTAATGCGCCTAGTGAGAGTACGCGTAATGAGTGGCTCGCACCGGATGAAGGGAAGAAGGGTGGGGGGCTGGAGTCGAGGGTAGCGGTGGCAGATGGGAATGTCGGGAATGCAAAGCAAGATACACAAGAAAGAGAGTAGCGCAAGAGGGAGAGGCAGTGGGAAGCGTGCCGAGGTGCTGGAGAGAGAGTTATGACAATGGGATGAACAAAAGATAGAATGATGTGAGACGATGTGGTCGATGCAGAGGCAGCAGCTGATGGCCGGTCGTTGTCGAGGCTCACTCACTCACTCACTGCTTGTTCCTACAATGGACCCAAGCTCAGGACGCGTTCAATGGACCCCCTCGCTAGCCTTGCTCGCAGTCTGAACCCGCCCAGGGTAGTCATAGCAGGTCAGGCGCGTCCACACGTGGCGAATACCTCCGCTCATTTACCTTTTTTACGTACGACGCGTCGAGCCCACCGTACGCGCGCGAATGACGTCACAATACACTCCCTGTCCCTCGTTATCCAATATAACTAAAGAGTCCAAAAAGAACAATCACCATGCTCTTCGTCTACGGCCTAAGGTTTTGTTGTACAAAAGAGATGGGGGTAGCAAGCACACAGTACCTGCTACAGAATAATGAATGGTATGGTAGGTGAAATATAACTACAGACCAAGCAGCTCGCGGTCCACTTCCGCGACCCACCGCGCCTCCACATACTTGGCCTGGATATAGTCTTGAATGTCCCTAACACCGTCAGCCGAAATGCGCTCCTGAGCCAGCCACTGCCATCACAAAATATACTCACTCGTCACTCGGTACCCAGTCAATGGGCTTGTTCCGCTCCCAGAACGCATTGCCCCGTGCATTGCCCCAGTCCTGCGCAAGCTGGATCGCCTCGGGTGCCCAGTTGTCCAGGTCCACACTCCGCGGCTTGGAAATGTGCGTGCCAAGACCGCGGTGCTGCGTGTTAGCTTGAAACAACGCGGCTGAGCAGCTTAGAAAGACTTACCAGTCCACAACAACGGATACACAGGAACATGACCATTGGCATATCCCTCAGACCTGCCTGTCAGCTTGATGCCCTGATATGCAAAGCTCGACTCACTCTGCGTCGCCCATCGAGACGACTTTGTCCGCTTCCCGCAGTCCGCGCATCGCGCATTCGCGCCCGTATCAGCGATCTGGCGGAGGAGCGCCTTGTCCAGCTTCGCAGGCTCGACGTCAGCCTGTTCCTCCATGCCCGGTGGGAGACCAGGGGAGCCGAGTACGGGCGAGAGAGCGCGGAGACTGGCCAAGTTTGTGTCCGGATACTGCGGTTGCGGCTGGCCCTGCTGGCTGTGTGACGTTTGGCTGTACTGCGCCTGGCTATGCCCTGATGAGCTGGGAGCCTGCTCGCGTGCATCCCTTGCGTCCCGCTGCAGCCCCGCCATCTCGTACACTCTCCGCTCAATGTCGCTCTCCATGTCGTAGTACTCTTCCCGGTGGTTGAAGCTGTTAGCATACATAAATGCCGGGCGTTGCTGGAGGTCCATCGAGTTGCGGTTTGCCTTGCCGCCGCTCTTGCTTCCGAGCTTGTCGCCTGCAAGTTCGGCTGATGACTTGATTCGATTCTTCAGGCTTTGCCTGTGCTGTCCGCCGCGGGGGGTTGAGCTCTCGCCTCGTGGCGGTGCCGGCCGCGGCGGGGCGGGGAGAGAGTGCCGGCTCGTGTTCTGCTTGACTGCTGGCGGAATGGGCAGTCTTCGATCACGGTCGGACTGACCCGACCCCTTGCGGACAGGCAGTGTGTCGTCGTCGTCAAAGTCCGGCGGGGCCAGCTTCTTCACGTCGTTCAGAGACCGCAGTGTCGATGTACCGTTAATACAGGCTTCGATAGCGTTGCACAGCGCATAGATCCACGTCTTCATGTCCGCCTCGGACAGGGCCTGGTATAGCCTTCTGCCGTGCGAGGGCGTCACGATTTCAAACACGAAGCGTCGGTCGGTGCCACGACCCTCGCGTACGCTCGCAAACTTGAGGTCGATCACGGTCGAAGCCGACTCGGGCTTGTTAGGGCCCCCGTCCTTGTATTCGTACATCTTGGAGTGTGCCAGCACGACCCAGATGCCTGATGTCAGTTGGGTTCAGACCAGCAAACTTACGGTCCCATTTGCCTCGCGTGCCGCCCTTCTCGAGCTCCTCCCACGTCCCCGTACCCCAGAGGACACCCTCCTTCTTTCGTCCGGCGAGCTCGCGCTGCTCGTCCTCGTCGCCCATTCCACTGATGCCGCCAACTCCACCGAGCGACGGCGACGTGCTCGGCTGCTTGTGGTGGTCGGCGGTCAGCTTTGCGGCCGTGTCAGCGAGCGCGACAGAGCGCTGCGAGTCGTAGTTGCCGACATTGTTCGCGCTGTCGGCCGGCAGGAACGGGGACCGGTACACCTTGACGCCGGGCTGAATCGAGTGGCGCGCCGCGTGACGCGAGCTACTTCTAGGAGGTCGCGGGGGGAGGGGCAGCTGTCCATCACCACCGTCCGAGATTGTCGGGGAGCCGTCTGGTGTGCCGAGCGGCGGCACGTCGCCGAGCTGCTCATAGCTTCGCCGCGGGGATAAGTTCTGCGTCGTGTAGGGGAAGGGCGGGACGTTGGCTGATGACACTGGCGGGGCGCGCTCGACGAGCGGTTGGGCCGAGGGAAGATGCGTGAACGTCGCGTTTGTCGAGGAGAAGAGACCGCGGATCTTGCGTCCGCCGAGGATCTTGTTAATCTTCTTGCCCTTGTGCTCCTTGCTTGCGTTGAGAGCAGCGAGATCCGTCGAGCTCGTCGGGAGCACACGCGGCCGCGGCGTCTCGAGCCCGTTGCCCGAGAGCTTGCTCGCGGCGTTCTCGAGCACCGTCGTCTGCTGTTCCCTCGCAGCCCAGCCCTGCAGCAGGTCGTTCCGAACGTGGTGGAGGTGGGCGAGCGAGAGCGTCAACGACCGCGTGAGGGCGTCAAACGAGCCACGGGCACTGGCATCGTCGCGAGACAACAGGCGCACGGGCGTCTCGCTCACGGCTAACTGTCGGCCGCGCTGTGTGGGCGTGTCGACGCCGCTCGCCTGCTGTCGCCCAAAGTCGGTCGGCTCGTGAGGCGGAGGGTGTGTGTCTGCCCGCTTACCCGGTACCTGGCTCAGGAGGCTGCCGACCCAGCCATACATGCCGACCAGAAGGTCAAGACACACAACAGAGCTCGGCGGCACGGCGTACAGAAGCGTCGAATGGTGGTTGTAGCGCGCGAGGTCGAACTGGGCGGCTCGGGTCGCCTGGGCAACGTCTGCCGAGCTCGAACCCGCATTTGATGATATCCCAGATGATGACGACAGGTAGGCGGCCGTGTCCGAGTAGTACTGCTTCGCGACGCTCTGATCCAGTCAGCTGGTTTACCGGAATTCATAACGCATAACGTACCTCGAACTTGTGTTGTTGACTGCCGGCGCCGGTCAGTCCCTGGCGCTTGATTTCGCCCTTGACGGCGCTCAACGAGTGCAGCACCATCTCTTGCAGGTCCTCTCGTTCACGAGCACGACGCTCTCGGGCAACCTTGCGGATACCATTGGCATTGTCAAAGACATCACCCTGGACACCGTACCCGCCCTCTAGCCAGCGGCCGAGCTCGCCGAGAGATGACAACAACTCGTCCTCTGCCGTCTCGAGCTGTTCCAGGAGGGCAACATAAGCTGCGCTGGCGGTAAGCACCGTCTTGGCGAGATGCTTCAGCGTGCCAGCCGAGTGCTCGAGCGCAGCAAAGGTCGAGCGACATAACAGCGAGTCCGGGAGAGGTTCTGAAGGGACTGGGGCATGGTGAGGTGGCCGGCTCGTGAGCGGTGGTGACGGTGATGGCTGCCCGTTCTGACCCGACTGTTGGCTGAAGCCGTTGCCGTTGCTGTATGAGTCGCTGTAGCTGTCTGGCGGGAGGGACTGTTGGGGAAGACGAGCAGAGGAGATGGAGCTGTGCACCGAAGGCGACGAGGGGGGCTTGGCGAAGGCTCGGGAACTGTCCGAGTCTGTGCTGTTGACGGTGAGGCTCGGGGAGGGGGGAACGGGTGGTACGGGGGAGGCGCGGGGTCGTGATGTCGATGCCATGGCCGCTGTGGGCATGATGACAGGAAGGTGTTATGATCTTGCTATGATGGCGATGACCGACACTGTGATGGCTGAGAGATGGGATCGGCAGAGTAGAGAGTCTGTTTCCAAGATGAGCGGCCAGCCGTCAGCAGTCTTGTCGACACGGTGATCTTGGAAGCCTTAGTGCGGGCGTACAGTAATGTTTTGATCGGGATGAAATAACAAATTCGATCCGGTGTAAACAAATGCATTAGCCTTCTTCCTAATGACCTGATGGAAGCATTAGAAGCGGCCGAATGCACTTTGAATGGCAGACTCGTTGCATACGTTCATGCTCTTCCGCTCGCTCTTAGACTCTACATGCATGCATTCCCGCATCAGCGGCCCCTCGCAGCTCAAGCAAACCAAACCCCTAGGACGACCCCGCTCCCTTGTCCTTTCCTTGCTTCAGCTCCGGCAGTGCGGGCAGGCTTGATTAGACCCTTGTTTGTTTACAGCATCCTGCGCACCTGATTCCCTGGATGTGGTCCTGCATCAAACCCGTCCAACCCGTATTCTGGGATCCGAAGAATTCGCGCATACACGCACACACAGACAGACATACGTACGAGCGCGTCTATGGTGACATGGCACTCACCCACTTTCGCCCACTGTGCGTGCTCTCACAGTGAGCAATGCAAGCGTCTAAAATTTCGTCATGAGATTTGCCACGCTTGAAAGAATCAGCTGCCTCCTTGCTGGAAGGGACGACGCATGCGAAGCCATGAAGGAAAAGGGGGGTGAAGGAAACCTTACTCGCCTCATGAACCGTCGTGTGGGTCCAGCCAGTTGGCCATCGCCCGCAATGATACCGGAGACGTGCCTTGAACCTTGAGTTCTGCAGAGCGGCTGATTCCCAAATCCCACCCCGCCCTTCTGCCTCGATCGCAAGAAGAACCCGGGAAGAGCAGGGACTTTGGACAACGTACAAGGCCCAAACGACGGGATCGCGCTCGACGACGCGAGGCGCGAGGTGGCAACGCGAGCTCAACTCGTCTGACTTGGTGACACGCAGGAACGCTGGGACGTCTCACTGGGCAACGTACGCCGACTCGCGGCCTCCCGAGTTTGGTCAACGCGACGACGGCAGAATATGCAGCCGAGGAAGCATTGAGGAGGAGGAGGGAGGTCTAGGTGAAACGGAACACCTGACCCGCCGTACCGTCATCCGACCAGGGGACCCATCCGATCGGATCGACCCTGCCTCCTACCTGCTACCGATCCTATTCAAAGCAGGAAGCAAAGCCCGCGCGCGCCGCTTACTCCTGCTCTCGTTCTAGGTCCTCTAAAAAGCTTGCGATCACATGCAAGCCTGTCAGTTGTGCAGACGTCGAGGACATCGTCAGTGGGCGAAAGCCACATTGCAGCCACACCGGGCCACACCGCGCAGTGGTCAGCCGTGAGGGGCTCGGAAGCGGACTGGTTGCGGTCTCTTCCGCACCCATGCAGAGCAGCCCGTGATCGCCCATGCACCTGCGCCTGACCCGCTTGAATTGTTCCAATGCCTCTCTCCGCGCAGACTGGGGGGTGAGCACGGGGTGAAATGCATCAGTCGCAGACTAACCCACTCTGACCACCTAAACTCAAGACCTGTCCAATCTGCAGGACACGACCTACCCTCCCGCACACGTGCACTTACGCTCGGGAAGAGCGGATGCGGCCTCTCTTTCCGGCACAAAGGAAGTGGCTGTAATCTCGGTCTCAACTTAGCTGACGACTCTTCACTAATGAGCGATGGGAAGCCTAAGACGCACCCAGAGTGCCACTGTTCCGCATCCAAATCAGTACTGACGCGTAATCCCAAGCCTGACCATGTCTCAGACGCAAAGCCCCGCTTCTCCTTCCCATTTCGCCGCCTTCGCCGCGATTAGTGAGCATACATGCATAATACAGATAGACGTAGTCATGACAGTCTAAGCCTCCTCGACGATCTCCTCGGCCTCGGCGTACTCTTCCGCCTCTCCCTCCTCAGCTCCCTCTCCCCACCAGCTGATGAGTCCGAGTCCCTGTTCTCCAACCGCCGCCGTGATACGGAACCCGGCGCTCTCGTAGGGATCCTTCTGCTCCTCCTCCTCCGTGTCCGGCGCCTTGGGCGGTCCGGGCTCGTGCTCGTTCCACTCGATCGAGTCGACGCGGAACCGGATCACCTCCCCCGTGTCGTAGTAGAAGCGCTCGGCCTTGAGCGTGTTCTGCAGCTCGGACTCGTCCAGCTTCCGCTCGTCTTCTCCGGGATACCAGAAGAATCGCCGCTCGTTCTCGTCGCTGTACTTGTTAGCTTGGGCAAAGCTGTGGTGGAGCTGGAAAAGCTTACTACGCAGAGTTGTCCGGCAGCAGAGACGGAGGGATGTAGATGTCCTGGAAGAAGCCGAGGGAGACTAATGTCAGCTTAGAACACACATGACTAGCTCACCTCGGATCCACTGCTGCGTGGTGCTCAGAATCTTGCCGAGAATGACCTCTCCAAGGAAGGGCGAGAACATCATTAAGCGGAACGAGACTGCTGTCAGCTACCAGTGACATAGAGCACTTAGCTGGCCTCCCTTTGAAGGCTATACCCACCCTTGTAGTACATCTGGCCGTTGCCCCACGTCACCCGTCCGTCCTCGGCCGTCAGGATGTCGTACACGGAGAGCGCGAGACCGCGCTCCTTAATCAGCTTGTTTGCGTACCTGCTGTCAGCTAGGAAGTCCTCAAGCACGCAGCTGCAATTGCTAAGGAGTAGTCTAAGGGACAGTGTGAACCCAAGAGATGCCCTCGCCAACAACACCGCGCACTACGCACTTCTTGTTCAGCGCATCCTGGATGGTCACCGCAGGGTTGATGCCGAACGTCTTCGGGGCGACGGGTACTGTGTCCTGCTTTGTCAGCTAACGCTAAAGATCTAGTTAGCTCACCCTAACGGCGATGAGGTTGAACATCTCATCGGCTTGCGCTGCGGGCGTACGTGCGGATGAGAGCTCTTCTTGGGTCTCAGTCGGTCACAACAAAGTGCTCGCTGTCGTCAGAAACTTGTCGGACCTCCACTCGCGCTGATCGATAGATTTGATCCCGCTGCTCTCTCTGCGGTGGAGGAGCGTTACAGTGGAGAGGACGGAGGCAAATAAGTAACCGCAGGAGACCGGCTCCACCACGTGGGCTGTAAGCCGGTGAGGGACGTCATCCTGCCCTAATAATTTCTGCGTCGGGAAATGAAATCTTGCTCGCAGGACCGGCGCTTAACGAGTGTACTCAAAGATACGATTTGCAGTCGTTACAACTCCATCTGTCCTTTTTCCATCAGCAATCTCCTCGGCCTCCACCCTCGTCGTCTGACATTCCGGTCTATCTCGGACTCTCTGTTTGCCCCTCGTCTCGTGTGACTTGACTACCGGAACGCCCGCGCCGACCGCTGCCTTCGCCCCCGGCCATCACATCTGGCTCCGCCGTCTTCACCGACAGCACCCCACCCCCACCCCGCATGTCCGCCGCCAGCACCAGCGCTGCTGGCTCCAGCGCCTCGGTGCCATTACCCCGCAAGAAGAAGCAGCTGCAGGGATGGCAGCACTCTTTGGCCGGATCGTGAGCTTTCACTTTCGCGGACATTGCTAACGCCAGACTCGGCGGTATGGCCGGAGCGATCGTGACGTCCCCGTTCGACGTGGTCAAGACGCGCCTGCAGTCCGACCTGTTCCGGAACGACACGTCGCAGAGCGCCCACCTCCTCGGCGCTGAGGCGCGGGCCGCCGACGCCGCGGCTGCCAAGAAGATGTCCCCCCGCTCCGCGCTGAGCAGGACCATGTACCAGTTTGTCGACACTGTGTACCTCATCAAGCGGATAGGTGTCGATGAGGGCTGGCGCGCGCTGTACAAGGGTCTCGGGCCGAGTCTGGTCGGCATCATTCCTGCTCGGTGAGTTCCAAGCGTCCGATAGGGCGCGGCCTCCAATGTGCACTGGGGCAGCAGTGATGGAGAGCTCGCTGTAGAGCAAAGAGAAAAGAGCAAGCGCTGACGCTCAGTGCGATCAACTTCTACTTCTATCCGACGTCCAAGGCCTTCCTGGCGCGAACATTCCCGAACGCCGGTGAGGACTCGCCGCTCGTGCACCTCGGTGCGGCGGTGATTGCTGGCGTGTGCACTGCGACGGGCACGAACCCGATCTGGGTGGTGAAGACGCGCCTGCAGCTGAGTGCGCGGAAACGCGCCGAGAGCGCGGCGGTACGTTCGGCGCAGAAGGCGGCGCACACTCCCTTGGCGCAGCGTGCGCCGGCCACGTCCGCCGTGGCGATGACCGTGGACATTGTGCGCAACGAGGGTATTTCGGGGCTGTACCGCGGTCTCTCGGCCTCCTACCTCGGTGTCTCGGAGGGTGTGATCCAGTGGGTGCTCTACGAGCGCTTCAAGAAGCTCGGACGGCAGGCGGCAGGCGACCTCGAGAAGCAGTCTTGGGCGAGCTATGTTGGAACAGTTGTCGGCGCCTCGGGCGGCGCCAAGGCCGTCGCCTCCCTCATCACGTACCCGCACGAAGTCATCCGGACGCGCCTGCGTCAGCCCGCCGTCAACGGCGTCGTCAAGTACACGGGCCTGCTGCAGACGCTGAAGCTCATCGTGAAGGAGGAGGGCGTCGCGAGCCTCTACTCTGGTCTCACGGCGCACATGTTCCGCGTCGTGCCCAATGCTGCGTGCATGTTCCTCATCTACGAGCTGGTCGCCAACAAGCTGGGCCAGTGAGCGAGCTAGAGCGAGCGCAGCGAGCGAAGGCGCCCGCCTAGCTATATGCTGCCTGAGCATCTGACCAGCGTCCGCACACGAGATCAGCAATACCCCCAATCCATTCATAGATACTGCATTTTACCCCCACTCGATGTATCACTATCACTTTTTTGGCTCACACGACCACCTCTGATACATAATCAGTCAGGACAGTTCGCTGAATAGACGGGCGTTCACTCGCTCGGTGAATTGTCGGGTACACTGTGTCGGCTGGGCGGGCCAGCCAGGCCAATTTTTGCAGAATTCCATCTGCGCACTGTGGCCCTGTGGCTCGGCCTGCCTCGGTGTCTTCCCTATCTGGCCACGATCTTGTCAGCGCCAGTAGCCTCAGCTGCGTTAACGCCTCAGACTCTGTAGGAGATGTGATCCTGCTACAGTCTGAGCACTTTCACTCGCTCGTAGATCTTGCAGACCTTGCAGACCTTGAGGACAAGATCCGGCATGTCAGATCCGAAACCTGCGCTGACGACGCTCTTTTGCCACCCGCCGCCGCCGGGTGGTAGATTTGCCTCCAACTCAGCGACAACCTTCATCCTCTAAGCCGCAGAAATCCCTACGCAATCACGCGCACATCGTCAACTGAGCACCGACACACGCCTTGCGTGCTGCGCAGAATTCTTCAAAATAATTCTGCAGATCGCCACTCTCCCCCGCCCACCAAAATCTGACCTCCACCGCCACTTTCACCACCACCCGTATTTTTGCCCACGAACTTCTTCGTCAATGCGTAATGTAATACATCCCGGCATCCTATCCGAGCTCCTCAAGCTGTTAAGACTGCATAGCAACCGAGAGACGCTTAGAAAGAGATCGCAGCGCCGCGCTGCTTCTTGTCACCGCCGAGCTCGAAGTGCTTGCAGCGCTTGAGAGAGATCTGGTGCTTGGACTTGCACGAGGTGCACTCAAGACGAAGGACAACCTTCTTGGTCTGGCGGGGTTAGCTTTGGACAGATGTAGGGGCAGCTACGCTGCGACGCTGCGCTGCACTGCGCTGCGTGCGTGCGTGTGTGCGTGCGTGCAAGAGATACTCACGGTCTTGGCCTTCTTGTGGAAGACGGGCTTGGTCTGACCACCGTAACCGCTCTGCTTCCTGTCGTAACGACGCTTACCCTGGGCGGAGAGCGAGTCCTTGCCCTTCTTGTACTGGGTAACCTTGTGGGGGGTGTGCTTCTTGCAAGTCTTGTGCTTGCAGTAAGTGCGGCGGGTCCTGCGATGGTTAGTGACTGAGAAGAGGGCGGGTCGAAAAGTCGGCGAGAGGCGAGGTAAAGGGAAGTTGCAATGCGCCGGACGTCCAAACTGCCAGAGGACTTCTAGTCCCAGCATGCAGCAGACGTTCGTCGGAGAGCAGTTCCAATGCCGTCGTTGTTTCGCTTTGTAGTGCCGAAACTCACTTAGGAATGTTGACCATTTTGTCTGGAGAATGTCAGCAAGAGTGAAGAAGTGGAGGACAGGAAGAACGCGACGACAAGCGACAGAAATGAAAAGCGACTGCAGTGGGCGAAAGGCGGATCCGGACAGGCGAACAGGAAACTCGATTCGTTCAGGTTGAAAGTCGAAATGTGCACGCATCGGAGCGCGTGCAAAATGTAGGCAGTGGGTTGACTTCGAGTGGCCGGACTCCTTCCGCACTTCTAGATGCTCCAGCTTCACAGAATCAACAGGATCCCGACACCCAGAACGTCTGCACAATCCCGCCAACGTCTGGAAGCGCCCAACATCGTTCCAACAGCATTTCACCCTCTGATCGTTCCAACATCCCGCAATTTCGACATTCCATTCCCAGCTTCTCAGTCCTCCCTTCCGACGATAGTCTCCCCCTGTCTGTCGTGTCGCTCGTCTCGCATGTCGGTGCCGTTCGTCGCAATGCAGTCGCCGCAAATCGTCGAGTCGTGCGTTCCCCACTATGCACTCACCGGAGTCGAGGGTCGGTTGACGGTTGAGAGATGACCTGCCTGCAGCTTGACCTCGAAAGTCCGGGCAGGCCACAGTGCAGGACGAGTTTGGCGGGGTTTTCGGCGGTTCGGCGTTAAAACCACGTGTCACCCAGTTTATGTGGCACTCGTGCACCCACCCCTCAGGCCACATGCTTATCGTATCTTCTCTTCGACGTGCTGATCTGCATGCATAGTCTGTAGCTCTTAGAGCCGCTTGGAGTTCTGTGATGCATGCTGGAAGCACACCGGTTAGGCAGAGTGGGTTACTAAGTCATCGGCTTGACTTCTGGATCTGCCGCTCTGCATAGGTGCTGTATCTGTCACACTCTTGTCTACTAACTTGCTGGCTCTCATGCTTCTCCGTACGAGACCTTGGCCTTCGGTACCCAACGTCAGAGTGACCTGAAGATTGGCCCCGCCATGGACATCCTCATGCGGACGAGAATGGCTGAGGCCGCTACCCTCCGTCACCCCTGCGGCGCAGGTACGTTGCGGTCGCTGGCACACACGGTGACCAGTCACGATCGCCATTGATGCACGTCAAGGCGATGATGAGCAGTGTCCAGGACGGTGGATGCGGTGGCGGTCGCTGGAATAGGAAGGTGCCGATCAGAGGCATGGACGCGTGAGTGAGGGACTAGGGAGCGCCATTCTCCCCAGATTGGAAAAGCAGGAGACGATCTTGCGGATTCGAACTCGTGACTGGCGGACGGCCACTGCTCTTGCCGTTTCTGGTCGTTGCGCCTTTCAGGTGCGCAGGTGCGGTGCTCTTGGTCGCCCCTTCACACGCCAGGCACACACCCTGGCTGGACTGGCTGTGATCAGCCTCGGCCCTGCTCCCCCTCTCGCCTTCCGCCACCCCGCATAGCGCACATGGCACACCCTGACCTCTGCCTGAGCTTGTCGCCTGCCCAGCCCGCCTGGCCTGCGCCCTCTTGCTTCGTCCTCCCACATTACCGACCTTGCTCCCCCGCAGACTCACACCCACTCCATCCACTGGATCCTCGGCCTTCTTCGCTAAGACGGATACATCATCGTTCTCGGTCTTCGTTCTTTCTAACACCCCCTCGACTTGTCCACCCAGCAACTCTCTCAACTGGTCTCGGTGCAGCGCGCCCTTATCGAGTCTGGCGTTTCTGGCTCCACTACCAGCAACCACCCGCCGCCCCTCTCAAAGCCCCCCTATTGCCACTCAAAGGCAGCGCCCACTCGGAGATCATCCTTTAGCTATACCTTCCAGCTCGTGAGTGTCGAGTGTCACATCAACGCCAATCACTTCACTGTCAAACCCCTCTCCACTGTTCGCGGAGTGTCATCAGCTCGCCCGCGCACGTCGCCATTGTTGTTATCCGCCGCTCGGACTCCCTCCTGTGGCTGGGGATAGCGGTGGGGTGTCGCCCCTATCTGATTCCCATTTCCACACGACCGCTTACTCTACCCCACTTCACACTCGGCAATCTGTCCAGCGCACCGCTTCTGACACCCACCAGGTAGAAACCTCAGTTCGTACCTGCTGCCTCGTTCACCCCTCGGGGCTCACTGCTGTCCAATGGACACCTCGACCATGTCCTTCTCGGACGAGCAAGTCGCCGCCTCCGAAAGAATAGCGACGTCCTCGGCTTCCACCGATCAAATCGAGCCCGCTCCGTGGATGACTCACACGATGCCCCCTCCTACCAAGATGGAAGGCAAATCGATTCACTCTCGGCCAGCCCTCAATAGCGTTCCCCTCAAGTCGTATGAGGAGGTCGCCTACGCCAGGGTCGACGCTCCGGACTTGAAGACGCTTACCTACGACGATGACGGACCACCCACGATCCTCATTGTCTTCATCCCGATCCTCGTTGTTCTCGTCACCGTCCTTTTGGGCGTGCTGATGTTCCTCATTGCACTGCTGTGCATGAAGCGTCAGCGCGGCATCCGTCTCATGGAAGATGGCGGACCTCTCGATCTCAGCAAGGGTGACGGCGTCATTGGTGAAGGCGGTACAGAGGGCGTCGAGCAACGCTGGCTGGAGAATGCCGACCCCGACGTTCAGGAGGCTTACAAGCGTGCCAAGGGTGAGCTTCCCGCAACCAGTTGCATGCTGACATTTAGACTGGCAGACGCAGTATCCGCCGTCTTCCGTTCCCACGGACATCACGTTGTCCCAGTTCCTTTCGATCCAGGAGAAGGGCGTGTCGGCCTGGGCGTTCGAGCCCGATTACGAGGAGAATCTCTCTCTGTTTGTCCAATCTCGCACCGAGATTACTTTCCTGTCGGACGGACCTGGCATGCCCGTCCGCGAGGGTGGTGGCAACTCCGTCATGGCCAACCTACCCTTACCCAAGGTTAATGAGGTCTACTACTGGGAGGTCAAGCTCTTCGAGAAGGCCCCAGCGACTGAGGTCGCGATCGGCCTGGCTACGAAGCCCTACCCCTCTTTCCGACTTCCTGGCTGGAACAAATTCTCGGTCGCCTACTTCTCTTCGGACGGCTTCAAGTCTCACAACTACCCGTTCACCGCTTCGTCCTACGGCCCTCCTCTTGCGGAAGGCGATGTTCTCGGTGTCGGATACCGCCCCCGGACGGGTACTGTGTTCTTCACCCGCAACGGCAGGAAGCTTGAGGACTGTTACACTGGCCTTAACCGCCTCAATCTCTTCCCCACTGTCGGAGCGAACGGACCTTGCACGCTTCACGTTAACCTCGGCCAAGCAGGTTTCGTTTTCATCGAAGCCAATGTCAAGAAGTGGGGTCTCGCTCCCATGGTCGGAACTCTTGCCCCGCCTCCGGCATACGGCAGCGAGCGTGGTAGCATCCTCCTGGACGCAGGCTATGGAACGCCCGGAGCCTCGAACTCGCACCCGAACCTCAGCGGTATCAGTGCCCTTCTGGAGGCAGCTCGCGCCCGTGCTGCAGCTCAGATGAACGGCGGCCAAGTCGCTCGACCCATTCCTGTCGGCACCTCGCCTCCTCACGGATCCAGTGGATCCAGCAGGCGACACCGTCGAAACCCTTCCCAGCCCGTGGCTCCTTCTCCCCTTCGCTCGGGTGAAGGTGGCCCTGGTCCTTCGACGCAGCGCAACCAGGCCGGCGGCACCAACTACGTGTCCCCGACCGACACCCCGCTTGTCGCTCCTCGCGTTCCTCCGGCTGATGTGGACATTGTGTCTGACGACGGCTACGACTCTGCCACCAGTGCTGCGTCGAGCCACCGTTCGCCCCACAACCCTCCGACACCCAACGTTCTCGACATCTCCCTGCACTCTCTCCGGGGAGAGAACTACTTCGAGCGCAGTGGACGAACATCCGCGACGACGTCGGACAGCAGCAACCGCAGCCTGGCTCCCTCCGCTGCGGAGAGCCGAGCGTCTTCTGGGAGGTCGAGCTCCACAGCTCGTCCCAACATCGACCGCGTTCCTTCCTACGGCCCTCCGGCCGACTCGCCGCCGCCTCCGGGCTACGCGCCGTTGGACCCGCACATGTACTCGCAGGGCCTCCCTGGGGATCTCCCCGAGGACCTGATTAACCAGGCCATCGCTGCCATGAGCGAGCCTGAGCGACCCGCGGCCCAGCCGTCACCGCCGCGCTCTGGCGGTCCGCTCAACTGGATCCGAGACCGGGTCGGAAGGAGCGATTAGTTGTGTACCCATTTGTTGTTGACATGCATTGATACTTATCCCGGCCTGAGCCTATACCGTGACGGTTGGAAACCCCTTTCGGAACGCAGATTGTAGATTGTGATACTAGAGAACCATGCATCACCCGCTTCACGACCAGAACTTAGTAGTAGAAGAATCCCAGCTTCAGCCGGGGATGAAAGTAAGTCCGCACGTGAACTGATCGTCATGAAGTCATGATCGGCATGAGGAGCTACGTCTGCCGTCCTGGGTGTCTGCAGCAATCGCAACACATCGAGATACGAGGCTGCACAAGACCGTCGTGGGTTGCCCCACTGCAAGAGATGGAAAGGAAGTGACGGCGGTAACGGTCGGTTGCATCGGCTGATTATTGTTGGGGTTTGGGGCACAGTGATCGAGCGGGTGCGGGTGCGGGCTGGGTGGCGCGTGGGGGACCCGGTGTGTGCCCGAACCTGAACCCTCCACCGGAAAGACCAGCCAACATCCACAGTCTGGAGCATCCTCACTCCGTACTTCATCTCTTCCTGGCCGCCGCCGACCATCGACATCGACGACGCCTGTCCCCCTCCGACCCCCAAGGCAAGGCACGCGAGGCATCGTCCTCCGAGCCTTTGCCTTTCTCACTCCCTCATCTCCCCCATCACCGTCTTCACAAACAATCACCCGCGGCGGATCCACGGTGCTCTTGACGCTACGGTTGACTAGCCCGTCAACAACAGCTTAGTTCCCCGACTGCGCTTCGCGCACCGTCACCTATTGACCGCCACCATGCGCTCGTCTCGGCAGCCCACCAAGTCGTCTCCGCTGTCACCGCGCGACTCCCGGCCAAGCGGAGCGGCGAATGCGGTGAACGGGAGCGTGAGCGCTCGGCCGGGACCCGGGCCATCATCGAGTGCCGCGCAGGGAAGACACAGCCAGAAGCCCTCCATCAATGTCTCGGGCGATGCTCCGATGCCTTCCTCGCCGCTAGCCGCGACTACGCCATTGACATCCTCGACACTGAGCCGGAACGGGCAGTCGCCGCCGCCGCTCTCGTCGTCGGTATTGACGAACCCGTCCGCACTGTCCAACCCCTCGACCTGGCGCTCGGAGCAGGAGTCACCCGGACCAACGGCGCTCCTCGTCCCGACTGATAGACCATTAGAAGACCTAGAGCAGTGGCTCCCGAGCCAATCACGCCTCAGTGTCGAGAAGGAGGTCGTCCTCAGCGGATACGCGCTGTACGGAATACGCAGCTGGTACGTTGGATCGGATCGCGCCGCGTATCGGCCGCATCGCCTCCCACACAACACACATTCGCCGATCGCTCACACACAGGTATCTTTCTAGAACACATGGGGCGTTCACCATCGCGGCCTCGACGGGCAAGCCATCGGACAAGGTGCGTAGGATCCATAGCTGCCAAGCACGACGTCGTGTTGGATCGGTCTGTGCTAACACCGTCAGATCCATTGTTATCTCCTGGTGCCGGACCCGCACCTCTCCCAGCAGGAAGGTCAAGCCGAGGTTAACCATGTTGCCAACTGGATCGGGAAGCAGATCAACGCTCATGCCCGCAAGACGGCTTATGGAACGCTACTCGTGTCCACACCGTCCATCCACGGACAGGAAGTGTGAGTGTCCGATCGTCGCGCCGGAACCGCTCGGAACCGCTGTCCTCTTCCCTTCGATTCAGCTGACATTGCAGGTGGCCGATACCCGGAGGTGACATGCGAGAGGTCTGGCCATACATCGTACTGAATACCGCGCTGCGACGATTAGGCTGCGGTGGCCGCGCAGCCATGGGCAGTGAGCTTCCGATCTCTGCAATTCGGCGCAACTTCAACGAGCAGTACCGCATACCCAACGGACCAAACAACACCATCACTGCTGCGCCGTCACGAGCAGGTTCACCTCCTCAGTCCCCGACGTCACCAAGGCACAATTGGTTCAACCCGCAGAATGGGAAGCCAAACTGGGACGGGCCAAGCGAGACGAACCTGCTGTCGTCCTCGACCAACTCACACGCCAACATGGAGGCGCTCTGTTCTGATCCCATCATGCTCAATGTTGTGGAACTGGTCAAGCTCATCCAGAGTGCGCTTGCTATCTGGGGCCTTTGGGGCGGATACACTGATAGCAACAAGGACAACCAGCTGGAGCCGGACGGGCTGTTCTGCGACGAGACTAAGGCGGCCATCGCGGAGTGGAGGAGGATCATGGGCATGGAGAATGACGACAACTTCAAGATCGAGGTGAGTTGTGCGGCACGCTTAACAGGTAACTGACCATCAGCGTGAGACTTCTGGTGGCGTTATGGATCCAAAGACGTTATCCGCGTTGCTGTCGTCTATCACTAGCACCCGCTATCTCCTCGCCTGTCTCGACTGCGACAAGCTTCCAAAAGACCCCTTCACCAACATTCGACGCTTCATGGAATCGTGGCGGATATTTCAGTCGTCTGCGCTGGGCATCCGACACCCCAGCATCTGCTTGACGGTGGCCGGGTTGAGACAGCTCAACTCGGTATACGTTGACGGACGCAAGGGCCACGCCACCGACGCTCTCAAGGTACACCGCCTCCTTATTTCTGGCGTTGCGAACGCGACCAGCACTCTTTCAGCCAACTTGAAGGGCGGAGCATCGGAAGAGACACCAACGCCGCTGAAGAAGCGAGAGAAGCACATGAAGTACGCCGAAGACGGAGAGTCTGGCTTGGACATGATCGTGCCAGACGCTGGTGTGGGCTCGGTCGCCGGACCCGACGTCATCACTGTCAACCTCGAGGCGTACGTCAAGGGCATCCTCAAGTCGCGGGAACGAGACTGGGACGCGATCGGGGCGCGGCGGGTGGCGGAGCTGTGGAACGGCCATGTTGCAGAGGGAAACGGGCACAACCACCAGCACCGTGGCAAGTTCTTCCGGCGAAGGCATGCAAAGGAAGACCAGGGTGACGAGGGTGTCGGAGCCGCCGCGATAGACGCATTCAAGGGAATGAAGCAGGGCGTGCAGAACAAGACTGCGAAAACGGGGCAAGCCGTGAAGGGCGCATTAGGCATGTCCACGGGGTGAGTCAGACACGTAGACACGAGGGGGACGCTTCGTGATCACCCCAGATCTTAGCTGACGTCGATCAGAAGCAAGCCCGCGAAGGGTGGCGACACATCAGATTCGGAGACGGAGCGCATCAAGAGCAACAAAGCCCAGGCTCTGAATGTGCCCACCGTCGTTGGTCCGACTCCACCAGACGTCGAGACGCTGTCCAACATGTCGCGCTCGGTTTCGCCTGCCGCCATGATTCCCGCGTCCAGTTCACGCGGCAACCTGCGTGTCGATGGCGTCGGTCTCGGACGACCCCCGACGCATTCTCCCCACAACACCTTCCTCTCGAACCTGTCTGGCGAGTACAGCGACGAGCCCTCGTTCCGGGGCAGCCAAGCTTTATCAAAGTCCTTCAGCAACGGATCAGTGCACCACCAACCCTTCAACTTTGGTACCAGCCCGCGCAGTCTCTCCAGCAGTCGAGGCATGGACAGCCCGATGCATCGCCCGCGCAACCTGAGCGTGAGTGTCGGCAGTGTCGCCCACGACCGCACCTCGCAGTACTCTGCGCAGCGGCCGCCGCCCATGTTCCGCACTATCAGTGACGGCGTGGACAGCGCGGCCGAGTGGCCGCCCACAACCTCGACTGGGTCGCGCAAGCCGCTCCCCGATTTTGCGAACCCCCCATCGGGAGATTCTGAAGCCCCGAAACCGCAAGAGCCCCAGCGTCGGCACTCGTTACAGGATCGGAGCCATTACCGAGGGACCCGCATCCAGAAGCACCACGTGCTGCAGGCCGACGTCGAGCTGTGCGAGACAGTGTGGGCGTACATGGACCGGGAGCGTTCGCTGCGTCGCGGGGCCGAAGCCATGGCCCAGCTCGAAGAGAGCGCGTACCACGCCACGAACAAGATTACGGACGAGCTGCGCGCGCGGCGAGCCACGATTGACAAGCTCGAGGCAAAAGTCGCCGAGCTTAAGCAGGGTCTGCACCGCGCCGCATACGAGGACGTAGAGGAGGACCGCAAGTTCCAGTGGGCGAGCAGCAAGATCGAGTTCTTCTTAAGCGAAGACACGAACACGCCCGAACTCAGCTGGGGCCTGAGGGAGCTCGAGAAACACTGGGAGGCGCTGCGGACCGACTATGAGCGCAACCTCGCGGGATTGGGACAGTGGAGGCAGGGCGTGCAGCAGCAACAGGCTGCCATTCAGGCTCAGCAGCAGCAACAGCAACAGCAGCAGCAGCAGCCGACAATGGGCGTCATTTCCGGTCTCCTGTCCAAGATCGGCCTGTAATAACGAACATGACGATATAGACTTGATATGTAATGCATGAGTGGTTTGTGATAATGCTGGTGCTCCTGTCTTTCCCTCCTTCGTGATCTCAACTATTTCTTCTCTCAGACTAATCTCTTATCCCCATCACCGCTGCCTCCACCACTCGAAGACCCGCCAAACCATCCTCTCGACGTCTCCTTGGCTGGCGGCGCATTCTGAGCAGATTGAGGGGAGGAAGCAGGCGGGTCAGAGGGTTTGCGCGCCTCGACATCTCCCAAACCAAGATTCTGGAAATCGTCTCGCGACATCAAGCCATTGTCCATCCTGCACTCGAGGTAGGCCTTGGATTCGGGGCGGCACGAGCCCGCATCGGCCCGGTTACGCTTCAGGCAGGACATGTACGAGATCATGAAGTCCTTGCACTCGCCTGTAACTGTTAGCTTGGGTCGGTTTGTGTACGATGTAGCTCGGCTGGTGCGTAGGAGGTGAAGGAGGTGGTCAGGGGTGGGTAACGAGAGAAAGGTGTGGAGCGTGGGCATGGCAACAAATGCAAGAATTCTGGGCCGCCCCCCTGGAGCTTGGAGAGAGTTTGGGGGCCCAGAGCCAAAGAGCCAAACTCACCATCATGGTCGAGCGGGAAGGAACCGCGCTGCGGCGGGGTGACCTTGAAGGACTCGGAGAGGGCTCCGGGGCGGCCGAACGACATGGTGTTTCCTTCTTCAGTATCTGCCGATGATAGGTGTCGTGGAGAACGTGGAGAATGATCGTCGTGCGTTTGTGTGTGTGGTGTCGTTCAGATCGGGTGAAAGAATCAATGATAAAGGTCAAGTTGAAGATGCAAGGTGACGGTGTAGGCCGGCTCGGCCGGATGCGGAGTCGCGAGAATGTGGAGGTACGAGGTCTCAGGTTCCTGCAAAAGTTGGGTTGTTGGTGGCCGATTCCGTAGATTCCGAATCTGGGTGGCGAAACCTCGGATTGATCTCGATCCCGTCCCCAATGCGGACTCCGATTCAGCACTGCCGCTACAGCTAATGGTGCAAGTATCTGCATTGGTGGTACAACATATGGATGGACACTGCGTACAAATTCTCCTCCTCTCTACGACCAACCGCTAACAGCCTCCGGCCTAGGTCTACGGACGATGCACCGACGAGCGGATGTAGGCCGAGGTGCGGTCTGGCTTCTGGTACTCCCTCATCCTGTATTCGGTTAACCAGCTGTGTCGGATAAGCAAACAGCACTCACAATTCCTTGATATTGTCGACAATCTCGGCCGCGATACGCCCATTCTCGGCCTCAAACTCGTACCGCTTCCGTCCCCCGTCGCGCCACACGTACAGCTTGAACCCGCCCGCGCGACCAGAGAGCTTCACATTCGCGACGAGCGTGACGTGGAAACTCGTCGTCTTCATTGTGTCGAAGAACCCGCGGTTCTCGGACGGCATGATCTGGAATGTCAGCTTGGAAAGCGAGCGCCAGCTTACGTGGATGTAGTCTCCGTCGATAGCGAGGACGCGCTCGTGCTTGCCAATGCCCGTCTTCCGGAGCACGGTGTACTTTGTGAACGCGGTGAGGTCGGGCGGCATGTGCTCGCTCGTGCGCTTGAAGATGTTGGCGTTCGGGTCGCCGCCGCGCCGGTCGCCTGTGCCGAGGCCGTTCTCGAGTGCCCATCGGCGCGTGACGAGCGCGAGCTCCGTGTTGCTGCCGAGACTCGCGACGGTACGGTCCAGGGGCAGCGCGAGGCTCTTGTTGCCGAGGCACAGCACCCACTCGCTCGACGGGCCCTGGAGGCTCTTCCGCTGCACGAGGACCTCGGTCAGGTCGGCAATGTACATGTCGCTCGGGACGGAGAGCGTGGTCGTGAAGGCGACACTTGGTGTTGCCTCGACACGCACGCGGAGCAGGGTCGGGCGGGACCTAGAGGACGACAGCTGCTCCGTGACATCCATCATGTCTTCTGGCGACCGCGCCAACGCAGGCATGGGCGCGGCAGGTACAGGAACAGGCGGCATAACGGGCAATGGCGGAACTGGACCGGCAGCGCCGGCGGGCTGCGAGTTCTGGCGGACAGGTGGCCGGGTGGGCTCCGCGATAATGCGAGATGGACGCCGCTGGATCAATGGCATCATCGCCTCGTTCTGCTTTCTCTGCGACTCGGACGCCTTGACGATTCCGAACTGGCCGTAGGAGAACTTGGAGATCTTCGACTCGCGATCAAGAGCGGGGAAATCCTCGTCAACCTCTCCGTCGTCTTCAACGATGCGGAGACCCCAATTGATCGTGGTGCAGTCCTCCTCGGCGATCGGCGGCTGCAGACCCTCCTCCCAGTACTTCCACAGAGCATAGCCGGTGACTTCCTCCACGGTCGCGTCCTTCCTTACTTGAACAATGACTGGCTCGCTGGGCTCATCAGAGTGCGGGTAGAAGAGCTCGAGGCTGAGACTTGGCAACGTGGGCGGTGCAGCGACACTGGCGTAGAGCGAGTTGAACGGGTTGACCTGGGTAGGTGTGCTGGCGGGGGCTTGTCCGTCTCCGGTTGACACAAGGTGCGGGACATGCGCATTGAGTAGCGCGGTCAGAGCAGACTTTCGCGGGGCATGCAGAGGTTGGCGACCGAACTGCAAGGCGGGCTCATCCTCGGTCGACGATCGTCTATCATCCTCATGTATCGTAGACACACGGCGAGGCGGAGCCGGCTTCATGAAGTTCGAGACCTGCCGCATATGTGTCGGCCGTTTCGGCGCGGGAACCAGCTCCTCGTCCACTTCATCGTCGTCAACGTCAGAGCCTTCGTCAACATCAACTTCCAAGTCGTCGCCGAGGTCCTCAACCGGCACAGCCCCGCCGCTGTACAGCGTCCCCATCAGGCTCGGAGCCGCGCCTCCCACCGAGCTCGAGCTCGTCAGCTCACTCCGCAGCTCAGGAGACAAGGGCAGGGACGGCGGTTTCGGTTCCGGTTCCGAGTCGGCTCGCGGCCGGCTGTCGGGATCTCTTCGTCGCCGCCGTCCGTCGTCACGTCGCCCTGTCACGCGCATGCCGAGGCCACCCGTTCGGTTTCCAGGCATGATAGTCTGCGTGTAACGCAGATTTGCCCCGCCTGGTCGCGGTGGCTCCGCGCCAGCGACGTCCGAGGGCGTAGACGCTTCCCCAGGGCTGTAAGCACCGCCGCGCCGCCGGGCAGGTGCACCGGGCTCCTGCTCTGGTTCCGGTGAATCGAGTGCTCGTTTTATTTCTGGCCACTTGTCAATGTCACTCAAACCCATCGCTTGGACGTAGGGGTTGCCTCCGAAGGTCGGATCGAGGGTGACAATGCGCGGCGTCAGGGGGTCGTCTGTGGTCCGCAAAGCGGACAGCCGGATCGCGTGAAGCACATATCTGAAAACGTCAGCCACAATCGCGGGGCACATCCCGTTACCAACCCGGTATCTGTTATCATAGCCATGTTGGGCAGCCATAAACCCCGCCCACTCGCCGGGAGGTCGTTAGAGGTCGGTGCTGGGTATCGGGGAAGGGATGTTGAGGAAGGCGTGAGCTACGGTGAGGATCGACAAGTGACGACAAAGAAGGCGGGGCACCGCCCTGTATCACACCACACGTCATTGTTGCCACTGTATCTCTGAATTTCAGAACTTCGGGCTGCATCAGTCTCATCCCTGCTGCCGTCACAACAACCGTCGACCAAGCAAGCATGGACGACTTCGAGCTCAACATCGCTGCCCCCAGCGACGGGGGTGTGCTGAAGCGCCAGCTTGCTCCGAAAAAGGGCGGGAGGTGGACCGAGAGGTAAGCTCAACTAGCTCGATCCCCAGCTGACCTCCAGAGTGAAGCAGAAGCAGGCTGTCCGACGAGCGGTCAAGAAGTTCGACTCCGAGCCCAACTACGGAGCAAGTCCGAAGTCGAATGCTAAGGCGACACCCCCAGCTCCTAAACCTGCTCCTGTGTCACGACCAGCTTCCCGACCGGAGCCCGCCCGGCAAGCTCCCGCCCCGAAGCCGGTCGCACGACCGGCAGCCCGCCCTGCAGCTTCCCAGGCGCCGATCCCGCAACCGCCACAGAAGGTCAGGCTCCCGAAGGCTCCGATCTTCGACAACGACTCTGACTCTGATTCTGGGTCGGACTCCGACTATGAGACCAGGGCCGGACCCTCTCGACTGCCGATGACGACTGCCGCCCCGGCAGTGCCCGCCAAGCCTGCTGCGCCTCAGATCGTCTCCGGACTGTTCACTGCCTACCAGCGTCTTCCCAAGGTCAAGTCTGAGCATGTCGAGGTCGGCGCTCCCACCAACGCTCCGGTGGACACCTCGTCGTTCGCCAGCCTCGGCCTGCATAAGTTCATCAACCGTCACCTGAAGAACAAGCTCGAGATCAAGGCGCCGACCGGTATCCAGCAGGCGTGCCTGCCCTACATGCTTTCGTACCCGCTGGACCCGCACGCGCGAAGAGACGATGACGAGGAGGAGGGTGACGACTCGGCCTTCCAGGTCTCCGACGACGCTCCGCGGGATGTCCTCATCCAGGCCCAGACCGGATCCGGAAAGACGCTCGCCTACCTGCTGCCCATCGTTCAGGCTCTGCTCCCGCTTTCCAAGCTCAGTTACATCGACCGATCGATTGGTACTCTTGCTATCATTATGGCACCGACCCGAGAACTCGCCCAGCAGATCAGCAAGGTTCTCGAGAGCCTGCTGACCATGTCCCTGGCAGCTGACGACGACGACTCTGAGGACGAGCACTACACGCGATGGCTCGTTTCTGGCCTGCTCGTCGGTGGTTCGACCAGGACGCACGAGAAGGCGAAGCTTCGCAAGGGTGTTCCGATCCTCGTCTCGACGCCCGGCCGTCTGCTTGACCATCTGCAGAACACTGCCTCGTTCCAGTGTGGAAAGTGCATGTTCCTCATTCTCGACGAGGCGGACCGACTGATGGACCTCGGTTTCGAGGAGACGATCACGGGCATCATCAAGGCGCTCGATGGACGACGGAGAAACGAGATCAACGCCGAGAAGGAGCAGGACGCGGAGGGTGGTGGTCTTATGCGCTGGCCGTACTGGAATCGGGGAAGGCAGACTGTGCTCTGTTCCGCCACCGTCGACGCCAAGGTCGAGAAGCTCGCTGGTATCGCTCTCCGAGACCCTGTGCTCTTCAAGGCTGCCGACAAGGAGAAGGAGGAGGCGCGCGCCAAGAAGGCCGAGGCTGAGAAGAATCAGATCGCCGATGCCGTTGCCGAGGCGAACGCGATCGTGATTCCTCAGGACGAGAAGTTCACCCCGCCCTCGCAGCTGTCGCAGAAGTACGTCGTGACGCCGACGAAGCTCCGCCTTGTCGCCCTTGTCGCCCTACTCCGTTCACTTGTCTCCGACAAGGCGAACATCGAGATGGCTGAGAACGGAAACAAGGTCATCGTGTTCCTCAGCTCGACAGACGCTGTTGACTACCACTTCCGCCTCCTCGGCGGCGTCACCATGGGTGGCCCCGCTCCGGCGAAGGAGGACGAGGACGAGGAGAGCTCTGACGCCGAGGGTGAGGGTTCGGACTCTGAGGACAGCGATGGCGAGGCGAAGCCGAAGAAGGAAAAGAAGAAGAAGGCCGCCAAGAAGCCGTCGCAGGCTGACGCCATCACTCTGGAGTCGCCTCTCTTCCCGAAGACGACGATCCAGCGTCTTCATGGTTCTTTGCCGCTGAAGACTCGTCTTGCAAGCCTGAAGGCCTTCGCCGAGCCGTCCCCCAACCCCTCCATCCTTCTCGCCACCTCTGTCGCCTCGCGTGGTCTCGACCTGCCCCTCGTCCGTGCTGTCGTGCAGTACGACCTGCCTACCGAAGGCGGCGCGGCCGAGTACGTGCACCGTGTCGGTCGTACGGCTCGTGCCGGTAAGGGAGGAGAGGCATGGGCCTTCGTCGCGCCCAGCGAGGCCGAGTGGGTCCCCTGGGTCGAGGGCAAGATGGGCCGCGCCGAGGGCACGGACACGAGCAAGGTGAAGCTCACCCAGGTCGGCGTTGAGGTGGTGCTGAGGCGCGGTTTCGGCGGAAAGGGCTACGAGTACGAGCAGCGTGCGACCGACGTTCAGCTCGCATTCGAGCGCTGGGTGCTCGAAGACCCGAACAACGCCGCCCTCGCGCGCAAGGCGTTCGCCTCCTTCGTCCGTGCCTACTCCACGCACCCTATCGAGGAGAAGCGCTTCTTCCACGTCAAGTCCATCCATCTGGGACACCTCGCCAAGGCGTTTGCGCTCCGCGAGGCGCCTACTGCCGCTACTGCCGCCGCCGCGCCCAAGAAGCAGAAGGAGCGCAAGGACAAGCTTTCCAACAAGCGCAAGCGCGAGGAGGGTGAGGAGGACGAGCCCCGCAAGGGCGGCAAGGAGACGACGGCGAGGAACGAGACCGAGCGCCGCATGTACGAGGCTGTCAGGAAGCAGGGAAGGCAGTTCAAGTCTGGTGGCGCGCTCGGCGCGTTCTCGGACAACAGCACTGGCGAGTTCCACGTTATGGACACGAGCGCGCTCGAGAAGATGGTCAATCGCAAGTAATCATAGACTTTGTAGACTTCATGGCATATGGCATCTGGGATATTCGCTTTCGCACATGGTGCTACGGACGAGGGCGTGGCGCTTGTTTCAGTCCAGATCTGCTCTGTGTCTGCGCCCTCGCCAGACATTTCCTTCCGTTCGTCGTTCGAATACGCCTGCACAATGCACATTGCTTCGCTGGAGGTTGTGTTCTGCACTCAATTTGACAGCAGTCATCAGCCGACTGACCATTCTCGCCTGCAGTGTCAACGTCGAAGCAACCGTTACAACCACCTTAGCCTTCCTGCCGCCACTCGGCCGGCATTCAGGCAAGCACATTGCGTAGTTGTCGAGCTTACGATCAGCCTTCCTCTGCCTTCCTCTGTCTCCTCTGCTGCTAGCTCTGCCCATGCAGGCTTCACCGCCCCGTTCAATAGGAGCTCAAGTCAAGGGGGGGGCCGAGTGTGGGTGAGCTGGAATACAAGAGTGAAGCTGACACCAGACGCCCGCCGAGCTTTCAGTTGGATTGTCGAGTAGGCTGAGATATCGTTACTGTGCAGCTGATTCACCACGGCTGCAGCCCACTGTGCACTTCATGGCAGGCTCCTCGGAGGCCGTGAAAGCTGATCAAACTCAGATTCAGTTCAGAAGGTATAAGTCATGGAGTAAGTCTGGTCTCAGAAGCTGGCAAACGTGGACGTTTAAATTGGCTGACTCTCAGGCATCCTCTGTGACTCACAACTTCCTTCGCCCAGTCTTGGCGAACAACTTTTGAGCCGACCGCCAGCCTGCATATCTGGAACAGCTCAACATGCAAATGAGGTTAGAGATGTCTCCGGTTAAGCTGCCGGAGAGTGGCCAATATCAGGAGGCAGAGATGTGGCTGAGAAGGTCCTCAGCAGAAGCTGACTGCAGACCTTTAAACCGACATGGACAAGTGCCACGAGGACGAACGAGCGAATGAGCGGATCATGTCCTTGCCGCTCTCGTCGTTGAGTCAGCTGCCACCAGCCCATCAGGCACAGCTGACCATCTCCAGTCCAGACAGCTAAGTGAGCTAGATCATGCTCAGCGATCGGTCTAGCTAACGAACAGACACCACATCTCCTCGTCGCTCTCAGCCAGCTGGCAGCTAACAGGGTGAGCTCGTGGAGGATGGTCAAGCTATGTCCAACCTCGTGCTCTTGCGATACCTTCAGTGAGCTTTCGTGGCTTGGGGTCCGAGCTAACAGCAGCACAGCCACACTTTGGTCGCACGCAGCCGACCGTGACTAACTGGCTGCTAAAAATAGTGAGCTGCGCTGAGGGAAGGGTGTGAGCTGACTTGCAGGCAAGCCGAGCTGTAAGTGAGCTGGGGACGTCGCGATGAATAGCTCATTGTAGCAGCTCCTCTGCGAAAACCTGGGTGTAGGCTATCGAAGTTGGGTACTCCTAAGCTGACTCCAGCACCCTGCTTTTCGTTCGTCAGAAAGTTATCGACACGGTGGCATCAGCTCATCACAACTCCACCCTTCGTAGCCACATCGGCTCGAACCCACCCTCATTGCTACAGACTGAAGAGCAAGTGGTAATGTTCAGTAAGCTACATCACTCACCATTCCAAGCTGAATGACACCCGCCAATCAGGCTGGGTCAAAGGGTAGTAGTGAGCTTTCATTGTCTGGTAAAGCTGACGACCAGAGCATAGGCACACTAAGTTGTAGGAGACCACAGCTGAGCTGGCTCTAGTCTGCTCCGATTACCTCCGACGGTATCCTTAGAAACACTATCCAATCAACAGGGTCTCAACTAAGTGGCCCTCCTTGGTGCTGACATGAGGGCGGGTTGATTGTACCGTAAGCTGCGGTGTCACGGCCAAGCTAAATCTCAGCCAACCGCCACAACGCGGGGTCGGTGGTGAGTTGCTTCGTCTGTCATTACGCCAACTGACAACCAGTCCACTTCGGAGTGAGCTTCACCTGAGGCTACATGTGATCGATCCGGATACAGATACTTGCTGCTGCTAAGTGGCTTGGTATGAGGGAGCTGCAAAGGGCCTACTTCTGCCAGCTGGCGGACAGGCAACCGAATATGAGTGAGCTTACCGCGCTGTGACGGAAGCTGACTCCAGTCGTATTCTCCTGGCACCCGTAGGCTAACCCTATTGTTCTTTCGAGCTGACGACAGCGCAACCTCTGCAGCATTAACATCTCAGTTCACGCTCAGGGAGTGGCATAAGCGTCAAGAGTAAGCTTCGGAATGGTTGGGTAGAAGCTGACCTCAGGACACTGACCTAACTCATCCGCCACACACATCTGTTGACAGCCACTAGCCTCCCCTCTTACCACGGCTATGAACATGTTGACTCGTTACACTGACTCGACTACAGCTCCAACAGCCTACATAAGCAGCCTTCTGTTCTCCTCAACCTCAGCGCTCCTCATTACGCACAACAAGAGAACACCGCGCGACACTCAACGCCACTCAGACCAACACAGGACCCACCGACACCACGCTCTCCCCACCTTCACAAGTGCCAACACACACAAGCACAGCCAATCATGCCCCCTGCTCCCAATCACGAACACCAGACCACAATGATAGTCTGCGGCGGCCTGCGCTCCTTCCGCGTCCGTCTCCCTGCGGCTCCAGAACATGACTTCCCCGACATTCCAGGACTTTCGAAGATGGACCAGTATCTCATCATCGCCCAGCGTCAGAGGGTCGATGACCGCCTCAGGGCGGTCGAGGAGACGCAGCGGGGTATACTTGAGCGCCTGAGTCGGCTTGAGCGCAGTCTTGAGCGCAGTCTTGAAAGCAATTTTGGCGAGGGACTGTCGAGGGCCACAAACACGGCCACAAACACGGCCAACGGCGTCGCTGAGGCGAGCGCGGCAGGCGCGGAGAACCCGGATGCGCAGGCCGGCAGCACACAAACCACGACAGAGTCGAGTCGCGAGCACAACGCCCAGGAGATCCGTACAGAACGCAAATAAGACAGTGGTATGATTACGCGATGCATTGAAAGTGTTGGCGCATGCAGTATTACAACAAAAAGGTCTAAGCTTCTCTCTACTACTCCTCTCCTCTGGTCTTGATCACGCTTCCCGGATCTCCTTCGCACGCCTCGTTCTAAAAGAATCCCTGACGGACTCGGCGGACTCGGCGGACTCGCCAGACTCGCTTTCGCTCGCCCGGCTCGTCTACTCCTCGGCCTTCTCAAACTCCCTCTCCGCAATGCCTCCCAGCGCCCTGAGTGTCCCCTCACTCCTTCCCTTAAGACTAGCCACAAGGTCAGCCGCAAGCTGTTCCCTCACCGTCCCCGCCCTAGAGCCCGAGTTCTCATCAACGGGGGCGAGCACGCCCCTGGCCGCCAGCTGCGTCAGGGCCAGCAGAGCGGCCGCTTCCGCCGCTTGCTCTGCTGCTGGGGACTTGAGCTGGAGCAAGTAGCCCAGGAGCGTCGTGATGGCGCCGAGCGGGTCGTCGGCCGCCGAGACGAGGTGTTCGTCGTCGAAGGGAATCAGCTGGTCCGGGCGCGGGTCCGCGCCCTCGAGCAGCTCCCATGCCCGGGTCAGGTTGACGAGTGTGAGCAGCGTCGCGCGCGCGGCGGCGACGAGTTCCGCCGTCCGACTCGCGATCACGGGCGTCGTGGGACTGAGCAGATCAATGTTCGCCACATTCTCTAACTTGCCCGCCTCGAGCTCGAGCGCGACGCGCTCCTCGTCGTCGCTTGGCACGATGAGCGCGATGAAGCGGTGCGGGTGCGAGAGCGCTTCGTTGATGCCCTTGATCAGCGCGATGTCGCTTGGCGCGATCGTGCGCAGCAGCTCGGCGCCGGGGTTGCTTTGCGCTGCGGTTACTTCCGCCGCGGCGCAGGACATGCCGTAGAAGATGTCTGCGGCGAGGACGAGCTCCTCGAGCGCAGGCGTCGAGAGGATCGACTCGCCGTCCCAGTCCAGTGCGTTCAGGAGCTGGGGAAGCACAAGGCGCACCCAGGGATGCACGTCGGCGCGGGCAAAGGAGGCAACCTTTTGGAGAGAGGTGAGCAGCGCCGTCACGACGAGGAGCATGCCGCACCACGCGCGGTGGAGGGAGCCCTCGCTCGCATCCGGCTGGATGTTGCCCTGCTCGGCGGCGACGGCGACAATGTTGTCGCTGTATGCCGGCATGACGCCGTTGACAACCAGCTTCTCAGCTGTGGCGGGGTTGGCGGCGATGGCGAGGTGCAGGAGCAGGATCGTGTGGAAGTGTGCCGGTAACGTCACATTGACGCTCGTCGCGGCGACAAGCACCTGCAAGCTACGCGGAATCAGGTTCACATACTGCAGGTAGTCGATCCAGATGTGGACGTTGTCTTCGATGCGGCTCAGCTCGCAGAGGAAGTTGACGATGAGCGCGAGGTCCTCGCCCGCACTCGGCTGTGCGTCGCGCATGATGTAGTCGAGCACAATGTCCGCTGCGTCGAGCGCAACGCGGGCCCCAGAGTCGAACAACACAGCGCGCACCTCGTCGGCGGCATTGGCGACCTTGGCCTGGCACAGGAGGCAGAGGATGCGCAGCACGGGGCGGTGGATGGCGGGCAGCTCGGGGTGGCGCAGAGAGATGAGCGGCGGGAAGAGCTGGCTCTCGACAATCTTGCGCACGCCCTCAGCGAGGTCCTTAGCCGCCGCGTTTGTCGGTGCGTCCATCTCGGGGTCGAGGGCAGTGTCGAGCAGCGCTGCGAGGACGTTCAGTCGCTCAGTCTGGATGGCAAGCATGACGTCGCCGCCCTGGTCCTCGTTGGCGATCTCGTTCGCGACTGCGATGGCGGCGCGCAGCGTGGCTTTGGCAGCGAGGCTGTCGCCCTCGGTCCAAGTGAGCGCGACGTCGGTGAGAAGGCGGAATGCCTTGGTCAGGCCAATGTCGGCGTCGAGCTGCGACCAGTTCAGGTTCAGGAATGCCAGGCTCTGCGCGACGGCGGTGTGGCGCTCGGGATCGTCGTAGATTTCGGGGATGCCGTCGTACAGGTAGCTGGCACCGTAAATGCGCTCATTGGGCAGCTGAATCGTGCGCAGGCAGATGACCTCGATGCCGTTCGACTCGAGGGCAGCAGCCTCGCCGGCATGCAGCGCGGGGTCGCACGAGGTGCGGATAGCAGCGACGGCGACGTCCTGCAGCGCCTCGGGATTGCGGAACAGCGAGAGCGTAAGCGACTGCGCCTTGGTCTCGACGCTGTCCTCCTCGATGATGAGCGCGAGTTCGGTGGCGAGAAGCGCCGTGGCGTTCGCCTTGGCCTGCACGGAGTACGAGTAGTCGGCGACATCCTCGACGAGGGTCTCAGATAGACTAGATGGGCGGGGAATGTTCTTGACAGCGACGTCGTGGACGGCCTGCCAGAAGTCGCCGTTGCCACGGAGCGCGGAGACACCCTTGGTACCGCTGGGAGACTGGGAGGCAGACTGGCAGTAGCCAAGCACAGCGGCGAGAGCCCGCGGGCCCTCACGCAAAAGCTGCTTCCAGTTAAGTACTTCCTCCACCGCCATCTTTAGGGGCCCCTCGACCTTGCCGTCCTTCGGCTGGCCGACGCAGAAGCTGGCGCATCCGGGCTGCGTCGCAAGGATGACGCTGAGGAGAGACCATGCCTCAGGCTTGACGTCGCCGATGGCAGAGTTGAACGCAAGCTCGGCGAGCCCGGTGCACGTCTTCTTCGTGTCGCGGAGCATGCCAGAGAGGGACGGGCGCTGGGCGTCCTGCGCTGTCGTCTCGAGGTAGACGCGCAGGAGGCGGAGCGTGAGGCGTACACTGGTGCTGCCGAGGAACGGCTGGGTGATGAGATCAAACAGGTGATCGACAAGCTGAATCTTGTCGCCGCCATTGAGAACAACGGTGGACGCAAAGACAGAGTAGGGCAGCGCGCTACCCGCGATGTGCAGCGATGGAGCGATGCGAACGAGATTGGCAAGCAGGGACGCGGCGTGGTCGTACGTCTCGAAAATGGCGGCAGCCTCGGTCCAGCGACGCGACTGAATCATCTTGGTGCCGAGCTGAGTGGACTGGGTGAAGATGTCGACCATGGGCTTGTAAGTCAGAGGCGAAGCACCCGTAATGAACGCCTCGATGAGGTACGCCGCAGCAGGAGTGGGCGACTTGCCGTCCGCACCGACGGGGTGCCTCAGCACACCGTCAAAGATGGCAAGCAGGATCGCAGCGATCTCGTATCGCTTCGACACGTCTCGGTATCGCCAAGCGCTGAACTGGGACCAGATCTCGGACATGACGAGCTTGACGGCGGCACGGACGACGTGGGGGTCGCCGGCGTTGGCGGAGGCCAGGCTGCGGACAAGACGCAGCACGGCGATCGTCAGGCCCTGATGGCCACGCTTGGCGTCGGACTGAATAAGAGTGGCGACGCTAGCCTGTCGGCGGGTGTGGGAGTCGAAGAAGCCGGACGCACGGAACGCGGCCTAGATGTTGTCGTCTCCAGTGAGGAGCAGCGACTCGAGAATGTCAATGGCGTACTTGGCCGCCGAAATGTCGGCACGGCTGCTGACGACTGCAAGAGCAAGGTCGAGTAACGGCTTGCCGCGGAACTCATCGGTGGAGGTCGAAGACTCCTCAACGACACGGCGGGCAATGTGCGGTGATCGGAGCACGCAGCGAATCAATTTCAATCCAACAGCAAGGATCTTGGGTAGCTGGCCTTGCACTCCGAGATCCACGAGAGACAGCTTGCGAGCGCCCTCCACGGTGTGCTTTCGCGGCGGGAGACCGGCAGCGACCCGCAAAATCTCGACAAGTAGCGACAAACAAGGCTGATGGAATCGCCACGAGACGACTGTGTCCTCGTCGTTCTGATTCGAGATGACGACACCTCGTGTTCTTCTCGGGATCACGGCGCCACCCGGGAGCTCGTAGTCGACGCCAGCCTCCACGACCAGCTTGCCGTCCTCGACAGCGATGCCCGTGAAGGACTTTGCCGGAGCAATGATAGTGATAGTCGGAAGGTTGTTCAGGTACTCGTACACCTCGGGGACGGTGTCGGTCGCAATCTCTGCGAGGTCGAGCTCCTCGTCCGAGCTGACGCCGGTGAGGGCAGCGAGCAGCTGGGGAAGGTGCATCGGATCCCGCGGGAAGCGCGACTGGTCGAGAATCGCCCGGCGGTCATCATACACGAAGTCGACGTTCCAGTAGTTCGTCGTCAGCGACGTCGATGTCTCCGGCGAGCCGCCACCGAACAACAGCTCCCATGCGCGGTAAAGTCCTCCTCGGTCGACGATGGCATCAACGTGGACCATCTCGGCGAGTCCGATAAGTAAGTCTGCTGTTAGCTTGTTCAGTAAAAAAAAGCTCACCTTTCAGCGGACTACGTCGGAGAGCGGCCATGTCGACGGCGAGATCTCCAGAGAATGCGTCCTTCGCGCCCTCGAATAACGGTCCCTGCAGAATGACCTCGAGCCACGGGAAAAGACCCGACGACAGACGGAGTGCGCGGTTCGCGACAGCGATGTAGACGTCCGGTTCTCCGTCATCTCCCATCTCTCCGGTGTCGAGCTGGAAGTAGTCACCAGATGGCGGCTGCAGGTTGGCGGGGAGCGAGCGGAGGACGATGCTCCAGGCAAGACAGAGCACCGGCATCGGCCAGGCGGGGAAGACGAGGTCGTCGGCGTGCTCTCCCTCTAGGTCCTCCGACTGCTCCATCAGGAACTGGTGCACGGCATGAATCCGATCCCGAGAGTGCAGCAGCGTCGCACCGAAGCGGTTGTCGTCCTCGTCGCTCTCGGGCGAGACGATCTGCGCGAGACACATCGCCTCGACCGCAATGATGACCATGAGGTCACGGATCCGGTAGAGCAGGCGCTGACACTCGGCGTCGTTGTCCCAGATCTCGGCGTTGGCCTGCGCCGTGCCAAAGTTGGACAGGACGGCGCCCTTGATCAGCGCCTCGGAGACGGCGGCCGGTCGTGTCGTGTACTGGTACAGCGTCAGGAACAGAAGATCGAGCAGCGACTCCTGTTGTCGTAGTTGGAGGGTGGCCCTGGGTTGTCAGCTGGAAAATCACAGTCACTTAGCTCACCAGAACAATGGCCGCGTACTCCTCGGGTCTATCGGCTTCTGCGCGAGCTGCGAGAACGCGCGGAACGTCTTCTCGATGAACTGCGACTGGTCTCCGAGAATGTCCTTCCTAAGGTCCTCGGCGACCTCCTCGTATCCCTTCGGGTTGGCTGCGGGCGCATACAGCGCCATGATAATCTGGGGCACGGCGAGGAGCTGCTGCTCATACCAGAGGAGAAGGCGCTCGAACACGGCGTCCTCCTCGCTCCGTCCCGGCTGCGGGTCGACGTCCTCGAGCGAGTGCAGCGCATACGACTTCCAGAACATGAGCGCCGTGAGCTCGTCGATGCCCGTCTCCTTCACGAGGCGCTCGGCGAAGGTCTTGGACGCCGGGTCGACCTCGAGGGTGAGTTCCGTGTTTGGCACGGTGACTGTCGGCTTGGAGAGCACGCTGGAGGATGAAGACGATGCTTTGAAGGGCTCCCATGGCTTGTCGAAGCGGTCGAGGTTGTGCTTCAAGAGCGCGGACACCTTGGACTTTGGCAGGTGGCGCTCACCATCAGGGCGGACGAGTGTATCGCGGATGGTGGACAATGGCCTAGGGTTAGCTACGAAGGGGACGCGAGCTCACAAGAGATAGTCCTCTGGGTCAAGGCCCTTTCCCTTGGCCTGAGAGGCAACCATGGCTGCCTTGTCGTCTGTTGCGGCACACGGGTTGCTAGTAAGAAGGTTGTCACTAACCACCTGCAATCGCTAGCTGCAGCTGCACCAGGCGTTCCAAAACATCGATGAGCTCAATCTCTGGCGGAGAGCATCATCCCTCGTGGCGAAAATATCTTTCCGAGTGTTTTTAACAATAATCCAATCTGAGGGGTGCGAGACACGTGACAGCCATGGCTTATGACATCTGCCCTCAACGTCAGTCGCTGAAACGGTCGAGCCGGGCCAAGGTTCAGGAGAATGCCGCACTCCAAGCCTGGAAAAGCCGGAGTAGGGAGGGTCGGCGACCGGGCAGTAGAGGTGACCACCACCGTCATCGCTTGACCAGATCTGCATCTGTCGTGTTGTCCTTTCCTTATCCCTGCCTACCATGCTCGTCCTCCGCCCCGCTACGAGCGCTGCCAGGACGCGCCTCGCCGCCCCCCTCGCCGCCCGTGGACTCGCGACCGTCCGCAGCGCCCCGCCAAAAGATGAGACCAAGCCGTGAGTTGTTTTCTGGGCGCTGGGCATGTGTCCACCCGCCCTGAAAAGTTCACTTTCGAGAATAGAAGAACTGACGAACCAGTCCGACAGGTCAGTTGCAGGTCATGTTTGGCAGAGCGATAACTAACATGCAGGCGTGCTCATGATGAACATGGGAGGACCGTCGACGGTGAGTAACCCAGCGTGGCAGCTTTGGCGGGTATCGGCGCCCTTCACCCCCCCTCCAGCGCGGCAAACAACCTAATGCTAACCCCAGCTTCCGGAGGTGCACTCCTTCCTCTCCCGCCTGTTCCACGACAGCGACCTGATCCCCCTGCCGATGCAAAAGGTACTCGCGCCCGTGATCGCGAAGCGGCGAACGCCCAAGATCGAAGAGCAGTACAAGGAGATTGGCGGCGGCAGCCCCATCCGCGCCTGGACCGAGAAGCAGGGCGAGGGGATGTGTGCGCTGCTGGACGAGCTGAACCCCGAGTCGGCGCCGCACAAGCCCTACATTGCGTTCCGGTACGCGGAGCCGCTGACCGAGACGGCGCTGCAGCAGATGCAGGCTGACGGCGTCCGTCGCGCAGTCGCATTCACGCAGTACCCACAGTACTCGTGCTCGACCACGGGGTCGAGTCTGAACGAGCTCTACCGCGTCGCGAAGAAGCAGGGGTGGGGCGCCAACGGCGAGGTCGAGTGGAGCACCATCGACCGGTGGCCCGCTGACCGCGGCCTCGTCAAGGCGTTCGCGAACAATATCCGCCACGCACTCGACAAGTTCCCGGACCACGAGCGGAACGACGTCGTCATCCTCTTCTCGGCCCACTCCCTGCCTATCGAGATTGTCAAGTGAGCAGTCTCTTTGCACACGTAGCTGACATACAGCCGCGGAGACCCGTACACGCCCGAAGTCGCCGCAACAGTGTACGCGATTATGGAGGAGCTCGGTTTCTCAAATCCGTAAGTCCCCCGGTGTCCTTAGACACTGTAATCCCGCAGCTTTTCAAGCCCAGCGCATAGCTAACAGCAGCTACCGCCTGACGTGGCAGTCGAAAGTGGGCCCCAAGGCGTGGCAGGGCCCGCAGACCGCGAAGGCGATCGAGGGCCTGGCCAAGCAGGGACAGAAGAATGTCCTCCTTGTCCCCGTGGCTTTCACGTCCGACCACATCGAGACGCTGTACGAGCTCGACATCGAAGTGAAGGAGGACGCAGACAAGCTCGGCGTGCGTCTCGAGCGTGCCGAGAGTCTGAACGGGTCGCCCATCTTCATCCGCGCGCTGGCCGATATCGTGTCCAAGCACCTGAAGGATTATGACAGCGGCAAGATTGCCCCGGCCAGCTCGCAGTTGCTCCTCCGCTGTCCTGGGTGCACTAACCCGAGGTGCGGGAAGACGAAGGAGTGGCTCGCCAATGCGGGCTGTGAGTGAGCGAACGCAGGCTGGAGCGAGCCAGAGCGCGGCCGTGATGCCGTCGGAGGGGTGAGAAGCAGGGTAGATGCCCGTAGATGGTACAATGCATGCAGTACAGCTCTTCAGTCTAGTCTAGCAGTTCAATCTTGGCCCCGGACATGGGATCATGCCCCCTCTCCTCCTTGACCTCAAGCATAGGTCGCCCCTCCTTCTCCTGCGTTCCCTTCTCCAACTCAGCCTTGATCTTCTCCGCCTCCCTGCTCACCTCACTGCTCAACTTCGCCCACTCCGCGCGCTTCACCTGCCCCAGTGCAGAATCGTAAAACGCCACCTTCCTTTTGCCCAATTTATCGAGCACTTGCTGACAATCCCCCAACACGAGCGCGACGCGCGGCGGATTGACCGTAATCGGCGGTATCAGCAGCTTGGTCGTTGTCTCCAGGAGCTGCGCGAGGTATCGCGGTGGTGGCGGGTGATCGCTCTGAGACGCTATCGAGTCCCACACACTCCCGTAGGCGGCTGAGAGGCTCTCGTACCGCACGACGCTGCCCTCTTTCAGGAATGGCGCGAGATCAACAAGCTCATGGCGGACCTCTTGGGACTGCACTCGTTGCTGCTTCAGATACTCCTCAGCGAGACTCGGGAGTCGGAACGAGAGCAATGTGTGCAGATACGCCACACTTTTGTCAGCTCAGGAAAATGGAAGTGAGCTCACCATAATGCCACTGCGTTGTAGCGCAGCTTCTGACCCACGCCTGGCGGTGGTCGCGGTTTCGGCCCCGAGACAGGTGACGGCTCAGCGGCGCAGGGCTCGCCGTCCTCTGACTCTCCCGATATGCCCTCCCACCAAGGTAGAACTGAGGGCGGGGGCGGCTCGTCGCTGTCCACCTCGCCTTCCTCTCCGAGTCCTTCGGCCATGGCGGCCTCCATGAGCTCCTTGGCCGCGCTCGAGTCCGGATTCCGGAGAGCTGCGAGGAAGGCGTCCCGATGTCCCGACGGGAGGAGGTGGAAGAGCTCGTTCGTGTCGATGTCGTCTGCTGTCAGCTTAAACGCAGAAAACGCCGAAGCTGTCCGTGAGAATGAGAGAGGGAGGACGTACCAAGGTCTACGCCGTCGAGGGCTTCTGCCAGCCCGCCGTCGTCCTCGTCCAAGGAGATATCGGCGCCCTCTTCGAACCTCTGCAGCATTTCCATCATCTTCCGTTTCTCCTCCCTATCCGCTTCAGAGTCCTGGGCTATTGCGTCGTGAACTGCCGCTTTGTAGAAGGGTTCGGAGCATTGAGCGTGCGACTGGTTGTCAGCTAAGAAGCAGTTGAACAGCTGGCCCCTCCAGTCCTCCGGCGCACAAGCATGTGCGAGGGACAGTAGATACCCACGGGGTCCTGGAAACAAGCCAGAGAGCAGTAGGGCACATTACACCGGGGACAGGTGTATCGCGAATCCGTCTTGCGACATCTGTTTTCTTGTCAGCTTTCTGCTGTACATAATAGCTCACATTCCACAGACCCGGGCTGGCGCGTCGGCGCCCTTCTTCGGCCGGGGGACCGCGAAGGGCAGCCGGATCTGCTTCGGTTTCGGCTGATTCATACGACCTTCTTGGCAAGGGTGTGCCGAGCCGTGTAAATAAAGATAAGAGAGTTGCGGAGGAAGGTGATCGGTGGCAAGAGGGCTATGACGGCATCAACAATGGAGAATGGAGGCCATGGAAATTCGGCGTCATCTCGAAATTTCGGTCAAGTTGGTGTTTCACAACAACACCTCGATCACTTGGGTCTCCCACTTCTTGGCCTTCCTTGCCGTTCTCACCTTCCTCACCTTCTCTCGACACCCAGACCTCACCCTCGAAGGAGACGAGACGACATGCCTGCTGAACCTCCCGTCGCGTTTGCGACCATCTGCACCAAGCAGCCCGGATACATCCTCAGCATCACGCCTGCTGCGTCCGGAGCGCTGGTGCTGCGACACCCCGAGCCCGAGCTCAGCGTGTGCGACAACCAGACACTGGAGCGCATCGCGACACTTTCTGGGCACAGGCAACCTGTTACGGACGTCGTGTGCGGTGACGAGGGAGTCTGGAGCTCGAGCCTCGATGCGAGCATCATTCGGTGGGACCAGCGGAGCGGCCGGGAGGCGATGAAGATTAATGGTGAGTCGGGGCTTCCCTTGACTGTTCATATGGAATGAGCTGTAAAGGGGTGCAACCCGCGATGGAGAGAGAGCGAAGCTTCATTGACGAATTCATCCAGCTGACAGCAGCCTTCCTCCGCAAGCCGCTACCCCTGACCTGCCTCGAGGTCGCCGAGAGCGACCACCTCGTGATGGCGGGCACGGAGCTGCAGTCCTCCGAGGCGCACATCCTCTTCTACGACGTGCGCAACCCCTCCGAGCCGGCATACATCCACTCGTCAACACACAGCGACGATCTGACCTCCCTCCACCTGCTCCCCCCGACGGGATCCTTTGCGCGCGCTCAGCCTGGCCAAAAGCCGCTCCCCGACCGCCTCCTCCTGTCAACAAGCACGGACGGCTGCATAGCCATCTCGTCCATGCGCGAGACAGACGAGCAGGAGGCCCTCCTCGCCGAGGAGAACTGGGGCATGTCCGTCGCCGGTTCCGGGTCGTATGCCTACAAGGGCGGCATGAAGCTCTGGGCGCGTTCTGACCAGGACTGCGTCGCGACCTGGGACCTGACGTATAATGCCGAAGAAGCGCAGCTCGAGCTCAACAACCAGGCCGACTTTGGCAGCGACGAGTTCAAGTTTAAGAAGTTCCGGCTCCCCAAATCGGGCCCGAATGTCACGCGGGCGATCGGGGAGGAGAGGCCGTGGCCGGAGCAGGTTGAGAGCCGGTACATCATTGATGTTTGTCCGAGCTTGGGTGTGGGGCAGACGGGCGCGCCAATGCTCGGTGTGGGCACGAATGAGTGAGTCGATGCAAAAGGGGGCTGGGATAGCTTGTGTGGTCGTTACGGGAGCTAACACCCAGGGGCAACATTGTGCTCGAGCACTGCGCTACGCCGCCGACATACGCTCCGTCGGCGTACTTTGTCTCAGGCCCCGGAGCGAGGGGACACAAGGACGTAGTTCGGTGCATGACGCACGTGCGCAGCGACGAGGTGCTCTACACGGGCTCCGAGGACGGCGTGCTCGCGGGCTGGTCGCTGGCGGCGCTCCCGCCTCTGGTCCGTGGCGACCCCGAGGTCGACGACGACGGCGGCGACGGGCGCGACGAGGACGAGTCCGACTCGGACTCGTCCATGGACACGGACGACGAGCTCGAAATCTCGGACCGTTCCGACTCGGACGACTACAGCGCCGAGAGGAAGATGGACGCCGAGCCGAGACGTCGCGAGGATAATCCCGTTCTCCGCGGTCGCGATCGCAAGGGCGACCGCAAGGCTGACCGCAAGGGCAAGCGCCATGCTCCGTACTAGACACTTTTCCTCAGATGGTATAATTGTTATCTCTTATTACACATGCTTCCTTGCCTGTGGATCTACGTGGAAAGAACTAAACTATGACACTTTTACAACTAGCCCGCCTTGCCGTTCCGCTGGCGAGCATCTATCACTGCCGGCGCTTACTGCTGCGCCTTGCGCTCGAGCAGGTCGGCAGCCGAGCGGATCACGCCAATGTGCGCCTGGATCAGCGGGTCCTGGCCCATCTGCTGCAGGCGGGAGATGACGCCGTTGAGCGTGGGGCCGACGACACCAGCGACACGTTTGAAGTAGCCCTGGATGGCCGGGTCGCGCGGGTCGATGAGCGCGACGACGAGGCGCTCCCATGTAGCCACCGTCTGGAAGATGGGGTCGTGCGGGTTTATCTCGCCGAGCGCGACCGCGAGCCGGTGGCACAGCGTCAGCAGCACCGCCTGCGAGAGCGGAGACTTGGCTGGCGGGGCGGGGAAGAGCGCGTCCGTCTGCGGCGCACGCTCGCGCACCAGATTGATTGTTGCAGGGACGGTCTGCTGGTGCAGTGCGTTCAGGAACGCGTCTTCGAGCTGCTGGGCGTTATGCTGCGGGATGTGGCTCGGGATGTGCGTCGGCGCGGGGCCCAGGGCGCCAGACGGCGGCGACTTGATCGATGAGCCGACAGACGGGGCAGCGGCCATGGGCTGCGCCTGGCTCGAGCGTACCTGCGTCATGAGGCTGGCGACCTGCTTCTGCAGGTCGGCAATGACAACGCCCATGTCGCGGATCATCGTATTCGTCGCCGTCAAAGCCTCGCTCTGCTCGGAGGCGAGATCCTTGCGGATCTGGATCAACTCCGTCTTGAGGTCAGACGCGAGCTGCTCGTAGACGTGCGTCGTTGCGTTGTCGAGGGCAGGGATCAGCGACTGCCCGATCGCCTCTGAGACCGCACGGTCAACGGCGGGCTGGACGGCCGCGGCGACAGAGCGGGGAATGATCGGCGCAATCGCGCGCTCAATGTGCTGCCCGACGTTCTGGAGCGACTGGTGGATGGCGGCGGGAGCGTGCTCACCGACGGCCGCTCGCACCTCACCCTGAACGGCCTGGGGCAGGGCACGCTTGATCTCGTTCTGCACAATGGACGGAAGCTGCTTGAAGTGCGCGTTGACAGCGTTCTGAACACTCGTAGCAATGTCCTGGTTCTGCTCGAGGCGGGAAGCGAACTGGCCCATCTCCTTCTGGATAGCCTGGCGGAACATGTTGGCAAGCTTGTCCTCGGACTTCTTCAGGGCACGGGTCAGATCGTCGTTCGAGAGACCACCAGCCGAGCCAGAAGCAACCTCGTTGGCGGGGCCGTTCGTGGACCTGGTGTTCTGCTGGATCGGCTGGGAGATGACGCTGGGAGCGGCGGACTCGGGCTCAGGAGAAGTAGATGGCTGACGCTGATCACGATGCTGCTCCTTCTGCTGCTCCCTCTGCTGCTGTTGCTGCTCCCTCTGCTCCTTCTGCTGCTGCTTCTTGCCCTTCTTCTCGTTCTTGGCAGGCTGGGCGGCCGGAGCAGCAGGCGCGGTAGCGGGAGCCAACGACGGACGCTCGATAGTCGCCTGGTTGATGCCATTGGGAGTGGAGAAGAGGAATTCGACATCGTCGGTTCCGCCAACAACGAATGTGAGCACCGGCTCCAGAGGGAACTCGGCCATCGAGTCAAAGGGCGCGACAGCGCTCTCGGACACGCCGCGGATGGGCGGGCGGGTCTTGAGCGCATAGTGGAAGGCGTACATGCTTCCGCGGGCAAAGGGGGCGATGAAGAGCGTCTGGCGGTCCGAGTCGTACTGCACCGAGGCAAAGTTGTACGCCGAGGAGTTGGGCGGCGGGGCGGTGAACGAGATTGTCGTCAGGACCGCAAGCTCCACGGTGATCTGAACCAGGTCAAAGTGCGAGTTCATGCCGCGGCCGACGAGAATGTTCGCCTCGACGAAGGAGACGGACGACACGGGGAGCTGCGGCGCCGCGGTAGGGAGCTGCCTGTGCCAGACGCGGTTCAGGTTTACGACAGAGTAGAGCACGAAGTAGCCTGAGGACGAGAGCAGACCGAGTGCCTGGTGCGTCGCATTAAGGCAGAACTGGACGATGACGCCGTTCGTCTTTAACACGGTCGAGGCGGAGAGCACCGAGCGCGGGTCGGCCTCGCCGTCGTCGTCGCTCCACTCGGACGGCTTGATGATGACGGCACCAGAAGTCCCGCCAATCGCAAGCCAGTTGTGCTCGGTCGCCGAATCGCGTCGAACCCACTCGACCTGGTTAATAGAGCCGAGCGACTTCTCGGCAGGGACCTCGTCCTCGGAGATCGAGGGGAGGTAGAACAGCAACGGGCAGTCCGGGTCGTTGCGCTCGAAGCGAGCGGGAACGCGGAAGACGGACACCGAGCCGTCCGAAGCGACAGCCGCGAGCCCGGTAGGGTGGACGGCAATATCGACGATGGAGCCGGTATCGCGGAGCTGAATCAGCTTGCGCGCACCAGACTTGCGGTCAATGATGCGGATGCGACCGCGGGTCACAGTGTAAGCGAGCCAGCCAGGCGTCTGTCCGACGGCACGGCGATTGTTAAAGCCAGCCCGCTCCGCCTTCATGATCGTAGTCGGGGTGACCTGCACAGTGCCCGGGGCGTTGACGAGCGAGTCGAGGTTCGGCTTGGACAGGTCAATGTTGATGGGATCCGCAGTCAGAGCCTTGGGTCCATCACCCTCCTCGCCCTTGACGAGCTTGGACGAGAGCCAAGGCAGGGAAATGTCCTCCTGACGGCTCTTGGTGGGGATCATGGGTGAGCTCGTCTTGCGCCCGACCTCGCTGAGCGCCTTGCCAGCGGGCGAGTTGGAGCGGACGTTGGTCAGGTGCGATCCCTGCGGAATAGCGGAAGGCGGAGTGTCCTGGGCGCCGGCAGCGGAGGCCTGAGACGTCTTCCTGGGCACCTGGGTGGGGATGGGGCCACGCAGCTGAGGGGGCGTCGGGCCAGGAGGGCTGATGTGACGCTGGAGAGAGAGCGGCACCGGACCAGGCGGCGAGGTCACAGTACGCTGGATACCCGACCCCGAGCTCGACCTGGCGGACACGGGGGTCTGGGACTGCGTGTTGATGCCGGACGCGGGGCGGGATCGCGCCGGCTCGAACACGTCGAACGGCGAGACGAAATCGAACATGGACTTCGGTGCCTGCTGGGGCGGGGACTGCACAGGCGGAGACTGCACCGGGGGCGTCGGCTGTGTAGGCTGTGCAAACGAGGACGATGTGCGACGCTCGTTGCCAGGCGCGGGGGCGGGGTGCGTGATGACGGGCTCGCCGAGAGGGGCGACATTAGTGGGCGGGCTGGACGTCAGTTGCGATGCTGCAGGTATAACTCACGACTTCAGTACATTAAGAAGCGACGCCCGGCGCTGGTTCTCATCAGTGGAAGGGGTGGGGCCGCCGCTGATGGGGCGGCTGGCGCCGTCAGGCGTCGATCCTCCCAGAACACCGAGCAGCTTGGCCTGGTGCGTGGGACCCGAACCGGCGAGCGTCGCGGGAGGTGCGGCCGGTGGCGACTGGACGTTGCTCGGTGGAGGCATGCCGCCCGAGATGGACTTGAACAAGTCATCGATGGACACGGCCTGGATCGAAGGAGGGGGAGAGACGGCCTTGTTGACGGGCGTCTGCACGGGCGGGCCATTGGCTGCATTCTTGAGCATGGCAAGCAGGGGGTTGTTCTCCATTTTGATAGAGTCTGGGAGTCAGCTGGGCGTTCATTGACGAGGAAGCTTGTCAGCTCCGATTGCAGCTTGGCCAGGATCTCGGCCAAAGGTGCCATCCCACGCACATTAAAGGAAGTCTAGTAATGTTGGAAAGGAAGGGAAGGGTGATGATCGCTTTGCCGAAGGAAAAAAGCGCAGAGGCTTGGGGGTATCTTGAGAAAGGGGGGTAAGAAAGCCGAGATGGGAGGAAAAGATGGGCGGAACGAACAGTGCCCTCCTTGGCACTATCGTCGACAGATGAAGCAGGTGAAGATGTGAAGAGAGATGGCGATGGTGAGAGCGCTCCGAGTCGTCGTTGACGAGCGACCGAGGCTGGCCGCGAACCAGCCGCCATGCGATCATGACACACCTCCAGGCCAGCCTGCCTGGATTGCATCATTTTGCTTCCGCTCGTCCAGCGTCAGATCCGCCACTCACCCCAGGTACGCGCCTGGGCGACCACTGACGAGAGGTTCAATCTCCGGTGTGCGCGGTATTGTTGTCGTCTGCTTCATTGTCGTCGTCCGTCCTCTACGCAGCAGCCAAAAACGATCCCCAGCGATCGTCAGGATGTCGACGGAACTCTCCAAGGATGAAGTGAACAAACTCTGCCAGGACCTCGTGTACAAGGTCGCTTATGCCTTCTACGACTCGCCGTACATCATCCTGCTCCGGATCCTGATCCACCACAATGTGTAAGCTCACTAGATTGCGCTTAGCTGACTCGGCAGCATCACGGAGAAGAAGCTGGGCGAGATTCTGAACGTTGGCCCCAACGACGTGCGCAAGTATCTCGGTATGCTGCACCAGCACCGGCTGCTGAAACGGTGAGCCCATGAACCGCGGACCAGCTAACCCCAGCTACGTGAACAAGGAGAAGATTGCGGTGAACACGCAGAGCAACTGGGTCCCTCGCGGGGGGCGGGAACAGCCGCAGCGCAAGTCGCGCGACGTCATCTACTGGTACCTGGACTACCGGGAGTTCAGCGATGTGGTGAAATACCGCATTGCGATGATGCGCAAGGCGATCGACGAGAAGCTGAAGCAAGAAGTGGGGAAGCGGGGGTACGTGTGCTCGAACTGCGGGAAGGGGTACGACCCGCTCGAGATCAGCAACACGTTTGACCCGCGGACGAATCTGTTCCTGTGCGAGCTGTGCGGCGGCGAGCTGGTCGAGGACGACCCGAGCACACACACTGCAGACGGCCAGGCAGCAGCGGGAGACCAAATGCAGCGGTTCAACCTGGCGACGGCGCCGATCCGCGACGCGCTGAAGCAGATCGAGGGCCAGCGCCTGCCGACGATCAACATGGTGGCGTGGATTGCGAAGAATGTCGTCACCGACGTGCCAGACGGGAAAGAAGAAGACACGGAGAGCCGGAAGCGCAAGATCGACGTCGTCTTCGACGCCGAGGACGACAGCGAGGAGAAGGAGCGCCTCGCGCAGGAACAGCGACAGCAGAACGCCCTCCCAGACTGGCACCTCAAGTCGACCGTCACGGGCGACGCGACGACGCTGGGCATCAAGGAGGCTGCGGCGGAACGGAATCGTGCAAGCGAGGGCCCCGTGTCCAAGAAGGAGAAGATTGCAGACGACGACGACGACCTCGCCGCTCACTATGCCAACATGGAGAACGACGACGAGGACGAGATGGAGGACGCGGACGAGCCGGAACTCGCACAGGAGAGCAGCATCGAGCCCACACCAGACGATACGCCCGCCCCTGCGGGAGACGACGACGTCATGGTTTCCGTTGGCGGCGTCATGAAGCCGCTCCTCGATGTGACCGAGGCGGACCAGGACGAAATGACGCCGGCCGAGTACGAGGCGTACGCGGCGGCCATGGGCTTCTAACCTTCCTGCTTTTTTGCAACTAGACATAGACACTGCACCATCACACAGATACACAACATAAATTTACATGGCATGAATCCTCACTTTGTACCATTAAACGCCCATGATGCCCTCGATGCCGCCCGCATGCAGTTGCTCGAGGTAGATCCGCCTCCTCTCTCCGGCCTCGCCGCGCTGCGCCTCGGCGTCGGCGAGGATGGCAGCGGCGGAGCGCATGTGTGCCTGCGCCTTGAGCGTGGCCTGGGCCAATGGGGCCATGCGCGCCTGGTAAGTGGCGAGTTCAGCCTCCCACGCGCCCTTGAAGGGCACTTTGAGCTGGGGCAGCTCGGCGAGCAGGCGCTGCTCGAACGTGTTCTCCTCCGTTGACGGCGTGGCGAGGTGCGGCGTCGAGTAGGGATTCGGCGCGGGAGCATGCGGGCTGTCCCGGTGCAGGCCGGGCGTGGCACTGCCAGAGGGCGGGGTGCCCTTCTCCCTGCCCCAGCGCGAAGCGGGCTCAAACCGCGGCGGGGCAGCGTAGGCCCTCGGTCCGGTGGGTGGGGCGCGGTCGCTCCTCGGCCCGGTGGGGGGACGGCGGGGCGGGCTGCGG